ATCGGTACCCAGTGGACTCCACTCGCGGCGATGACACTGGAGCCGGCGATACTAGATCTGGCACCTTCAGGTCCGGACTGTCCGCGATCACGTCGACCAAAGGTCTCAACTTGTCGACCAATGTCCGGATCGCTGTCTGGATCACATCGAGATCTTGATCGAAAAGATCGTTCGCTTCAATGGCGCCAACCACGTAGCCGGCCTCCTTCAACAGCCCGAGCAGGATCTTCACCGCCATCAGCTTGTTGTCCGTCACTCGGGGGGGGTCGAGATCGGCCCCTTCGAGACATCGATCTGCTCTGGCCGCAAGATCACCATGACAGGATCTTGACGCAAGAAGTCTCGCAGTTCCTTCAAGTGATACTGACGATCCAGGTCAGCCTCGGACCAGTCGAGCGCCGACGGTCTGGGATCTTCGTCGTCCAGGCCTGGCGCTCTCAGCTTCTTCTTCACGATCTGGGTGTTGTTCGCGATCGCGTTCAGGTAGTCCGGATCGAGCCTGATCGGCGAGTCAGCGAACGCGTATCGGTCCGATCCCGCCTTAGTTTGTTTTGTTAGTGAATCTCGGTTCGCACCAAGATCCACCGGGGTCCCCGCAGGGACCTGGGGAGGATGTTGAGGTTTGTCTTCTAGATCTGTCTCCAGATCGCCCTCGATTCCGTCGACAGAAGTCCTCCGAGCACTCTGTCGATCTGCGGATCTCGTTTTGTTCAGCAGCGTCTTCGTCGATCCGATATCCGACGACGCCTCTTCCCCTGGTTCTTTCTTCACTTGCACATCTTCTACGGACTCACGGTGATATCCGGAGTCCCCAACAGATCCGGGCACGCACACCATTGTGGTGTAGCGGGATCGGCCAAAATCTGGTTAAGGCCTGATCGAGCTTCCCACCAGCGCCCAGACACCGACTAACGGAGGGGGTCCCCCAGTGATCCGTGATCGGCTGAACTTGTTCTCACCTTGTGTACCCGTCGGCGGGCTGGGTCTGCTCTTTCGGGGCTCCGAAGATGCAGCACTTGGTGAAGATCGAATGTCTTGGCGTGACGCGGGGATAGGTTGTGGAGCAGTGCGGGAATCGTCGCTCTGCGACCGAGTATACGCTCCGATCGAGGGTTGTTCGCTCCGATCGGTCGACCTTGAGTCGATTCACGGCCTGTAGTTACCTTTCCGGGTGTGTTCCTCCCTTTCCTGAGTTGCTTGCCGCTTCCTATAGCGGGATCGAGGTTGATCGAGAGAAGAAACGATCGCCGGCCAAACAGTATCCGGTCGATCGAGGGTTCGCACACAAGAAATAGATCGCTAGAGTAGGTCAAGCTGGCCAATATATTAATCCAGTCTTAACCGTACCACTAGTTCACTGTCCAAAGTGTCGATGCTTGCCGAGGCCAATGTAGTTCCTGGGACTTGACGACTTGAGGGGGCTTGTGCTCTTCGGTGCAATTTCGACTCTGATTTATGTTTAGCTAGTGTCTCTCTACCGCTACCATCTCATCTACCATCCTACAACTCAACAACCACTGGATTCTTGTCCTGACTTCGTCCTCCATGTGCATCCCATCGTGGTCGATCCCCGATCCACGATCGAGTCCTGATCTGCGATCGACTCCCGATCCACGATCGAGTCCTGATCTGCGATCGACTCCCGATCCACGATCGATCTCGATCGGCGATCGGCGATCAACTCCCGATCGATGACTGGTGCCGGTTGCCGTGCGCCGCCGATCCATCATCTTCTGTCCTCGGCCGTCCTAGATCTGCGAGATCTGTCGTCGATCGGGGCTTGGGTCGACCCCGAATCACGCCACGGTTCGAGCACGATCATCCACAATCCGGCTTGCCACATGTCCTGCCTTACGCGCCGTCGTCATCGGGCCACTTGAGATCTCCCGAAGAACTCCCTCTGATCCATAGATCCTCGCTGCCTGTCTCTCGATCGCTGATCCCCCTCGATCGGCCCTGCCGCCTTTCTCGGAGATCGATTCTTATTCAGCACTTCTCCACACAAGCAAGATCCGATCTGGAACGAATTCGACGTGATTCGACCTAAGGGCCTGACCAAGAAACACCCGGATGTGTTCTGCATTTACTGTGCGGAGGTCATCATGAACGCTCAGCCTGCGCGCCACCTGTACCGTCATCTCCTGATCTGTACGGCAGCTTCACCAGCAACGAAGACGAAGTGGAGCAACGTGGCGGAGCAGAAGGAGGAGAAGAAGCGCAGGGAGCTCTCGCTGAGCGCCCCCAGCTTTCGTACCCCGACCAAGTCGAGTCGTGTCAGCTACGGTGGATCAGTCCCGACAACGCCTACAAGACGGGAATCAAACAAAGCTAAAGAGAAGGGATTCCATCTCGATATCGTGATGGCGTTCTACACGACCGGGATCCCATTTCGAGCGATCGACAACCCCTATCTGCGGCGCGCACTTCGCCGCCATGGCCCCAACGTCAGACTTCAAACACGCCAAAGTCTTGGCTCAACTTTCCTAGACCTGGCCTACACTATGGAGAAAGATCAGCTGGAAGCACTCCTTCGGAAGCAGAAGCGCCTGATCATCATCACAGACGGCTGCTCGAACATCAATGGGGAGAGCATCGTGAACTACGTGATCATCTCTCCAAAGATGAGGCCGATGATGTGGTTTTCCGGTACGACAGGAGGCGAGGCCCACACAGGTGAATTTATGGCATCTGAAATTTCTCGTGTTATCGGAGAGGTGGAAGCTGTTGCTGGTGTCGGAAAAGTGATCGCTGTTGTATCCGACAATGCCGCCAATATGAAGAAAGCTGTGCGGCTTGTCGAGGAAAACCACCCCAACGTGGTCTTTAATGGTTGTTCTGCCCACGCTGTGAACTTGCTGCTGAAGGACATGTTCAAGATCGAGCTCTTCGCCCAAGTGTTGAAGAAAGCGGTGAAGTTGGTCAAGTTCGTACGGGCAAGGCATTTACTACTAGCTTACGCACCAAGTGTCGTCAGCTTCCGGGTTAACGGGTGAGCTATCAGTGCCGGTCTCGACGAGGTGGTATGCTCAGGAGAAGTGCATCAAGAGCGTGCTTCGGAACAAGGCACCCCTAAAGGTGTGGTCACCAGTATGCAAAAAGGAAAGTAAAATGAATTCTGATGTTAGCTCCAACTTTAAACTAGTGCTTGTTCCTGCTCCTGGCTTTTGCCTACGAATTCGTACAGCTTCTCGAATCCGGCTTCTAGAACTCTAAGCACCAGAGCGAGCTTTGCTTCGGATCGTACTGCGGCAGACACGAGACCGGCCAGGGCTGGCCACACTGCCTCCCCAGGGTCTGCCGCTCTTGAAATATGCTATGCCACTTGGCCATGGTGTTGCGAGTGCGTTTAAGCTTCATCCAGCTGTGCCTTGAACTGCTCGTCCTGTTGCTGTTCTGCGTAGTTGGCCATCAGCACTGGCACGTCGCGCAGCATGGTCTGCAGTGGCTCCCATGAGTCCTCGATGTCTTGCAGGCCTCTCCACGATACGAGTACTTCCCATTGTTGCGTTGCCGAATTGTAGCGGTGGTCGTGGAAACACTCCACTCCTAGCACGATGCCTTGCTTGGCAACGTGCTCGAGGATCTCATCATCGACGTTCATGCTTGCGTCGTCGTAGTACTTGAGCCTGGAACGAGAGCTCACGGGACGACCGAGTCCGCACAGCCTTGACAGATACTTGAGAGGTGTCGGCGGGAGCCAACCAGCGCGACACTAAATCCGCCCAAACGTTGTCAGAGCCCTTGACATGTTCGATTTCATAGCGGTTGTCCGACAGCATCAGGGCCCACCGCTGCAACTTTCCGCGCACATGCTTGCGAATCTCCGTGTGGGGGCAGAAGATCTGAATGAGATTCGGGTGGTCGCAAAATAATTTGAACCCTGCTTCACGGTGCAGCAGATACTCCAGGTCCTTCGCAGCCTTGATAATGGGATAGCCTTCCTTCTCTGCAATCGACCAGTGTAGCTGAGCACCCTTGAATATACCGATCTTGCAGAATAAAAGCTCGTGCGACTGGTAGGCCAAGCTCTTATGGTCATCCCAGCTCCACTTGCGAGACAATGAGTGACCATCCTCGGTCCGAGGCATCCGTAGTCACGCACACAGTAGCCGCCTCGCTAGGGAACGCCAGCTTCGTTGATCGAGCCACAGAGTCAAGGAACTCAAGATAGTGGTGCTCCTCCTCAGCCGTCCACGTGAGCGCAAGTCCTTCAGCATAACGCTGCTTCCGACTGTGTCCTTCAAATGCACTCTCCAGTTTGGCTTGAAGTGGGGCCGCATGCTGGGCAAAGTTCACGATAGATTCACGCAACCAATTAGCTGCGCAAAGCAGCTTCTGCAAATCTGCCGCTGTGGCTGGAAGCGGCAGTGAACACAGAGCTGCAACTCGTTCGGGGTCGTGGCGAACGCCCTCACCGTCAATGAGGCGTCCGCACAGGAGATCTCACGCGAAGAGACAGCTCTTGTTGGCATTGAGTTTCAGACCATACTCGCGGAGGCGAGCGAAGAATTTCTTGAGCACCGCGATGAACTCCTCCGCAGTCTTAGCGAACACGACGATGTCGTCCACCCAGATCAACACGTTGTCATACAGCATATCATGAAACACCTCCTGCATTTGGTTTTGGAAATGGATCGGCGAGTCGGTTGCTCCTTGTGGCACCCGCGTGGGTGTGTACACAGTGTCATTCGTGATGAAGCTGAAATATTCACGGCAGTCCGGGTGCAGCAAAAGCTGCCAAAACCCTTTGAAGAGATCGAAAGTTGCGAAGAAGCATGCACCCTTAACCTTGGTAATCACCACCAGTAGGTTTGGCATTGCACCGGCGATAGGCACGGTGCGCTTGTTGATCGGGCGGTAGTCGGTGGCGCACCGAAAGTCTTCGACGGGACCCTTCTTGCGAACGGGAATGGCCGCACAAGCCCACCTACTCTGATTGTTACGTACAACCAGCTCAAATTCTTCCAGCTGCCTGCCGTAGTCCCGAAGGAACTTGGTTTTCAACTCACAGAGTACTGGCGAGGCTTCGTTCGATACGGTGGGGAGCCGTCGACCAATACGACTCGCAGTGGCTCGAGCTTGGCGGGTGGGTCCGCGCCTAGCTTCGTCCGCCATAGATCAACTTCTTCCTTGGTGGCATCTCGTAGCGCATCCTTAAATTCGTGTGGAAACCCTGCCTTGACAGCGTCGTCCAACATTACGTCGAGTCGGTCCATGATTTCATCCAGGTTGGTCGCGCCCACGATGTCATCCTCCGGTATACCATCCTCGTCCTCCTCGGGGGCACCTTTGGCTGCGAGGCGCTCCAGGAGATGATCCACGTTGATCCCAAGCGACTTCAGAGTTCGATCACCAAGTAAGAACTCATCCGCATCTCCATCGATCACTACACACTGTAGTCTGCGCAGATTGACCGGCAGCCGTTAATAGCTGCACGTCAACTTCACACATCTCGGTGCAAGGAACGAGCCGTCCGTCTGCCACTTCAACCTCCATCGGCACTTTCAGCTCTTCCACCACGAGGTCATCATCCAGTTTCCTCAGTTCATGCGCAATGTGGCGGGTAATCACGTCGTAGTCAGCGCCAGTGTCGGCTCGGAAAGGCACCTCCAATATGCCATTCAAAATGGCTGCACGCTCGCCGGGCTGCCCAATTGATCGCACAGTCTTCCACGCAAGCGCTGGTTCTTCATGTCATTCATTCGTTTTAGGGCTGCTTCTTTGTCTGCCTCACTAGCGGTGGGGCAATCCTTCACCCAATGTGCTCCATTGCACACGAGACAGCCATCGCGCGGCGGTGCGCGGGGCTTGTCGGCTTCTTGCTTCGACTGCTTGGGCTTGCTTAATGACGAGTGCTGGGGCTGTGAAACACGAGGCTTCAACGAAAGTGCTGGCTTCTTGTTGGAGTTATTGGTCTTGGGGTTGCTACGAGGTTTATCCACCTGCTTGAGCTCCTGGGCCAGCATGTGGTAGTGCTGCTGCTCTCGTGCGCGCTCCACTAAGGCCTCGTAGAGCGCAACATCGTCCTTCTTGAGCACCGGCTTGGCGATGACCAGGCGCTCCATCTCCAGCCTCAACATCTCTGGCGCAATGTTCTTTAGCAGGTACTTGCAACGCAACTTCATGCGTTCGTCGTAATTCGGTTCATTTTCGCGTCCACTACCGAGGATTCCACCCAAACCATGGTCCTCCACAATCTTGTCAAACAGCACAAAGTAATTCACCACACGAGCTTCTGTGTCTTCAATCTTAAGGTCCATCTTCAGTTCGTCCTTGAAAAGCTGGTCCATGTCCGGGATGTGGCTGTTTTGCAGCGCTAAGCAACGCCGCGTGATCTCCAGGCCGAGATCTTCATCGGTCACGTCAGCCGCTCGCTTCTTCAGCACGAAGCGAGCCAGGTGGTCCAGGATGCGCGGCTCGATCGAGTTGCGGATCGAGGTGACAACGTGCTCGTACTGCTCGCCAGTAACCGCGCAGCGATTGCGAATATTCTGCCGAGGAGATTAGGGACGCCTGGTCCCAGGCACTCAGGCTCGGAGGCTGAACCACCTCGAACACTGGCTGCGGCACGGTCATCTCGACGTCTCCGTCCGCGTCCGTGGCCATCTTGCTTGTCTAGGCTTCACGCCGTGCAGGTTCGGCCCGCTTCTTCCTCTTGCCGCGGCTTCTGGTTCGTCCAGAAAGTATACTTTGTGGTCACCAGTATGCAAAGGAAAGTAAAATGAATTCTGATGTTAGCTCCAACTCTAAACTAGTGCTTGATCCTGCTCCTGGCTTTTGCTTACGAATTCGTACAGCTTCTCGAATCCGGCTTCTAACACTCTAAGCACCAGAGCGAGCTTTGCTTCGGATCGTACAACATGCACTGCGGCAGACACGAGACCGGCCAGGGCTGGCCACAAAAGGCTTTATTTGCTGACGCCGAGTTGATGAAGCACTACAGCGACTCTGCGACCGCCGAAAAACTCAAAAGAGGCTCGCAACATCTTGCAGGACAAACAGTTTTGGGCGAACGCAAAGATCGTCCTCCGCCTGACCAAGCCTGTCACACGTGTACTCGCCATGTTTGAGACGGACACGTGCTCTAATTTGATGATCCTCCACGAGTTTAACCGCCTGAAGAAAGCTACCGCGTACACAGAGCCCCTCTCCACTCTACGAGACCCCACGGTGCAAGGCAAATCATTGAACTGATCGAAGAGCGCTGGGAGTTCATTTGCCCTCGTTCCAACTCCACCCGAATCGCGTACTTGCTGGAGCCATCAAAGGATACTTCTGCTTTTCTTGGCAAAAGTCTTGACGAGACCGTAACGGATGCTGTCAAACTTGCTGAGCGCTTCGGACTGCCTCATGATATGACCCCAGCCAGCTTTCGCTCGGATTTATTGGACTTCCTCGATATGAAGGACGGGTGGTCTGCTGACGAGAAGAAGAAAGCTAGTCGCGACTCGCCCCTGCAATGGTGGCTATTGGACCGTTCCTTTCCCCAGCTCCGTTTCTTCGCTGACAAGGTATTGAGCATCCCGACTTCATCTGCGGCCAGTGAACGTTTGTGGAGTATTCACGGGTTCACTCACAGTAAACTCCGCAATCGACTTCTCGTGCCCACCGTCGAAAAGCTGGCTTTTGTCTACAACAACAACGGAGACACGGGACCAACGAGCTTGCCACTCTACCAGAAGCCGGAGAGACCAAACGCCAGTGACGTCGACAGCGACAGCGACATCGATGGCAATCAAGACGATGAAGAGGAATGTTTGTTCGACTTGCAGGACAGGGAATTTGAGTATCTACTCGACGCAATCGTTAGCGTAGACCTCGCAAGCGAAACCGCATAAGCTAACCCTCCCTAATCCCCTCTTGGTACACCAGCAGTGAACGACTTCAGTTAACTTCTTAATGATACGATTCAATATAATACATGTCAAAATTAATCTGCATCACCATGCTTGGTCGATAGCGACGTAAAGGGCTCCCTACGCGCTTATTTATCTGCTGCGCATGCTTGGACATTATGTGTTCTACCCGCCGCTTCTTGTTCAACCAGCCGGGACGCACGAGTGCCGGGTCGAGCATCTCCGGGTGGATCGTCGTCATGATGACAATGCGACCTGGATAGTCGATGACGCCGTCCAGCACGTTGAGCAGCCCCGAGAGGCTCAGCTTGTCTTCAAGTCCTTCGGCTTGAGCATGGGGGCCGCCCCTCCGTCCTCGGGGACCTCCACCATTGCCTTCTTCTGGCTGTCGAACATGCGCGCGGCCTCGCTTGCCTTCGTGTCGCTGTCTATGCGGGCGTTCACGATGGAGAACGCGCAGTCGATGTCTTCCATAACAAACACGTCCTCGAAATCCATCTCGACCGGCGAATCCAATCCTTGCACCGCGAACTTCTGTCGAAGAGCGTCCAGCAGCTGCTGGTTCGTGTGGATATTGTGGAGCGAAATCGTCACGATATGGCCGGCGTCGAGAATGCTGGGCGACGGCCTTGATGAGACTGGTCTCGTCTGTGCCGGGTGTGTCGTGCAGCAAGATGCCGAGCTTGTATCGCGAACTTGCCCGAGCGCGACTCGAAGTTGTCGACCGGATGCAACACGCCCTCCATCTCCTCGAAAAAGAAGTTGTCCAGCGTCTTCTTGCCAAGCGCGTACAGCTTGTACTTCATCTGCGCGACCTTATCCAGAATGCTAGAACCGCCAGTCTGGATGCAGTAGTAGTGGAGCGTGCCCTTGGTGTATCGCTTGCGCTCCATGTCCTGGTAGTCTTGATGGCGCGCTTGATGAGCGCGTCGATGCGCTCGTAGCCGTCAGGCAGCGTCGAGAAGACTTGAAGCTGACGTTGGTCTCCGTGAGCGTCTTGGTCTTCTTTTCCTTCTTGTCCTCGGGCTCGACGGTCTCGAGCTTGAACTGGACGCCCTCCTCCACCTCGATCCACTCGTTCTCCTGGGGAAGCGCCTCCAGCACAGACCGTCCACAGCGCCGCAGTAGCCCTCGCCATCGTCCGAGTCGTACGAGGACTCATGTCATCGCCGTCGTCTTCGCCGTCCGCGAGCGTCTTGTTCGTCTTCTTCTGCGGCCGGTGGAGCAGGTCGTACTTGGCGTCCTTATGGTCAGGTCCAGCACGTCGGCCAGGTAAAGCGAGATGGCCTTCTGCAGCAGGTGGTTCTGCTGCTCGTAGTCCCAGATCTTGTGGCCCTCGGAGCTGAAGCGCTGCGTGATGCTGATGATCCGGTACACGCCCTCGGGCTCCATCTTACCGAAGATCAGCGCGTACAGGTGGCTGAGCAGTGAGTCGCCCGAGCCCTGCAGGTGGGTAACGAGCTGCAGTAGCAGCGACACCACGAGGCACACGAAGGCGTCCGCGACGACGTAGCTGGTGCTGAGTCTTCGCAGGAACTCGTCTGGGGGTTGAGCGGGGTCGCGATCGCGCTGTCCATGTCGCCAGCCAGCCAACGGCGCTGGCGCCGGCTGACGTCGAGATAAAGCGCTCTTTGAGCTGCGCCGCGGCAGCAGCTTGGCCACCGGGGTTCACCGTCAGCTTGAAGAGCGGCCCTCGATGCTGGTCAGCACACGCAGGTCCGTAAGCTCGGGGAGCGCGAGACCCAGTACCCATACGGCTTCGCTATTTAGCGAATTATTGTAAATATGCATAATATTGCCTTAAATGATTGCTCGAATATTTTACGGTATTTAACAACTACCAATCTGCGTTTAACTGTGAAAAATACTACTTTCGTATTTAACCAACTTCTTTACAATTGGCGGGAACCCGGGTACGGGACCCCGGTTCCCCCAAAACTACCGGTACACATGTATGAGCAAATGTATTGAAGTGTTGGTCTATGACCTACATAGAACACAGCTAAAGCTCAGTAGGGGAACGGAAGGTTAATTCACCTTCGCCCTCGTCCTGTGTCTCTCCACGAAAATTCAGACGCTTGACTGGTGCAGCGGTACAGTGCTTCCCGGTCTCATCGCTATCCTCCTGCTCATGAAAGATAAACTTGGACATGGTAAGGTATGTTATTTGGGTCTATTCAGTACCGGTGGCATATATTGAGGGTAGCCCTTCATCGATAGCACTTAGGTATGAGGGTTTAACTTGCCCCGAGGGTACCAACATGGAGGCCAAAAATTAAATAAATAATTCGCGATTTGGTCGGTATCATTTGCGGGAACCCGGCTCCCGCCAATTGTTTCAACTCTAGTTGCACGCAGCAGCACCAATCAGAGCGCTCTACTCACCTGCTGGTATCAGACAACAGCCGAGCCACGGACATGACGTCAATTTGACTCCTTGACTGCCAAAGAAGTCAACCTGGTATTTTAGCTTCTACTCGAGGTGTTCGGGTAGATACATGTTGCAGGTAGTGGAAACTACCTTTAGATGTAGAACCCCCACCGCCGGGAAGCGTGTACTACGTCTACCTGCTCTTTAGCAGGCGTAGATCAACATGCACTAGCGTATCATGTCCTACGAATGGAAGTTATGCATCAGCCAATATACATGTAAGGTAAGGTGCCAGTTGCGTGCCTACAACCAGCTCCGTGCCTACTTGTTTTAGCCAATTAGCATCTTCTCCTTGTTAAACTCTCGTAGTCTATTGGTAGATTTTTCCAGCGTCACATGCAATTTCCGGTGATGAGCCTCCTAGGATTTGCATAGCATACAAAAATGCTATCAAAAAGAGGCAGGAAACTGGCAGCTCACTCCAAATCAACAAGCTTTTCAAAACAATAACAAGAAGTTCTTCAAAATTTACACGGACCAGCGTGAAGTTCATAAATTCAGCCCAATCGCGCAGATTTAGTGGGTGCAATCAGATTTCTGAATGGACAATTCAATGAAAAGTTATGTCACAGCAAGTCCGCAAGTTCGAAGGACGGCACGAAACTGGCAGAAGACCTTAGTCATAACATGCATCGGTTGACGGAGTCGTGTGCGTGTTATCGTGTACCGTGAGATAAAAACACATAGCTGCGACTGCTGCCGACAGTTACCAGCACGTGCATACCATATATAGGGGCCAACCAATTCGGTTGCAGTGCCTATGGAGATGATTGTTGTTATGCATTCGAGACCTTGCTAAGAGCGATGTCCAAATAAAAAAACACTTGTTTATTCAAGCCGAATTATTTTCGGAATGTTGCCCGAAGGAAAACGTGGGTACACTTTTGCCGGTTTATAACTCGGTGAAAAGAAATTGGTGCAGCACCAATTTATATATACAGTCAAACCTGTTTATATGAGGCCCTGTTGGTGACCATCAACTACAATGACTCATATAAAATGGACTCAGTTAAAACAATTATGTGGTGCACGTAAAGAAATCGTGCATAGTTCGCTGCCGCTTTGCCTTCACCGTAGTCTCTCGAACCAAAGCGGTCACGATCTGTAAAGCTCTTCGTTCTCTGTCAGTCTGCTCTCCGCATTGCAGCAGAAATGCAGCCAGCTCCATGCAGTGTCTCAGAGCAATGGCAGGTTGAACTGCGGGTTCCTGTTCCTCCTCTTCCTCCTAAGCGCTCCGCCAGCTCATGCGCCTTCAGCAGGAGCACGTCGTCCGCCATCGCCGTTTTAGCTTCGTTCTCAAAGAAAAAATCCCTCAGTTCCCGCTCGAACTGAGGGAATTTCACTCGGCGCCGCTTGGTCGCACTCAGGTCGACGTGGCTGAAGTAGGAAGAAGGCAGGTTGCGCAGTCGGGCGAGTGTGGCATGGCTGACCCGGGCCTTGAAAGTTGCGTAGATCCACTCGGCGTGCATGGGGTTGTTCATGCCAGGATTCTGCTCGAGCTTTAGGTGCACTTGGAGCTTTTGTTCTAGCGTCAGACAGGTGCGAGGAGACATGGCGAGCGAAGAAGGCTTGCGGTAGGCGTTGAGTGTTGAGCAGTGGTGCTTTGAAGAGTGTGTGGCCGTGAGCAGTGTGAATCAAATAAACAGGTGAGACCTAATTTGGTCCCCAAAAATGTGACTCATATACTTTGTATGCATATAAACAGAGATCATACAAAAACTAAGTAAAATATTTGGTAGCGACAAAGCCTGCATCAAATAAACGGCATGGCTCAAGTAGAGAGGATCATACAAACAGATTTGACTGTAGTGGAGCTAGTTTATTTCAATGATCCACTCACATTTGACGACCCAGAGCGCGATGGCGAGGAGCGCCCCAGGCAGCGACGTGGGGCGTGGTGACGCCGCGATGACCGTCTCCGGTAGTACAGCTGCCCATGCCGTGCCTGTTGACGATGGGGAGGAGCGCGCAGCGGTGCCAGAAGCCATCCAATGTGCGTATGAGGTTGTGTGTGCGTTGTTTTAACATATCTGATGATGGACTCTCTGTGAACGTTTTGAGCAGCACTACAGACTCGATGGTTCGCTAGCACTGCGCCCCACTTGAGTGAAGAAGAGTTCAGCGAAGAAGAATTGCTGCTACTGTGTATTTTGCTGGTCGCAGCGGTGGTTGTGCTGAGTCAGCTAGACGGTAGGTCAATTCGACGCCCCCCAGGAGAAGTCGTCGTCGTTCGCTCTGACTTCTTTCCGCTTCTAAAGGCCAATCGCTCCTTAAAAGCGTATCGCCGGACGGTCCGTTGTTCGCCTGAGTCCTTTGACAAGCTCCAGGCGTTACTGGAGCCGCTGTACTACCGCAAGTACGGGCTCCCCGGTAAAAACACGCAGTACACCTTCGACTACGGGCTGGCTGTGCTGTTGACCTACTATGGTAATAGCTGTGGCCAAGATGGGGACGGTATTGGAGGAGCTGCAAACCAGTTGGGGATGTCAAGAACAGCAGCACTTCGATACATTCAGAACCTGGAGGAGCTTTTGTGCGGTATGATGAATGATATCATCTACTTCCCGGCACCTACAGCGGATGCAGAGTGGGATGACATGGTCGATGGCTTTGCCGCACGTGGCGGAGATTTTCCAGACGTGGTGTGTATTTTTGACGAGACTATAGTTCGTACTCGACGTCCAAATGAGCACTTGGTACGCTTTAATTTATTTTTTTAATTAGTCCAATGTCTGGCTAATCGTTTTGAATGTGTAGCTAACCGCTTTGACTGATAGGGGTTTTATGATAAGAGCGGGAAGCCTTCATATAACTGTCTTGCTGCGATAGATTACCGCAACAAGTTCCGCTACATCGGCGTATTCAGCGGAAGCAACTCCGATCAATCCATGTGGAATCAATCGGAGGTTCTTGGAGCTCGCGCCCGGCATCTGTGCCCACTGGGGGTGAACTGGCTGGGAGACTCTGGATTCAAGATCTGGCCGTTCCGGCCTTGTCGTAGTTGCCTCAGAGGCAGCGAGTGCGGAAACGTTAGACGACATCTTGAAGTGGACGGGAAACAACTGATATATTGCATATTATTCGATTAGATAGGTTTTCAAAAAAATCAGCTGCGCAGTTTGGACATTCCGACGATTTATTCTAGCCGATTTATTTTTGTCGTGAAAAACCACAGGTCCAAATATTCGATCGACTTTTTACTTGGACGTCGCTCTAACTTTACTTGATTTATGATGACAAACAGCCCATATCCACAGCCAACCATGATGTTTGGGCTTTCAAGCGAGCTAACGTATACCTCCATGGCCGCACGATATCGGCGATGGCGTGCTGAGGCGAAAGGCACGGTTAGGTGGCATCAGTAGAGCTTTTTATTTGAGTCAACGGAGGTTTAGCACTAAAATAAAATATGAGTATGTCGAAAAACTTGTTGTGTTTCTGCATATTGCAAACATCTTCAGCAAAAACCTGGCGCAGACAACAATATGGAAAGCGATACAAAAAGATCTACTACGCTGGTCAACCAGCAGTGTGAAGAAAAACCGTCTACTTACAGCGATATGGTGGAGCTACTCAATGAGTGGATCGGCAACTTATAGTACAGAAGCTACTTGTAAGTTAAGTAAGGTTTTAAACAGGTCTTATGCAGGTCTGGTCCTGTTTTGGTCCTACGACATCTAAACGAGACCGAACGGGAAATAAGTATGATTTCCCCGGTGGTCTGTCGAGACCCAACACGAAACACGCTAATTTTAGACCCTCTTCACTTAGATATATAATATCGTGATATTTAGTAGTAGTAGTAGATGATATAGCTTACTTCTCTGGCCCACATAAGAAACAACACTTCGGTTTTCTGGACATAACCTTTTACAAAAAAATCGTTTGGTGACTCGCAATACCTCGACCGAAAGCTGCGCATTTGCTCCGTTTCACGCTATGATTAAAAAAAATCTAGCAGCAGAAAGAAAAGAGAAACAGCCTTTTATCTGAAGTCGGCTTTAGGCAACATTAGGTTTTTTAGCGAGGTGCCGTCAAAAATTAGCGATATTAGAAAATAACATATCACCGTAATCGCGAGTGACGGCTTTACCCTTATGTTCGGTTGTCGATGTTGTAGCGCCTGTTGGAGACGAGTTAGAAGGGCTACAGTTTTGAGGGTTTTCTACGCGATTATCTCGGCATGCGCAGACCCATTTATTTTGGCCAATAGTAAGATGAAACAGTTGATTATACCCAATCATATGTGATATGGGGTCCACATCAAATTGAGGTTTAATGCCGAATGTTGTTTCTTAAGTGGACCAGAAAAGTAGTATTTTGGGGCTAGTTGACTTAGAGTGCTGCTGGGGATTATAATTTGGTTCACAACATGTCTGAAATTCGGTACATGTCCGTGTGGTAGACGAATCTTGTATAACAACAATGGAAACGGTGTACTAAAGGTAGAATTGGTCATTATAGGATAATTTCTAGATCAATTTATATGTACGTTTAGTATCGAGGACCTTTAAGTTTACGAAGCTATTACTATCGTTTGAATAGGCGGTTGAAAAAGGTTATGTAAAGGCAACGACAACAAATGGAGGGGCTAGCCACCCCTTTAGCGGCGCCCGGTAAAGCGGTAGTCGCCATTTGATCAGAGCTGGTCCCTTCATCCAATGTTTGTTATATTCAAATCACCGTTACTTTGCTGAGAGTACTAAGTGTACCGGACTGAAGATTGGATCTCAAAATCTCGATCTAAATCGTAGTTTGGGCCATTCCAAGTTTAGGCTTACAGAGGTGGTCTATGTAACAGGGTGCTACCCTTAGAACATCCCAAGATTTTTAATATTTTTGCATGGTGGAACTATTCCATCAAAACTCGGCCTTATTGTCTATTTCAAATCTTTAGACTATTTATTCCCAACATCGTGAGATTGTCCAGGGTTGGGAAGTTGTATATCGACACTGAAAAGACAAAAACGGAAAACTTTCTATAGTGAAGGCTTCCTATAGGCTGGATTTCTGAACATTCTCAAGCACTATGCGATTGAACAGGGAGCTCCAAATTCCGTTACGTGGGATTGTGCTGCTAAGAATACACAAGTTCGAATACTGACGGACTCTTATTGGCTGAACCAATTCGATCTATTAGTAATATTATGCGATTGAACGGGGGGTTCCAAACATACCAGTAGTTACGTAGGTTTAGACTGGTAACAAAAACTTTTGCTGCTGTTGGGCTTTGCTCTAACGGTGTGAATTTGTGTTCATTCCTTTTTTTTCTGACAACCCACCAGCTCTTCGCCTTCGCCGCCTCCACCCTGCAACCCCTTCTCTGCCTCAAGTCGTGATGCCAACCACCACCGCATCAACTCCGACCTCTTCAAGTCACCGCAGCGACGGTGAATTCGACCAGCAGTGTGAATTTGGCTTCAATTCGGATCGTGGAGGAGCTTCGGCGAGCGACAGTGATACTGACAGCGATGCTGGCTATCTCTCTCCTGTTTATGGGGATCGAGAACCCTGTTTCAGCAGTGATGACGACAGCGATGATGAAGACTCGCCGACTGGGACTCGCCCGCGAGGTATTGAAGTTGACGATGACTCTGTCTCCAGCGGTGGCTCAAGCGTGTCCACTCAAGGGGATGTGACCAGGCTGCCCGGCGGACTTGTTCTCGGTTCTTCCCGCTATGACATGGACGACAGCGAAGCCAGCAGCAGTTTGGACGACTCTGACGCATACGACCCTGAAATGGAGACTGTTAGCAGTGAGGACGAAGACGACGAGCTCGCAGTTCAACCTTCTGCGTCAGGGCGTCAAGGGCATGCGGGAATAAACCTCGTCGCGACAGCTCATCGCACCGTCATCCAACTCAACGGCCATCAGTACACGAAAGCCCGAGCGTCCTCCCGCAAGATTTCCTTCCGGTGCAGCTTTTACCGACGTACTCCGGGGTGCAAAGGGAAAGTCGACTACAGTTTTGCGCGAGATGTGTTCTACAATTTTACGCCACACACTTGTGAAGGGACGGGCCAAGCTCCAGGCTGATACGTTGATGTCACCGAGGAAATGAAGGCCGAGGTTGATCGATTGTCGATTCTGCACCTTTCACACACGGCGCAACAGATTTGGTTGGCGGTCCGCGAGCAGTTTTTCGTCACAGACGACAGCGCCGTGGTTGTTCAAGGACTGACACGACATCAAGTCCGGCAACGTGTGTACCGCACGAGACGTGTTCATTTCGGTGGAAACGTGCATAAATGGTCGAGGTTGCACCGCAGAGCCTGGTTCAAGGGACTACATTGAATTTTTTCCAGTTCCACCACGTCTTTATGGAGGGCGAGCGGCTACAGCGTGTGGTGGGTTGGGCGGACCATCGACTGCTGGAGTTACTTCGGTATCCGGGCTCGCAGATGTTCGTCGACGGAACTTTCCGGTGCGTCCCGAGGTCGTTCTACCAGTGTGTCGTGTTGATGGTGAGCGACGCAGCAAGTGGCGTGTTCGTGGCTTGCGTTTACGCTCTTACGACTGGCAAAACCCATCAACTATACCAAAAATTGATGCGGTTCATGAATGACTGCACGGGCAACCTGGGAGTGTCGTCTGCGACTTCGAGGCAGCGCTGATCGATTCAGTGACCGACCCGTTTCCGCACGCCAGGGTCATCGGATGCTTGTTTCACTTCAAGCAAGCGACCCGACGACGCATGATGAAGTTGCGTATCCGACCCCAGGAGATCTCGATTGCGATGGAAGTCGGCGTGTTGGACATGCTAACCGTGATCGTACCTGCTCATGTCGATCCCCACGGAATCAACTATGTCTCCGAGTTGATTATGTCTCGCTGCCGTACCGAAGAGATTGAGTACTCGGCGGTTGGGTGGGATCGTTTCTGGAAGTACTTTCGTCGCACATGGATCAATATTTTTCCAGTCGATGTGTGGAATGTTTATGGCATAGATTTGGGAGTGGTAAGCCGAACCAACAACCCCATGGAGCGGTTCAACCGGGAACTCAACGCAGCCATCGCTGCGCCACACCCAAGCATCCCCGCTTTCGTATCGACAATCGACACATTATCGCGACGGTACGTGCAACAGCTTGGCGATATATCTAATCGCAGAGCTGTTGCCCCAGGTCACGGGGAGATCGAGTTGCCAGTTGCGGTCGACTTGACATCGCGTGTTAACGCTGCGCGTCGTGAAGCCAGTAGGTCGTCGAACTCACGAACCAGTCGCGCTGGTCGTGCTGCTTCAACTCGCGGTGGTCGTAAAGCTTCAACTCGAGGTGGCAGGGCAACTTCAACTCGTGGTGGCAGGGCAGCTTCAACTCGTGGTGGCAGGGCAACTTCAACTCGCGGTGGCAGGGGTGATCATGGAGGTCTAGCATCGATGCGTTCCCAGGAAGCCCAAGTGGATAGATCAAGTCGGACGGCCCGGGCAGCTAGAGTCGAGCGACGTACAAGCCGGGTTACCCGCAGCATGACTGACAATTAACGGTTAACAGCAGGTTGAAGGCCCTGACACGGTTTGCTTTTTATGCAATTTCCCCTCCAATACATAATACATCTAATTTCCGTTTACCTATACAATTATAGAGTTTTTAAAAAACCCTGTTTTGTTAGGATCTTTTTAGGTCCCATTTGGAGGCTAATTTTATTTCGGTCCTGTTTTGGTCCTACGGACCAAAAAAAAACAGACCTGCATAAGACCTGTTTAAAAATCTTCCGTAAGTTAACCCCACCAGTACAATGAAGAAATGTAAGTGCGTAATCTTTTGCTGCACAAAGCAAAATAGATTCCTTTAGCGTAGAGCGCGTGTAGCTTCAAAATCGATGGCCGCTTTAGAAATGCTTAACGAGTTTCCGTTTTCATTACAGTTGTTGTGAGTTGCCTTGCATTCTTGCTGTTTGGTTTTAATCTACTGGTACGTCGGATACCTATTTAGCATTAATCCACTAGAGGCGTACAAGTACTTGTTCATATATTGTTTTCAGTTGGTGTATGAGCTAGCATCGAGAAATACGAGTCTTCGTGGGCAAAACTCATCATACTTCGCGTTGCTGCTTTTGGTATGTTTTGAGTTCGAATTGGCCGATGTCATCTGGAAGCGCATGCGGGTAGGGCGCACAATGCGGCCGCACGAGCGTTCTCAACCGATGCGGTCGCATGCGGCCGCATTGTACAAAACTGTGCGATGCGGTGCGGCCGCATGCGACCGGTTGAGAACGGGCCTGAGTCTGATTGCCACGTCCCATCTTCTACGGCTTCACAGCCACCCATGCCCAGTAAGCGAGATCTTGGAGTCTGCATTTTCATCCACAGTAACGTCAGTATGCGAGTTAGGTCGACGTTGATACTGCATTATGTTGCCCTCGCAACCGGCTAACTATACAGCCCAAGTATGTTGCCTATACCCACCTGCTCGCCGTGCTAGATGCCCGAACCTGCACGCGCAGCACCTGCAGCATGTGCTTCCGACCTGAGTACCTGAAGAATGGTAACCGCAGCTCGCACTGGTCGTTGATCGTGTGGACTGGTCACCGTTCTTGTGGACTGGGAAATGTGAAAAATCAACAAGAAAAAGGAAACAGTCCGTTTTCTGTTTTCTTGTTGATTTTTCACATTTCCTCGCACTATTATTGCACAGCACAAAGCCTATACAAATGTCAAGTATCATACATGTCGCATGGGGATGGATGTCATGGTGACCAGCCGCGCTCGCGCTATTCACCTGGCGAGTGCAGTGCTCGGCTCGCTGGATTGCTCACCTCCGTCGCCCCTTCCCGTCTTGTGCTGGTCAGAGATTTATTGTGCTGATCAGGGAACATATGTCGTTTATGATATTTTCTCATTCCCGTAGGCTTTAGGTTCCGACTCAAAAGTGCGAAGAAAGGGCTGAAATAAAGCTTGGTGACCAATCACAGATCTGGAAGAGGGGGTACCTTGAACTCCTCCTATTTACACTCGGCGACAGGTTAAATCGGCCACCCTCGTTTGTGTCCACAACTTTGTCAATTTTTCGAGTTGGCGTTCGCTATTTAGATATGTAAGAGCTTTCATTGGTAGAAACCCACTACATGTGTTAACGCGCGGGAATTCCCAGTCTATCAGATGGCTACCATACAACTATGTGATTTTAAAACTGCGCCAAGTTTAGTCGGCCACCCTAGAGCATACAAAAATCAAGTATAGATATATCGGAATGATTGTACCTAAAACACATGTTGCCCCCGATTTGTATGGCTGAAGGCTGGGTTTATAGGATATGCCGGGGCCGACAGGCCCCGACATATCCGATTCCGACCTTCGATTTCCGATACTCCGATATGAGCCAATGTCAGGTACATAAGTTACAGTTTACGTTGAGTGTACGAGATGGAAGCGCGCCAGTGCACAGAGGAGCAGCTATCGCAGCAAGAAGTCAGGCGCCTTACGTGTGAGGCTATGGCGGCAAGGCGCTTCCCACCTGTGGTGCAGTATCCAGAGAAGCAGCGAGGCGCCCCCCTACTCTCTGCCTTGTTTTCGTGGCCAGTCATCGTGTGGGTTCCTGAGTGTCTACAAGCTTCGAAGAAGCCGTTCTGCGCCATGCCCAGCTGCTCCTGTACGCCGCGCTTGAAGGAGTACAAGCAACGAGTGGTGGAGGAGGTGGACACCAAGTGCCATCTTCTCTACACCAAGTACCAGTGCACAGGGGAATCAACGGGCTGCTTCTCTACTGTTTCACCAGCCTACTTGCAGCGCGAGCCTCAACTAGTCGTGCATTTTCCCTATGTGCTCACCAAGAAGTATGGGCTCTCCAAAGAGCTGATGGAAATGGTGCATGAAGGCGTGATCTCCCCGCATGGACTCTCAAGAACTATCGACAACCTAAAACGGCGTCGCTAGAAGCGCTACAACAAGTTGCTATGTCTATTCGCTGATCAAGTACGGCAGCGCAGCCTGTCCAACCCTTTGTACTTGGCCCCGTCCCCGCCTCCCGCCACACAGTACTGCGCCAGACAGAGCCCAGTTGGTGCCGAGACATTGACAGCAGCGTGGCTACAGTCGTCACGAATTTACAGCTCACTTTGTGAGCAGATTATGCGTTGTGCAGAAGTCAAGAAAGCGCTGCGCATGAATCATTCCGTGAAGTTTTGCAAAACGTTGAAAGTTTGGCCAGGAGGAACGGGTAAACGCGAGAGCATGGTAGATGCCAAGATGCTTCTGCTGCTTCAAAACGAGATCGGGCAAATCGTAGGTCGGCGTCTCACACGGTCGGAGAATAACGATGAAACTCGGGAGCTTTTGGAATTTGTGAAGCCGACGGTCTCCGCTGCTGAAAATGGTTCTGAGTGTTTCGTTATTAGCGATAATGCTAATGCAGTCCGCAACATGGTAAGCAGCGTGTTTGGAGATTCCGTTGGTGTTCGACAGGACCCATTCCACGTTGTGTAACGATTTACGGAGAAGGTGAAGGAAAAAACAGCAAAGAAGCAGTTGGCTAAGCGAGTACATGACGCGATGTACGACATAGATGGACAGCTGCGACTGCCGGCGGAGATGGCTGCTCGGGTTCGCGATGCCGTGGCATCGGTAGCTTCTCGTGATGTGAACTGTAGTGACGCAGATTGGGCTGGGAGCTTGTGCAGCAATATTGAGCAGATTGAACGGGGTGACTTGTACGTGAGGCTAACACGTACGAGGAAGGTGGTGGGAAGAGCGTGTGTGTGCTCTCAACGAGTCAACTTGAAGGGTTTCATTCCGCGCTAAAGAAGCTACTAGCGCGGTCTGTATCAGCCGAGATTGGTCTCCGCATCCTTGATGTCTTCATCGTACGGCACAATTTGAAGGTCGGCTCTCGATACGGCCGAAACCCGCCGCTGGATCATGCAGATATCGTAACCCTATCTGAAGCCGCTAGCCTCTGCCGTGGTGCAATTCCCGAATCCGCGCAGCTTGAATTTGCCTCGAAGCTCTTGTCGACGCAGCTCTCACCGCCTCAATACCGGTCCACAACGCAACACGATTTTGGGTTTGAACTGTGGGGGCAGCTCTTTGAGTCTGCGCGTGTCGATACCAGTGCGCTCGAATTAATCTTCACCACTCGAAGCAGCACAGCACCAACATCAAAGAACTCCTCTCCAAGCAGGCCGTGTTTGCTGCTACCAGCCGCCTACCAAAGGCGGCTTTCTTCAATTCACTCTGTCTCTCGGAGATTGACTATGAAGCCGCAGCTGGGTTCTCGTCGCACGAGTTTGCATTACTCAGACAGCTTCGCAATGAGCAAGCACAGGCTGGTCGCACCTGGGGTGAATGTGCGCTGGTCACCACTATCATGTACAACGTCGTGGTATCTTCCAATACCAACAAGCAGCTCAACCTTCGCCGGCGCAGCTACGCCACGCTTGCCTCCAAGATCGATACTATCGCAAAACACGAGACAGATAAATCCTCGCCCCCACTTGCAGATGTTCGCGGACTTTTCACATTTTCCTACTCGGAGCCGCGTGATGACAAGATGACGGGCAACGAGCAAGCGTTCCAGATTGACCTCTTCACTGCGCTCCGGCAGACCAGCGGTATTCGAAATAAACGCCACGTTTTTCTTCGAGTGTACGACTTTGCGAGTTGTATCTGCAGCGGCATTTTCCCCAAGTCGCCGTCCAATCTGCTTGCACGATGGGAGAGCTTGAAACGGGGATCGAATCGCGGGACCAGTCTGAAAATTAAGCTTAAGATTCCTCCCGGAATGCTGCTGAAAGCACCCGAGCAGCCCCTCACGCGTGCAGACAGCGACGACAGCAGCGCGGAAGAAGTAGCAGACCACCCACAAAGCGCAACGCCACCAGCTCAATCAGAACGACCGGCAGTGCAGAGTGAAGCCCAGCTTGTTGATGTAAGCTGCATCGCTCCATCAGCGCGTAAATCCCCAGCACGCTTTGACTCCAGTAACCCCCCAATCACTCCTTCAAGATCCTCGGGTCGAGCCACCACCCAAGCCACGCTACAGGCAGCAACCAACTTCATGACAACTGCTCGTCACCAAGCAGCATCCTTCATAGCCCAGGAACACATCGATCACCTTCGCAAGCTACAAGATGAGCTGCCAAATCAAAACGGCAAATGGGATCGCATTTTTCGTGAGTATGCAAGTCTCTATCCAGACCCAGACACGCGGATCTCCATCAATGCTCTCCACTGTCGTTTAAAACCCAGCAGTGCTCCGAGGCAGAAACTCAACACGACGGCCACCGCAGAAAACCCAGTACCAGCGCTGCCATCACGAAAGCGGAAGGAGACTTCTTGCTCCAGCTGCCGTCGTAAGAAGAAGAGGTGCGGCGATCTTGTAGCAAACCCCCAATGCCTGCGAGCCAATACGCAGACATCAGACATCTACAGTTTAGATCAGTTCTTCGCGTAGTAATAATGCACGTTTACATTTCACATGTCAAACTCACCCTTTAGTGCACGGTAAGCCAAGTCACAGCGCGGTCTGCGCTCTCTACGTTCTTCGAGCTCGGTGTGTGTCCTCCACTGCGCTGGTCGTGAGAGTATCCTGGTGTATCCTGTCGCCGCAATCTGTTTGACGCAACACGCCTTGAGGCCAATAGCACAGCGGCTCGAGATAGCGGCTCGAGAGGCTGAGCGTGCTCGTTGAAGCTAGCTTGCTGTCTGCAGTAAGACGCTAGCTCCGCAGATGCCATCAGAAGCAGCTGTATCGACGCGCTCCACGACGCGTTCGCCCTGTCTTGGATGCGAGCATCGTGGGTACATCTCTGCTTCGACACGGTTGGAGCGATGGCGGGTGCGCGCGTGAGCCTGGAGTATGCAGCCTTGGTGGCGATGAAGCGCTGAAGACGCACAGTTGGCTCTTCAGGTGATGTCGTTTTCTGGCAAATACAACAGGCATGCGGGACACAAAAGTGGTGAAAAAGGTCAAATCCGGTGAGAAGTGGTGGGGTGCGGTCGCGGGACAAGCCCCAGTAAAAGCTATAAACCCGAAGGGGTTTATCGGAGATGCCGGGGCCGCTAGGCCCCGGCGGCTCCGATCCGATTGGTTGTAGCTCCGATCTCCGACTCCGCCCGACTAAAATATCTGAAGTTAGCCAAAAGTCGCTGAAGTGAATAGAGTGGGGAGTGAACAGTAAGCCCGCACAACGTTCGAACTCGCAATGGACGCTGAAGAGTGCAGACGGGGAGTGCAAGAAGCGAAGTCGCAGCGTGCTTTCCCGCCAAGTGTACCGTACCCGGAGCTAACGAGCTGGAAAGACAACATGGCCCCTCTCTCAAAGTTGTTTTCCCGGCCGATTGTTGTGTGGGTCCCTGAGTGTTTGAATGGGGGCAACGCTGAGTGTGTTTCTCCTGGTTGTTACTGCTCGCCACGTGTAAAGGAGTACGTACACCGTACGGTCGATCTTGTTGACGCGAAGTGCGACTTGCTGCTTTACGTGCGGTACGAATGCGCTGGTTCTACAGGAACTTGTTTTACTACAATATCACCAGCATATTTGCAGAAGCACGTGGAGTTTCTGGTTCACTTCCCTTTTGTTTTGTCGGTGAAAGGAGGGCTTTCTAACGAGTTTATGGAAATGGTTCATGATGGGATTATGTCGCCGAATGGGCTGTCGAGTGCATTGGCTACTGTGGAGCGCCGGCGCCAAAGCCGGTATTACAAGCTCTACACTCATTTTGCGGATAGAGTTCGGCGACTCCGGAACGCTAATGCTGACTATGTATCTCCGACCCCGCCAACTTGCTCTCAGTATGCCTCCGACAATGCTCCACCAACTACCCAAACGCTGACAGCGTTTTGGATGGAATTTACAACGATTTACAGTTCTCTGTGTGAAAATCTCATGAAGCACTTGAAGATTCGAAGAGCGCTCTGCATTGATCACTCCGTGAAATTTTGTAAGCGTCTTAAGATTTGGACAGGCAGTGGGAAACGTGATGGTATGGCAAACTGAAAAATGCTTCTTCTCGCTCAAAATGAAATTGGGCAGATCGTTGGTCGTTGCCTTACACGCTCAGAGAACAATGATGAAACTGAGGAGCTACTAAAACGTGTGGAGCCCATACTTGCACCGTTTACTGACGATGCTAAGCTTTTGGTAGTAAGTGATGATGCCACTGGAATTCGCAATCTGGTTAGCAGAGCGTTTGGCGATCGTGTCTCGACCAAGCAAGACCCTCACACGTCGGCCAACCCTATTGACCCGCAAAATTACGTAGCGGAGGTCGGGTATGCTCTTGCACGGTTTTGCAACTTGCCCGAAAAGGATTCCGGACCGTTTTGCAAATCATGAAAAACGTGGCTTTTTCATGCAATTGTCGGCAGGAGCAGGTAAGAATTTAAAAAAGTGCATGGACCAGTCATTTGCACCTTGTTTGGTAAATCTTGTAACTTGACCGGGAAATGGTGTAGAGTGCGCATAAAATAGAGTGCGCAATTTTCATTTTACCGCGCTCTATACAAATAGTGCGCCGTCCTTTATTTCATATTATACGCTACAGGCGTCCCCGGGCTAGTCCCGGCTGTATATTTTAATGTACCTCGCACAGGAAGTACAACAAGCTCTCAAGATTTGCGCGCTACTTCTGCAACTAGAGAGTTGGACTGGTAGTGCTTTCTTTAATAATATAAACAATACAAATCTAGAAAATACTAAATAATTACGGCAACCCCCTGGCAGCCGAATGGCAGGTAGACGTACAGGAGGTCAATTTAACCAGGGATAGCAGAGTCTTGCGAGTGCACCGCACTAGCTACACATTTCCGCTGTTGCGGCGACTTCTACATTGACTACATCGTGCAGATACCAAAAAAATAGCTTGAACGGATCCACGCAGATAAGTACGAAGAAGATGGTAAATGACCAAGCTTTTCAGTTCAACTTCAAACGTTCATTCACAGAGTTACCTCACCGCAGTCTTCTCATCTACGCACAGACAACGCATCTACAGACAACGCATCAAGCGGCGAGCTTTGGCGGTACGGTGGCCCCCGCTCTCTAAGGGCAAATACTTGCTGCCGTGTCGGCGGAGCGAGCTGCTACCTACTCTATCCACGCATTTACGCACAACGCATCTACAGACAACGCATCAAGCGGCAAGCTTTGGCGGTACGGTGGCCCCCGCTCTAAGGGCACATACTCGCTGCTGTGTCGTCGGAGCGAGCTGCTACCTACTCTATCCACGCATTTACGCACAACGCATCTACAGACAACGCATCAAGCGGCGAGCTTTGGCGGTACGGTGGCCCCCGCTCTCTAAGGGCAAATACTTGCTGCCGTGTCGGCGGAGCGAGCTGCTACCTACTCTATCCACGCATTTACGCACAACGCATCTACAGACAACGCATCAAGCGGCAAGCTATGGCGGTACGGTGGCCCCCGCTCTAAGGGCACATACTCGCTGCTGTGTCGTCGGAGCGAGCTGCTACCTACTCTATCCACGCATTTACGCACAACGCATCTACAGACAACGCATCAAGCGGCGAGCTTTGGCGGTACGGTGGCCCCCGCTCTCTAAGGGCAAATACTTGCTGCCGTGTCGGCGGAGCGAGCTGCTACCTACTCTATCCACGCATTTACGCACAACGCATCTACAGACAACGCATCAAGCGGCAAGCTATGGCGGTACGGTGGCCCCCGCTCTAAGGGCACATACTCGCTGCTGTGTCGTCGGAGCGAGCTGCTACCTACTCTATCCACGCATTTACGCACAACGCATCTACAGACAACGCATCAAGCGGCAAGCTTTGGCGGTACGGTGGCCCCCGCTCTAAGGGCACATACTCGCTGCTGTGTCGTCGGAGCGAGCTGCTAAACCATATACATCTCTTTTTATTTTACACTCTAGTTTCCGATTTACCACAGAGATGCGAGTGTAACGAACGACCGGAGGGAAACTCGGCCCAGGCACTCCGGCGCGTGCGATCTGCCGATCGCCACGTGACTGCACCAGGATCAAGACGAGAACGGAGAAATGCAGAACAACAACGAAATGGCCCACGTCCGGCCTCAAGAAGATCAAGATCAAAGGAGACAGAGTACAGAGATTATGAAGAGATTAAGACTCCGCTCGAAGCCTGAGTCAACAAGAGCGAGACAAGACGAAGAGAGGCATCTATTTTGGAACACGAAGAAAATGAAACTCCCCAAAGAGAAACCAAGTGACAAAGGTCGCAAACAACAAGAATCTACGACGACTACACCTTGCGACGAGAAAGAACCGAAGAAACTCAGCAAAATGCCGACACCTGCCTCGCCTAAGCCCCGTGTTAGAGGCTGCCACGGAAGGTGACGACGGAAGCGACATGTGTGCGGAAGCAAGGGAAGGTGACGGCAGGAGAAGTTCGCAAAGCAGCAGTGAAACCCCGAGACAGAGGAGTGTTTCAACTAGAAGGACTGCGGCCACGTGACAAGGGTACTACGGAAAACACGGTCCAACCGACGCTAGGAAGCAACGAGCAAAGCGTGGACGTGGACATGAACACGGGCCTCAACACAGACGACAACGGCGCAGATCAAGATGATGAAATGATGCAGGAGGAGCAACGTGACACCGGAAATGGAGACAGGGCCATCGAAGGAGAAGCAGTGCTCGATCATCACCACTCGGAAACAGAGTGGGTGGCATTCGAAGAAAGTTTCAAGGCTACGCAGCTGATGCTAGCGTTCTCCATCGACGAGACGTCAACCTTCGTGGAAACGCTTGGGCCTGTGGAATCATGGAGCTGGCCCTGGCATTGTCCAAGTGTGCGGATCGCACGGGATCCAGTTCAGTGATAAGCTTATCCCGACCAGCCAGCCAGCAGAAGAACTGATTGCAACACCGGTTATCAACAACCGATCACTTTGGAAGTTCTTGCGCAAAAGATACATGAAGGTGCATGGCGTCACCGTGTGGGTGGAGCCGTACTACCCCGAGAAGGGGGACACCAACGTTGATATTTTGCAGATCGAGTACAGGAACCCGAATCCGGTATCGGCGGTGGATCTACACAAACTACTGCAGAGGTGTGGGGAGTTTGAGGGTATCGCGGTATCGCACGGACGGAAGCAAGGGCGTGCACCGAGGGCGGCGAACATGCCGTCCGTGAGGAGATCTTGCAAAGGGAACATTTTGCAGAACACTACATAGGGTACCAGGGCACCGTGCGCGAGAACAACGCAGACCTGGACATCCGCGTTGCCACCGCGAACATTAACAAGGGCACATGGAGTAAGATGGAAGAAATTAGAGTGTGGTTTATAGCAAATTCCGTTGACTTCCTGGTACTTTCAGACGCTGGAATCCAGGGCACCCAAGAACGATTTGTATGAAGTAGATCACGTGATGGAGCGGCAGTCCCAACCTTAATGTTGGTTGGAAATGATCGGGTTGCAATCATCATGGATAACGAGCGGTGGCAGTCGCGCTGGAGGAAAAGCTGCACTGCATACTCGCAGTCGGGCCGGTCACTGAGCACGCACTTCCGACTGGGGGGCAACACGGATCTTACCATCATAGGAACATATTGCCCGGATAGCCCACACCGCAACCCAGAGGAGACACGGCGTGAGCGCTCCTGGATCGAACGGCAAGCTCAGATAGCGGAACAAAGTGGCAACATCTGTGTATTAGCGGGCGACTTCAACACTTACCCAGATGAAGACCTTGATCGGAACGGGGTGTGCCAGCGAGAGACGGCTGCAAGGGTTGCGAGTGATGAATTTCGATTGTGGGCTCAAACTAATAGCATCGTGTCGACTTTCAAACACCGCGTGTAGTCGCGAGCGCAGCATCTAGGACATTCTTGTCTCTTTGGAACCCGTGCTGCATTGGGTGGTTTGGAACACGAGTCTCCAAGTAGCAGCTGATTGCTGTAAATAGGCGAGTCGCGAGTGAGATTTGTACGGTAATCGGCCTCCACGGCGGGAGCCCCTGGAGCTCCCACACTCCCGTGGCGTGAGAGTGCTTGGGAAGGAAGACCATTTGGCGGTGGTTAAGAATTTCCGGAACTACCCCAGTGCGCAGTATTGTATTGAAGATCAGTCGTTCTCTCTCGCGTACACTGGCGGGCGCTACCATCCATAATTCCTGTGGAATGCCTCCATATCCTGGGCCGACGCCTTTATTTGCCATTCGATCAACTTGTTGCTGCAGAGTCTCGTCATAAGTAAAGTCACCCCATTCATTCCCTGGTCCACAGAATGCGTCACGGTGAGTTCCACCAGCTTTGATGTCGTCCAATAGCCACGTTCTTATAAACTCTGGCAATTCACTTTCTGCCTCCACTGAGTCTGCAGTGAGGTGCATCGGCTCTGCTGTTTTTTCGTGTGGAGGAACCCACGAGTTCAACAAATCTACCATAGGTGATGTTACGGCCTGCTTGGTTTCTTCGTACGTAAAGTGTGGCGCTTCCCCAACTAGACCACCTTGAATGTGCACCGGCGGGAGCTGAGTGTGTATGGTAGACCGGAGAAATTGGCGCAACTGTCCCGAATTCATCCAATGCTTTCGTTTGAGCCGCGAATTTTTCCCTCTTTGACGCTGGCACCAGCTTCGACGAGTTTGTATTACGCTCTGCCACAGTTTCCAACCTGTGTTTAGCCACTCATGCATTCCAGGTAGGGTGCCTAGAGGTTGCGTGTTTCGCCACGCGTTCAGAGCTTGGGCCCCCGCCCTGTGAGGGCTGCTATCCGGAACACGCTGAGGGAAGAGCACCCACTTCGGCCACTGCACTTTGCGGAACGCTCTCTGCAGCTGGTCCAATGTCGTCCCTGTGGCACTCTGAAGGCGCCGCACTGCCCGCCACTGACCTGTGCACCGTACCGTGCGTTTCACACTAACCGCGCGGTCGATAGCTTGCTGACACTGACTTCTCTCGCCCCACAAATCTTTTGCTGTCTGGTACGTGCACGTGTACAGGTTGCGAATCGCTTTATCCAGCCACTGGCGCGTGTTGTCATCATCCGTGTTGTGCAGGGCATCTAGCGGTTCCGTCAGACACATTCTTCCTGTTGACAGGTTATCCTCCATTGCAATCCGAAAGTCATCAAAGTCACTTTTACTTCTATTCTTCATATTCAGCACTTTAACCGCTTGAACATTGCGAAGCCGCCGTCTGCACTGCTGAGTACGGTCCAACGCGATGCACACGAATGGTGTGCCGACATGGTCCCCTTTATTGAGCGAGTACAGCCATATGCCACTTTCTCGTATCTGATGTGAGTGCCGTCTTGAAATGTAGATGTCGTCTAGCACCGATCCCCCCCCCATTTTGGTATGTGAAACACTGAGACGTACTGTGTGCTCCTCGACAGAGCCGTTCTGAGGAAGGAGCCACTATACCTGTTAAGCAAAGATTGTGAGAAATGTTACGACCGGATCCCACGTTGGGTAATGGCGTACATCTACAAACGAATTGGTGTCCCAAAACTTTTATATGACATTCTGATGGGATTTCTCGGTCCTGGTGAAATTGATATTCGGACTGCGTTTGGATGGGTGTCTAGCGGGAAGCGCGAATTCGGCTTAGGACAGGGATCAGTACTCTCCATCCGGCACATCGGCTACTACATGGATGTCTTGATGCAGCGTCAAGACCAAGGCCCTGATGCTGTAATAATAACGCACTCGCAAGGCGCGGAGCCGCATCAGATCGCTGCTACCGTATTGGTGGACGACGTGATTGATGTTGCAACGACCCGATCAGACATTGAGCATCGAGTCGCTGTCTCAAATGTTTTTACGGGAATTCACGGAACTGGCGGGGTTTTCGGTGCTTCTAAGTCGTTTCTGCTCCAGTATACGCCCACCGGGCGTAGCGCTAGTGACACCGTCTACCTACTGGCCAACCGAGGGCGGTGACGATTGTAAGTCCAGCAGAGGGATTCAAGCACCTGGGTATTATCCAAAGCACCGATGACGTATGGAGCGCAACCTTCGCACCTGTGTGGAATGCGTTGAGACGCGAGGCAGACATAATAACCCGCCTACAGCTAACCGTGACCAACTCCAGTATATTGTGGCTACCTCGCGTACAGTATCGAACGCAACTGAATACTTCTCACAAGATTGCAAAGCACGTCGATATTCTAATTCGACGGGTGGCGAAGCACGTCCTTAAACTACCTCATAGCACACCTAAAGATGTGTTTCACAACGAGACACAGGGCCTTGGACTCGCCAGCTTTGAAGATATGTGTAACGTGGCACGAGCTCAGCTAGCCATCCGAGTGATGAACTCACCCCACTTGTCAGCCTACCACTTGCTAACGGAGGCATTCGAAATGTACCAGATCCAATCCGGGTTAACGTGCCACCCGCTTCAAATGCCGATGGATCCCCCCCAGCCACCTCCAGTGCCGGATCCATCAAACTATCCGCGCGGTGGTCGCAGTTGGAACGAAGGTGGATGTTACTTGGGAGAATTCCAAGCCTGTACGACTAATCGACCAAACGATAGGCCAATTTGGAACGAGTTGACAGAACCTCTCCGAGCCCGACTACTTCGCTACAACCTCAAGTACTCCCACAAAGTGCGCTATGTTGGAGACATCGCCAACACATCCGGTACGCTGCTAGACCAACCGACCTCATTACATCGAAAATTCCGCTGGTCGCGCCAGCAAGTTGGCGATTACAAGGCGATAGAGGATGACATCAAAGCCGTACTGTGTCAGAACTCTACAGAGAGCTGGTAACGCCGGTCGGACGGATCCCAGTAGACACAAGTTATCTACAGATTCATACGATGGAAGTAGGCCCTTGTCAGTTTTTCATTGCGAGCGAATTTGATATCACGGACGAGGGATTGGAAATGCGCGGTTATGAACTTGGAAAACGCGTTGACGATATAGTAATTGACAACCCCCATGGTCATGGCCTAGACATCAATGTTCAGTGGTGGCAGGAGACGCGCCCCAACAGCGGTGTGTGGAAACCACACCCAGGTGAAATTGGATCGGAACTAGCCAATATATGCGTACCAGTAGAAGTGGTGTACCTTCGTCGACGCGGAGGTAGGTCGGCCAAAGACCGAGTGATTATCTGGAGTGATACATCTATTGGAGGCGTTACTGGTGTAATGAGCAGAGATTTAATCAGGGAAGCATTTAATCGATCGTCGCGAAACTATGACGAAGTCATGGCAACAGGAGAGCTCCAACCTTCTGACCGAGCGTTTAGCCAGTGCAATCGGCGCCAAGGTGCCGTAGTGTCTGGAGTGGCATCATGTAAACTGCAAGACGTGTACCACCCGCCCGGTACGAATTGATCGTCGACCGTGGGTGCATTGGGAAGAGTTCCGCAACTGTGAAAATTGTATTGCAGCAGGAGATGGGAGTGTATGTCATGGGGGGACACCAAGTGCCACCGGTGGATGGGGACTTCGTACAGGAACTGTCCGCAAAATTGGCAGAATTGCGGTGCACTGGGCGGATATGACATCCACCCGATGCGAGTGCCACGCCCTCATTGCTGGGTTGATGGCATCGAGTGACACAGGTACCCAAGTCTGTGACAACTTAGCAGCCATTCGAACCTTAGAGACTGTTCGTGCCATCGCAAACGGTATTCGATCGTCGCATCTTAAGTATAGCAACAAGCATCGAGTGGAAATTCGTACCATGGTGGCGCTGATGCGTCCGGGTGGGGCGTTTACTACGCTCGCACCAAGAGCACGAGCTCACATCGGAATGAGCAGCGCCAAGCACTTGCAGCAGCTGACGCAGATGCTGCCCAGAGCCACGACCTCAGTATGACCGGCTCATATACAGGCATCATGTCCTGGGATGCTGCTCACTTCATTGATTCTCACGGAAACCCGGTCGTAGGGCGAACCAGCGATTCTTGACGAAACTAGCAGCGGGAAAACGGAAGTCCACCTGGATTGAAGCAATGGGCACACGTGGAGAACACAGGCAGACGGCGTGCGATACTGACTTGAATACGACCAAGTTACTCGGGTGGGATGACTATCAAAAGCGTTTTTATTGGAGATCGATTACCAATGTCTTACACACTAATCTCAGGAAACACCCAGTGGGAGCCACACTGTCGGATATGCAGTGAGCCGCGGATAGATACACAAGCTCATCGATATGGAGTGGGTCAGGACGGATGCGTTGCAACGGCAAGCCTGTATGTTGAGGTGGGGAGACAACTCGAGATCCTGTGTCATCGCCTCTGGATTCCAGACCAGGAGTATATGATACCAGGCCGTTGCCACCTTGTTGCCAGAGAAAGCGGCCGACAAACTCGATCATGGTGGACATGTGATGATAAGGAAATAGGTCCATGGCGGGTGCTGGTCCAACTCAATCCCAACCTATGGGCTCACGCAGCGCAGGTGATCTCGCTGGTACGAGAGTGGCGATGGGCATCGTATGCCAGCCACCTTCTAACCCTGGAAATGCAGTTTTGCAAGAAGCGACCAGCGGGTCGTCTCTTACCCGTGTAACTCCAACGAGCGGCACACCCTCACGCGGCGCAATACTCCTATCACCGGTTTATCGCTAATGCCCTGGGGCCTGTCGGCACCGTTGGCCACCGTTAGTCACCGTTCGCCACCGCTTGCCACCGTTTACGTTTCGGCAAAACGTTCGTTTCCCCACTCAAATCCTGAAATAGAGCAGTGAGCATCAATACAATAATCAAGTAAGAAGACAGGTGGTTCGAGGGGATACAAACAGCAATGACAAGAACATGCATCGGCTGACAGGAGGATTGCTGGGGCTAACAGTGTACTAGTATTGCATTAAGCATTTGCATTGAAGAAGGAGTGAATACTGACCGTGCTGGTTGTTGTCTGCAATCACTCGCAGTAGCTCCTTTGCGATGGATCTCCGCAGCGTTTTTTTATCTTTCGACAGCTTCCGCATGCTTGTAGCCGGCGGAACTACTAGTGCGTAAGCAGGTAACGCTGGGGCAGCAGGTATACTCGCTTGCTAGTGAAATTGCGCTCTTCGACTTCGCTTTTTGGGCTCCTTTAGTCGCTGCCACAGCGAGTCTGGGTTCATATCGCTGTCTGGATACCTCTCTTGGAAAAGGGCAAACATCTCAACCCACTTGTTGGGAGCTCTCGGTCGTGCTGCAGCTTCTGCTCGAAAGTATCCCAAATCTGATGGCGATTTCTAGTGTACTTACGCTTCTTGCTTTTGGCAGCAGGACAAACAGCATGTCCGCCTTCACAACGAGAACCGTGTGCAGCTTCAGCATGAAGGCCACTACCTTGGTCGACTGGCGCTTGTGTGAGATGCTGCTGTAATACTGCTGGAACAAATGTTGAGATGCCACTCACCAAAGCATTGCTAGTTGTCGCCAGATCTGGTGTTGCTCCCACCCCCACCGCAACGTCAGCTGTGCTTAAAAGCCTAGAGACTGCTGTGTTGGTTGTAGCGACATCACGTGACGGCGTTGCTGGTGGAATAGCATCTGCGGCGCCACTGCATTCAGTAAATTTGCTCCGGGCAAAGCCTTCTGCGCGTGGGGGCTTAAGTTTTGGTTCGCGACCATTGTTGGCCGCTGTTTTGAGGGCAGCCCATTTGCGTTTGAGAGCAGATTCGTCCTTGGGGAAAATACCCTCACAAACTCGACTTGCAAAATCGTAAACACGGACAAACACTTGTGTTCTGCTCTTGATGGTCTTTGTAGCTCGCAATACACCAAACAAATCTATCATCAGCTTCTGCTCGTCAGTATTTTCCTTGCTGGTAGTCTTACGATTGAGATCAAACGAGAACAGCGGAGGTCTGCTTGCGAAGGATTTTTTAGTACAGCTATCCACCTTCGGGTCCGACATTTGCTTTAACTTCCCCTCGATCGTTGAGTAGGATCTCCGACGCAAACGGAAAGCCACATTTGTGTTAAACTCTACCACCATGTTGAAAAGTATCGTCGTGACATGGACACACGATTTCCACACAGCCCCTTCTCGATCCTGCTCAAACCGGACTTGACGCAGCAGCTCGTACTCTTCTAGCCAAAAATCAGAGGATGGCTCGTACGAAGTCTCAGTCAGTTGCATCGACTCAAAGAACGCCTTCGTGCGAAGGGGGGTTGACTGGGCAACTTTTGCGCAGTTGAAAAATAGTTCCTTTATTGTTTTCTTGTGGCGTCGAGAAGCGGTAAGTGTAGCATCAATGCCAGCATTGCTCACACGCGCATTTTCAAAAATTCGTCTCCATTGGTCGAGATCAAAGTCTATGCGAGAGGCTGAGCGGTATTGCGGAGAAATCTGGGGTTGGGACAGCATCGTTAGCGCAAACTCCAATTGTGCCGACTCTGGTAACGCGCCTCGACTTACCAATGCAGCTTGAGCTAGTTGTATGAAGTCCAGTTCCCCTAAATTCGCATTACGGCCAAACTTTGTCCCAACGCGGAGATTGTGGCGAACAATAAAAATGTCAAGAATTCGCAAACCAACGGGAGCTGACACAGTGCGGACGAGTAGTTTTTTCAAGGCGGAGTGAAATCCTTCGAGTTGACTGGTGGATACGACTCTCACCGTCTTAGCAGCCTCCTCGTACGTGTTATTAGAGACAAAGAGATCTCCGCGACGAATCTGCTTCGCGTTACTTTCATAACAGCCACGCCACTCTGCATCCGAGCAGTTCACGTCCGCCAATGCAACACTTCTCACAGCACGTAAAAACCTTTTCTCCATTTCGTCAACGGGTCGCAGCGTGCCATCTACTGTGTACAGCGCATTACTTAGCTCCTTAGATAACCACTTTCGCTTAGTTGACTTAACCTTCTCGGTTATGCGCTGTATTACATGGAACGGGTCTTGCTTGGTCGAGACACGATCGCCAAACGCTCTGCTAACCAGATTGCGAATTCCAGTGGCATCATCACTTACTACCAAAAGCTTAGCATCGTCAGTAAACGGTGCAAGTATGGGCTCCACACGTTTTAGTAGCTCCTCAGTTTCATCATTGTTCTCTGAGCGTGTAAGGCAACGACCAACGATCTGCCCAATTTCATTTTGAGCGAGAAGAAGCATTTTTCAGTTTGCCATACCATCACGTTTCCCACTGCCTGTCCAAATCTTAAGACGCTTACAAAATTTCACGGAGTGATCAATGCAGAGCGCTCTTCGAATCTTCAAGTGCTTCATGAGATTTTCACACAGAGAACTGTAAATCGTTGTAAATTCCATCCAAAACGCTGTCAGCGTTTGGGTAGTTGGTGGAGCATTGTCGGAGGCATACTGAGAGCAAGTTGGCGGGGTCGGAGATACATAGTCAGCATTAGCGTTCCGGAGTCGCCGAACTCTATCCGCAAAATGAGTGTAGAGCTTGTAATACCGGCTTTGGCGCCGGCGCTCCACAGTAGCCAATGCACTCGACAGCCCATTCGGCGACATAATCCCATCATGAACCATTTCCATAAACTCGTTAGAAAGCCCTCCTTTCACCGACAAAACAAAAGGGAAGTGAACCAGAAACTCCACGTGCTTCTGCAAATATGCTGGTGATATTGTAGTAAAACAAGTTCCTGTAGAACCAGCGCATTCGTACCGCACGTAAAGCAAGTCGCACTTCGCGTCAACAAGATCGACCGTACGGTGTACGTACTCCTTTACACGTGGCGAGCAGTAACAACCAGGAGAAACACACTCAGCGTTGCCCCCATTCAAACACTCAGGGACCCACACAACAATCGGCCGGGAAAACAACTTTGAGAGAGGGGCCATGTTGTCTTTCCAGCTCGTTAGCTCCGGGTACGGTACACTTGGCGGGAAAGCACGCTGCGACTTCGCTTCTTGCACTCCCCGTCTGCACTCTTCAGCGTCCATTGCGAGTTCGAACGTTGTGCGGGCTTACTGTTCACTCCCCACTCTATTCACTTCAGCGACTTTTGGCTAACTTCAGATATTTTAGTCGGGCGGAGTCGGAGATCGGAGCTACAACCAATCGGATCGGAGCCGCCGGGGCCTAGCGGGCCCGGCATCTCCGATAAACCCTATCACCCGTGCCAGGTGACGGGACTTTGGGAATCGGGAACGCGAAACCCGAAATACGGTGCAGCATTACTGAAACCGGAGCCACCTGCTGATCAAGCTGCATGGTGGATCGATGACACGTTTATACCAGCGGACGAAAGCCGATGGGACTCTATTCGCGCCGAATACAACGGATGCAGAGATGAGAGAAAAACATTGTGGGTCGCGTGCTATGATACCTCACCGGCACATAGATGGGAATCGAGTGGTTTGTCTGTATCCCGGTGAATACATTTCGAATGAGGACTAGGCAAGCGGTAAGCCAAACCTCTTCCACCGAACGTCGGAATATCACAGCCAAGAACCCCTCTCCTGTATGGATCGGTATTATTACCCCACACATAACTCATGCACAGCAGCACTGCTGGGTGTCGGAATGGTGGTCTGCATTACAGTGCGATCTCTACAGACTGGCTTATCATCGAGTACACGAGTGAGGACTCGCCCGTATACGGTCCCCATCAGGCACTTGTTACATGGAACTCTGCACTAGCCACAACTGGGGCGGACCCCGTTCTGCTGGATAACCGTTGTTGGCTACAAAATGAGTTTCCGGAGGTATACTCGGCTCCATGCGGCTGGAAGACGTGGCCATCGGCTACTCCGGCAACCGTGCGATGGGCTCAATACCTCATGGTCACTTCTGCCGGTGGCACGAGACTGCATCTTGGCGTCCTACGCAGTATCTGGATGTCCAATAGACTGCACTGGAAGACAACATGCCAGGAAAACGTACGGGTAATACAGGCAAGAGACGAAGGCACGCTACTGGAGGAGGTTAATGCCGACATTCGGAGAAGTCGGCGCCAGCACACCCGCGCAGGTATGGGATTTGACACCGTACTGGCTCGCCATATATCGGTACGTCGTGAGCGGGCCGAGAGGTGGCGTGAGAATTGGCAGATAAGACGACTGGAGGCGGCCCTAGCTGAGGAGGACGACGATCCTAGTGGAACAACAATGGAGGAGCAAGGGCAAGCTCATGCGTGACCCACGGTAGAGCGAGAACATCAGTACGAGAAGGTCCTGATCAGATACATATTTAGGATGCATGTTGTAGGAAATTAGGACGGAGCCGTAGCCGCCGGGTACCTGAGGGGCCCGGTCAGCGGGGTTCGATGCAGTGCTCGCCCCGAGCGCTATCGGCGGTAACCGCAAAAAATAAAAAATAAAATAAAAATAAAAAATATTTTACACTCGGACAGGTCGAATGTGTGTTACTGTACAGATCTACATCTACATGCATCACGGTGCGGAGTTGTGTGGCGCGCGATGCATCGGTGCAGCAGACGACCAAGGCCAGTTCTCAACCATCGTCGCTTGTCTCCATTGATTTATGTGGCTTGAGCCGGCCAGGCGGCACTATACTGAAAAAGTTCCTGCTCTACGTGCGTTTGTGCGTCTAACTTCAGCAACTTGATCTGCTTGGAGCGTAAACAAAATGAGGTTGTCATCAGTGTCAGCTCCACGTTTCTCCGGAGGTGCAATTGTGTGCACCAAGTGGGGAGTTCTCATTGGATATGTTGACGGTGGGTCCGACGGATCAACGGAAGGCGAGCACTATCAGTCGTACGGCTACACGTTTCATGGCCTCCCCGCCGATATGCCTTCTTTGTTGCCTCTCAGTGCTGACGAGGAGGACCTATGGACAATTGAAGGCCGGTGTGCTCGCCGACAAGGAAGTGAAACTCGTCCGATATCATATCACGTTATTTTCTTCTTGAAAGTATTGCCTTTGCAGTAAATCTAACCGCCATCTCCACACTCTGCTTTTTACAGCAGTAAGTAAGCCTTTCCTCTAGTAGATCTCCGCCATAATGTTCACCACAAGCGCCGTCCATCCCGAGAACGGGTGGCACCGCTGTCCCTGACCGTAGTTCTGCTTGGCACTGATGTCGCCGTTGTACTGCTCCCAGAGGTACCCAGTGCGCTCGTACTCGCGGTAGACATTGGCGATCACGTTCGTCCGCAACGCAGCGTACGCTTTCTCGAACTCCTTCTGGTACGGACTGCCCGTGCTCGGCTGCGCGTAGTAGTGTAGCGCATCCAGAGCCAGGTAGTTGGCGTTCATCCAGATAGCTCCGCGCCAGTACGGGTTGTCTCCCGGCGCGTTTTCTTGCTCGTAGAACTGGTCCCGCGTAGACAAGGAGCGCAGTCCGAACGGCGACCACAGCTGCGCAGGGTCGGTGATCTGCTTCAGGAGAGCAAGCAGCTTCGGAGAGTCCGGCGGCAGCACCTTCAACAGCAGCGGAAACACGCTGACGTAGCCCACGTGCTTCACGTGCTGCAGCTCTGTGGTACCGGGGACGAATACAGGCAGCATCTGCAGCCCACCGCGACCGTCGCCTAGCGGGAACATAAACTCTGGGTGGGTATCCGGGCACTTGACATTCCTGGTCTCAATCTGCGCGATAGGTGCCGTAGCGTCGACCACTTGGCCGTCTCCATTGCGACAGCGAATGGCAACCTGGTACTGAATGACGCCGTCCTCGCTGTGGTCACCCACGTCGAAGTACGACTGAGCTTCCTCGTTCCAGTGGTGCTGGTCCAGTCCAGTGAAGAAGTGCGCGCTGTTCTTCTCGAAGCGGTCCACATCGGCTTCCCGACCGATAAAAGCTGCGAGCTTCGCCATCACATCGCTCGACCGGATCATCCACGACAGCAAGTCCACGTGCATCTCGTTCTCGCTGGGCACCGACGCGCGCGGGTAGTCGTCCAGGCCCGACGAGAGTGTGTTGGAAATCAGCTTGCCATCGTTCGGGTGGCGGCCGCGCCAGCGGAAGCTCGCCGTCTTGGGGCCATACTGCGTCTTCAAAAACCAACTGTACCAGCGCTTCAGGAACGGGAAGATCGTGCGCACGAACTCCTGCAGGTCCTTGTCCGAGTCAGCGTCCTTGTGCCACTGCATCATCTTCTCCAACGCAATGAGAAGCGTAGGAGGGTTAGCGTGTTCCACATGCTGCACCAAGAACTCAGCAGGTACACGACGACGCGCAGCTTGGCCCAAAATCTGCTCGCGAGCGATGTAGCCGTCCTCCTCCATAAGCCCAAGCCAGTGGGCGATCACGTCACGCGTGATGTTGTCATCAAACGCCGACACGCCAAACTGGTGGAAGCCTTCGTCCCACACGAAACCTCGCGGGAAGAATGACCGCGATGGGACAGCCGTGAACAGCGGCTTCTCAGGGGACTCCACAGTCTCGGGGTTCTCCGGGTCATGCTGCACGAGCGAACTGCCGTAGAAGTAGCCCGTACCTCCGATCAAGTTGCTGAACGCCGCCTTGGCAAAGGCCATAAGGCTGTCGCTGAACGGGGCCTCTTCTCCATCGTTCGTCGGCCACGTCTTCGAGGACAGATGGAAAGCCTCCTCGAATTTCTTGTCGAACTGCTGCGAGTACTCGGCCAGCTTTCCAGTGACGAGACTGTCGATCGGCGTCTTCACAGCATCAGCCGCAGTTGAGGTCGCGGCCTCGTTGAACAGCACGTCCAGCACCACGTCGCCGTCCTTGAACGTAGCAACGTCCACATCCACGATGGCCTGCACCACCACGAGCGTGCTGCCTTCCTCGATGAAGTTCTCCAGCTGGATCTCCTTGTCCGACCTCAGGTCTTTGTTGACCTCACCGCCCGGCCGTTGGGCCAGCGACACGAGCCTGTCCTTCACATTGATCACGTTGGTGTTCTTGAGGCCGGCGTAGTGGAGCTCCGCGCTTCGCACACTGGGGCCCGTCTTCAGCTGCACGTGCATCTGGAAGGTCAGAGGCGCAGCAGCGTCCTCCGGCGCGCGCTCCCCGTCGGGTCCTTCACTCTCCAGCACCATCTGCACACACTGCTCGTCCTTCTGCTGGCCGCACTGCACGCGCGCGGGCTCGGCCGTGACCTCCATGAGGTTCTGCAGCTTGTGGCGGCACTCCAGCTCCAGACTCTCGTCCCCGCAGCCCAGGTCCACGTAGAAGAAGAGCGACACCTTGTTGCTCGGCACCTGCTTGCGCGCGAGGTGCTCGTCCCTGGGCGTCAGCGGCCCGGCCTGCACTCGGGCGGCCCAGCCCTGCACTTGGTCGGCCTGCAGTCGCGCGTAGCTGGTGGCGAGCTCCAGGCGGTTGAATTGGTCCTCCACGGTCTGCAGCCCGTAGTTGGCCCCGTCGTGCTCGAGCCAGCCGTAACGTTGAAGTCGGTCCTCTTGGCGGCACTGGTGTCTGATTTGTGACACGTCCTCCAATTGTGATCCCCACAATAGTCCGGCCGACACAAACTCGGGCGCCGTGCGAGAGCGCAGACCCAAATAAAGTCCCGGCCGGTACGTGCCCCAGCGGAAGCGCGCCGCCGAATTGGTCCGCGTCATTTGGTCCAGCGCACGGGCGTCCAGCGGGCCTGAGGCAGCGGACGGCGACGGCGCCGACAGGTCCATGGGCCCGTACAGCGTCGTGTAGGTCGAGATGAGCATGGCCACCAGCGACGCGCCCACGTAGACCATGCGGAAGCGCCGCGCGCTCTCCTCCGCCGTCGGGACCGCCATGGCTGTGCGGTGGAGGGAGGGTATATATGCCCGCAACACGTGTGCGCGGACTAAAAATGCGTATCAAAAATATGCGTCATCAAAAAATGTATCTTGACACAAAAGTATCTGTCCGGCGTCTCCTGACTCATTTTAATCCAATCCGACTTCAAATGCGACACATTGCGCTGGACAGAGCGACAATTGCTACTCGGAGCTGTTCATTTTCGATCCTCTCCACGTGGCAGCGCTCACCTTCGACGGGGGGACGGACGATGGCGCGCGGGATGACGATGACGCGCGTGCTGGCGCTGCTGGCGGCGCTGCTGCTGGTGACCATTTGGTCGGGCATTGACGTGGAGGCGGCCAAGAAGGGCCGCAAGGGCAAGGACGCGCCGCTTAAGGGCGCGGAGAAGCTGGCGCAGCTGCAGGGCCGCGTGCGCGACGGCGTGGTGCCCTTCACGAGCGAGCTGTTCGCGCGCTACGCGGCGCGGCCCGACCGGCCGTACCACCTGGTGCTGCTGTTCACGGCTACGGCCGCCAAGTACAAGTGCGAGACGTGCGCGCAGGTGGCGCCCGAGTTCGAGACGCTGGGCGAGAGCTACGAGGCCGCCAAGCAGGTCAAGGTGGACACGCGCGACGGCCTCGAGGTCTTCTTCGGCGTCGTGGACTTCGAGACCAACCAGGAGGCCTTCGGCATGTACGAGTTCACCTCGGCGCCCCACGTCGTGTACATCGCGCCCGACCGCTCCATCGACGCGGGCGACCGCACGCCCAGGAAGGCCAAGATGGAGCCGCAGAACCTCTACAACGTCTACTCGCAGGGCAAGGAGGCCGAGGCCATGGCCACGTTCGTCAAGCAGCGCACGGGCTTCGACTTCGTGATCCAGCGCTCCAAGACCTTCCTCTACGTGCTGCTGGCTGCGGCGCTGGCCTCCACGGCCGTCACGGCCAAGCTCGTGCTGACCCACCTGGACTTCGTCATGGCCAAGCTGCGCCGCAAGCAGCTCTGGATGACGGTGTCGCTGCTGTTCTACGGGCTCTCGGTCTCGGGCATGGTCTACTGCATCATCCGCAACCCGCCGCCCTACTCGGCCGACCGCAAGGGCAACATCCAGTACTTCCACCCGCAGGGCCGTCAGCAGTTCGTGTACGAGGGCCTGATCGTGGGCGGCTACGACGTGGCCGCCGCCATCTTCATGATCCTGCTCTCGCAGTGGGCGCTGTACGTGCGCAACCCGGCCGTGCGCTACGTGTCCATCGTCGGCTGCGCGCTCGGCTTCTTCTTCATGTACCGCCAGATGACGGACGCCTACAAGTTCAAGAACCGCTGGTACACGGGCTGGATGGGCTTCTAGACCCGCGGCCGTCGCGCGCGCTGGCTGCAGCAGTCTCAAGCTGACTGCAAGATTCAATGCAATCGCAGCCATTTTGCTGTTGACAAGGAGCGAGGAGACAAGAGTTAAGAGACTGGGTGCAGCATATTGCTGTCGCTTCGGGCTCGCATTGAACAAGTTGTCGCCACGTTACAGTTGTAGTGCAGTTTGTGTGCATTTGGTGTGGCCTTGCCACAAAACGGGAAAAAGGTGTCGCCATAATCGTCCCCACGGCCCGGCTCTGACCCAAATCCAGCCAATCGCAGCTGCGGATTACATCCATCGGACCAAAATGTCACAATCCGTCCGTCGCGACACCAAAACTGAGCTCAGTCGTAAATCCGCCACGCAGTCTCAATTTAGCGTCTCGCCACCTCGTCACTAACTAACCCTCCGCTCCTGAGCCCGCGCGTGACGATGGAGGGCTGGCTCACCAAGCGCCGCGACCACATGAACCTCATCTGGCGTACGCAGCTCTCGCGCGTGCAATTTCCATGCTCGAACTCGCAGTAGAAGGCTCAAAACCCATGTCATAATTTGTGTCTCTGCTGCAGTGGATCGCTACTTCCTGCTGGACGGCAACCAGCTCCGCTACTACCGCAAGCGCGGCGACCCAGCGCCTCGAGGCACCTACATCCTCACGGACGCGTGCGTGGTGAGCCCCGTGTTCAACTCGGAGGAGAAGCACAAGCACCACGGGCCCGTGTGGATGTTCCGCATCACGTTCGCGGTCGGGGACGCCGGCTCGGGCGAGAAGTCGTACAAGAAGGACCGGTTCCTGGACCTGGGCGCCAAGAGCGAGGATAACGCCAAGGAGTGGAAGCGCGCGCTGGAGAACGCCGTGCGCTCCATCCGCGAGCTCGTGGCGCACCAGAAGAAGCTCAAGACGGACGCCGAGATCTTCCCCACGCCCACGCACGTGCCGCGGCTGCTCAAGACGGACGAGGACACGGTGTCGCTCTTCAATCTGGACGCGGACAACGTCAAGGCCGAGCAGGCCTGGTGGCTGGCCAGGGTGGAGGGAGGCCTGAGGATCATGCAGGAGTGCCCGCTCGGACCCAATGTCGCGGCCAACCTGTACGCGCAGCATGCGGCGACTACCAATGGGCTCATCTTCAGCGCCTGTGTGGGCGCGGCGTTGAGCTTCAGCAGCATGTACTCGTTCGCCAACAATATGCTGCTAAGCTTCATGACGGCGCTCGTGGCGATCGCAGTGTGTTGCGCTGCGGTGACGCCTACGCAAGCTCCGGAGATCCCGAGCTTCCGTGTCTCGCAGGTGGTGCACGGATCTCCGACCGAGGTGTTTCGACTGATCATGAACTCCAAGAGGTTCCAGCGTTGGGACTCGGCCACGGCCACCATGCGCGTGATCCAGCAGCTGGACGACCACGCGGATATCGTTTACGTGACCCAACGGCCAACCCACCTGTGGCCGCTGTGGCAGAAGGCGCGCGACCTGGTGCTCATGCGCTACTGGCGCCGCGAGGAAGACGGATCCTACTTCGTCATGTACCAGAGCATCGAGCACCCGGAGTGTCGTGTGCGTCACAACTACGTGCGCGCGAATCTGCTGGGCGGCGGCTTCGTCATCGCCCCTCAGCGCGTCCCCAGCGGGTCCATCCGCACGCTGGTCACGTACGTGCTCCGATACGACCCGGGCGGCTGGTCGCGCATTTACCACCAGCTCGGCATGGACGTGGACCTCGTCATGCCCATGCTGCGCAGCGTTGTGGGCATCCGCGACGAAATGAGCGCCACGGACTTCGTCACGCCCAACGTCTCGGTGGCTCCTGCTGGAGAGGGCGAGGAATCGGAGGCTGGCCAGGAGGAGTCAGCGGTTACTCAGCGCACCAGCGTGGACTCCATGGGAGTTGTCATGGGCGTGCAGAAGCTTCAGACCAGTCTGCCGGAGAAGATGTGGGCCGAGCCTGATGCGTCGCTCTTCAGCGTGCGCGGCCACAACTACCTCAACGACAAGAAGAAGATCCCGTCGGCGCCGGCAATGTTCCACACGGTGGGCGTGGATCTGCTGTCGTTCGAGAGCGTGGCCGAGCGATACAACATCTCGTCTCGACCGGACAGCATCGGCCGCACCAGCTCCAAGTTCACGTTCGTCGTCAACATGATCATCCCGGGCCCGGAGAACGTGTGCATGGTGTTCTACTTTCAGCCCGTGCGCGACAACGTGTTCGAGGACGGCTCGCCCTTCTCCGAGCTGCTCAACGACTTCTTCGACGGCGACGACCAGTTCCGAAACTCGCGCTTCAAGCTCATTCCGACGGTCGTCGAGGGAAGCTTCATCATCAAGCAGTCGGTCGGCTCCAAGCCCACGCTGCTCGGCAACAAGCTCAAGTGTCCGTACCACCGTGGAGAGAACTACTTCGAGGTGGACATCGACATTTCGTCCAACTCGGTGGCCAACACTGTCGTCGGCATGGTGCAAGGCGTGACTAAGTCGCTGGTGGTGGACATGGCCTTCCTGCTCGAGGCCCAGACCGACGAAGAGCTGCCGGAAATTATCCTGGGCGCCGTTCGGATGCAACACATTTCGCTGGACAACCCCCGCCGGATGCCGAAGCTTTCGCCTTGAGCAGCAGCATTCAAGACCCGATCTCAAGATTTAAGTTGACGGTGATTAATGTCACGGTCGGGCCTTTCAAAGTGCAGCGTGTATGACCTTCTATAGATCCTCAAAGGGAAAGGATCTACGGGACGTGAACGAGTTTCCGCGCTGTCGATGCATCAGTCGATCGTTTTCACATGTGAACGCAGCACATGTATTGGGCTCGCTGCTGGTCTGCAGTGTATTCTTCGGCAGCTAATACAGTTCCTATGGTGTTTTCCTATCCTACTACAAGCTAATAATTATCTTCATGTTGGTTCCTATCCTACTTACCTAAAGGCCGAGAGCACAGCAAGGTTTGGTTCGCGCTTGATCGCCACCATTCGCCTGCCCTCCGAGTTCGAAACAGCCAGACTGGGTTTGACCGGCGTTTCCAGTATCAGGTTGCTGTGCGAGACGGCGACGCTCGTCTCTGTGGGGATGAAGTTGGCGTGGTCCCAGACAGTGTCGCCCAGCGCAACCTGGTTCCAGAGGTGACTCACCAAGCTGGCATTGTGCAGATCCGCGTTGTCGAGGAAGCGGAAGATTTTCGCGCTGACGCCGCTCTCCAACGGAGGAAGGCGAGCTCCAAACAGCGGCAGCACAAACACTCGCTCGGCTCCTACTGAGGAACGCACCACAGCAGACAACGCAGCCTTCACGACGCTGGTTTTGCCAGCAAACGCACACTGCTGCAAGTGGCGCTCCTTCATAGTCTTCACACTGGGCGGAGCTCCACTGTTGGCACCCCGTTGCTCTTCACCCACACCACAGACCGGTGACATGTCGTGTTGTCGCTTGGTACCAATTCTCACTTGAGGAGTAGCCGGTGACGTGAACGGCACTGCTCTCACTCGTGACTTCACCGGAGTGCTGCTATTGCCGCTCGCACCAGTAGAAGCAAGCATCCTCGACTGCAATCGCTCCGAGCGTTCACGCTCGCGCCTTGGAGAGGCCTCGAACGGTGACGAGAAGTCCTTCTTCCAAGTCTCGCGATCGATGCGCATCCGTTTCCTCACACCCTGAAGCACCGGCGATACAAAGGTCTCGTCGATCTCGTTGGCAATGCGAGCAGGAGTGCCAACGACAGCAGAACCAGCAGTTGCAACACCATTGGCATGGGCAACGCATGGTGCTTGATTCTTGCAGTCCTATTGAAACAAAAGTCAGAGCAGATTCGAGGTTAGCGATCGCTAGACAGCTATGAGACCGAGGGACTGCAATGTTTACGTACAATGCATCGGCAGTTTTCACCGCAAGGCACTCCAGCCTGGAAACACTCACAGTACTTCTTTTGACACGCTGACTTCTTGCAGTGGCAACCATGCTTGTGCATCTTCGTCGACAGCAAACCCGCACTCAAGAGTTGATGCTGTTGCTGGAGGTTCAGCCGACCCGACGGCGACAGGAAAGTTCCCGGTGAAGCGTGACTACCTCCAGACGCACCGACAGATAGACGACGGGCACTACCTGGAGTCATACCAGGCGTGGCACCGATCTTGGGCTTGAACGCGTTCGGGTTTTTCTCCAGACGCGCTGCGATAGCTTGTTGTCTTACCTCCTCCGTCGCCGGTGTATTCGAGCAGTCGAGACAATTGCAGCTCTCATCGCAGTATCCACCACTAGCAAAACATTCGCAGTACAACTTGAGACACTTGGACTTCTTGCAGTTGCACGGCGCCTTCTTGGGTACCTGTGTTGCCATTCCCACAGGTGCTGGACCGAGAGGCGCCTTCGATGCAGATTGCAGCGACATCGTCAGCGCCGATGATGATCCCAGAGGCGTCGGCGTTTTCAGCATGCTGCTGTCAAATGGGGCCATGCCGCTTGGGTTGTTGGTCATCTGTGGCGTCAACACGGTGTAGTGGCCTTGTGGTGTAGCGATTAACTCCCGTTTGATCTGCTTCGCTGGTGTTACAGCGAGAGCTACTGCCTGTCGAACACCCAGCGGAGATTTCTGCATCTTGAGTCCTGAAATGTTGGCCATCGAGGATGGCATCGAAACACATTGCTGCGCTTTCCGCTTCCTCCTGTTGATGAGTGGTGTGGACAGGGCTCCTGCTACCGGCTCCGTTGCTGGAATCAACCTGCGCGCAACAGGGGGTGAGGGGGGTGTCGCCAGCATCTCATCAGTAAGCTTCTGACTCGGAGCTAGTTTTCGAGGTGTGGGCGTCTTGAACATGTTAGCTTGCGGAGTTTGGCCGTTCCACGGGTGCAGCGGTGACCGTGTGGTCGTGCGCGGAGATGCCGCAGCTTTCACCGGGGTCTGCAACAGCTTACGCTGAACGTTGGTGGAAGACGAAGACTTCGTCATTTGGCGCTCGTCAGCCTTCCGTCGACGAATATGCTTCTTCTTTTTGCTAAACGGACACGAACACGTTAAACGCGGGTCAGATTTACCTGTGCTGGGATATCATCGTATCATAGAGCTGCAACCAACGTACAGGCTGTTGTTGATGGCTTGAATCTCGCGCGTGGAGTGCGAGTCGAGCAAAGATGGAGAGGCTCCAAACGACGTGTGAAGCTTCATCTTCATGACGCTGTGGCCCCCGAGCTTAGACCGCTCGTCTTTTCCCGGTGTGGCGCTCATAGACGCCTGGATGTTTGGGAATGATTCGCTGAAGAAGTTCGGGGATTCCAATGCAGACGCAGAGCCAGGGGCTGAAATGCCACCTCCTGTCAAAGATCCTGCTGATGACAGTCCTCGGTTGCTCTTCGTTTTGTTCTTTGGGGTCTTGAGGATGGTCGGTGTGCCATCGTGCACCCCAGTTGTTACTCCCTCCGCTGGGTCAACAGCTAGGTCCGGCTCGGGGAACGGTGGGAGCCTGTAGACGACAGCAAAAGCACCACGTCAGAATAAGGGCAACGCGGATCTCAAGAGTCTCGACAAGCAGTCAACATACAGTCTCGGAAGGTCGTAGGAGGAGAGCGCCACCATCGGCGACAGCTTGACCGACATGAAGCTGTTCTCGAACTCCTCCGCGGGCATGAGAGGCGACAGCGAGTTGGCGAACGAGAAGAACGAGTCGTGCTCGCTCGGGCTCGTCATGAGTCCGCTCGGAACGCACTGAATGTCGTCAGCGTCCAGAAGAGAGGGCGTCGCATCAGTCTTCTTACCCGTTGTAGCCGGCGACTTCATCGCTCCACGCACAACCTCACGCTCCTCGTCGTCGTCCGTGCGGTCGAACACGTCCTTCAGTCGCCGCGAGAGCAGCTGCTGTCGTGACGAGGGGGACGGTGTCCGCGGAGGCGTCGACGAGGTCGAGGCCTTCCTCGCCGATCGAACACTTCCTGCCTGGAGACTGTCCGCGTTCACAATGCCCTGCTTCACCTCCACTGCGATTGGCGCTGGGGCCTTCTCTTCCTGTTGACTGAGCGAGTCAATAGCTTCCAGCAGCCTCTTGGGGGTGCCCAGTCGGATGGGGACAATGGTCCGTCTCTGCGGCGTCGTGGCCGCCGCCTTCTTGCCGGCGTTTTTGCTACCTGCACTGGCCAGCGGCGACTTGAAGAACCTGGACGGCGAGCACGCGGCGCTGGAGGCTCTGGAGGACAGCGGGGGCGACGCCAGAGGCCCCATGAGCTCCAGGTCCACATCCATGGCGCTAGAAGAGAAGAAGCCGCGCCGGTGCGGCGACGGCGTCAGCAGCGAGAAGCCCCCGGCCGCGTCCTCCGTGTTCAGGTGCAGGAAGTCAAAGTCGCTGTCGTGTGGGGACGCGTCGCTCGGGAGGACGCTCAGCTGCTCGGGCGTCTGCATCTCCTGCTCCTGCTCCTGCTCCTTCTGCTCCTGCTCCAGCTCCTGCTCCGGCTCCGCTTCGTCTGTATGGACCTGCACTAGCTCCTGCGTCTTGTTCTGAGTAGTTGAAGCGCTTGTCGCAGCACTTTCCGGGCGATTAGACACTTGAGAGTCTGCGTGAGCGTCCGCGTCTGTGCTGCGCTGCTCTGGGTCCTGTATTGGCGCTGGGTGGGCCGCTGCGTCGCCCTGGATGGGGCTGGACACGGCCATGGCCTGCTCTCTGGGCTGTAGCGCCGCCTCCAGGGCGGCTGGAGACGCGAGAGAGGTCGCTGCAGACGCGTCGTCGAGAGCTCTGTCGCCTAGTGCGCAGGGTGCGAGGCGGCGGGCGGGCGCAGAAGCTCAAGTGCGTGACGAACCGGCGCTGCGCCTCGCCTTAGTTGACGTTGTTGATTGACCTGGTGGCGACTGGCGCGCTTTGAAAAATGTGGCGCCAAAATGCGGCGAAAAAGACGCGGGAAAAGAGGGAATAGATTATGGACCAATCAGAGGCAGGTTGCACTCTTGAATCCACCAATCACGGCGAAGACGATACTGTACCCCTTTTCCCGCCGAAGCAAAGGGTAGGCTGGCTGCCGGTAGTGCTGGAACTCTTACCATTATTATGGAGGGAAGCCAATGCACGGCAAGGAATTGGCGGGTCTACCTATCTCCATGCATGCTTCTGTAGCACACTTTGTCTTGGTCATGGTCGTGCTTGCCAAGGGTAGCTACATACCTATCTACAAGTTCGGAGCTGCAAAGTTCGTTGGCAATGCAACAGACCTGCTGGCCCGTTATGGTGCAAGCAGCTGCCGCTACAGGTTCCATCCGGGCCGTCAGCGGTGGACGCAGGAAGGCTGCTTGGGCCAGTTGCTGCTGCCATGCTCAGCTCGCTGCATTGCACACTGCAGCAGCTGGCATGTCATCGCATCGAATTTTAGTCCCAATTGTGACTCCTTTTAGTCGAAAATGGTCCAAACGCATCATATTCCGATCACAAACTGACTCCCTCCATGCAGGACGCGACTCGGACGTCGGAGGCGTGGGCGGCGCTGGCCAGCTCGCTCGTCAACGGCCTGGACGCCCGCTCTGTCGACGCGCAGCCACACTGCAGCCCCAGTGGTGCGGGGGCGAGCACAAGTGCAGGCGAGACTAAAACCCGCGGCCGGAAGCGCGTGCGCCGTATGCAGATTGAGCTGCCCTACTTTCGGCACCAGGTACGCGAGCTGGAGCTCAAGCTCAAGCGGCTCAAGCTGCAGAACGCGTCGCCCGTGGCTGCTACCGTCAAACGCGAGCTGCAGTCGCCGCGGTCGGTGCAGAATTTGGTCGAAAAAGGGTCGGGAGCGGACCAAAATTCGGTCTGGAACGGGATTGCAGAGCGCCAGCTCAAGGAGCGGCTGCGCGTGGAGCAGCAGCAGCAGCAACTGAAGCAAAAACACGAGGAGCTGCTCGGACTGTCAGAGGAGATGCAGAAGCTGCTGCGGAAATGGGAAGAGCATCAGGTCAAAACGAGCGCGCGACAGGACCATTTTGTGACCTGCGACTGATGAAATTGTGTCTTTGTGTGCCTTGCAGCAAGAGGTGGCGGAACGAGTTGGGGCTAAATTGCAGCAGCGGCATCGCTACTGGGACTGCGAGAAGGACCCAGCAGAGGACATTTACGCGGACCAATTGTCCATCGTCGCGCGGCTGCGGCTGCAGATGCAGAGTCAAAGCCAGCAGCGTCCGAGTAGGACGTTGTACTTTGGCTCGGGCTTATCTATGGGTCCGGAACTGATCAGATGGGACGCGAGTATCGAGGCCGGCTTCAAGATGGGGCTGCACCGCGGGACAGTGTTGCCGTTCGGGCTGGAGGTCGTATCGGAAGCGTACTGGCGGTTCTTCGGGTCCGGCTACGAGTCGGATCATGTTGTTCAGGTCGTTCGACACGACGAATCCGATATGTCGGTAAGTCTTCATAGGATGAATCGACCAGGATAACAACTTGAACTGACGAGTTGCGGGGTGCAGACAGGTACAATCGTGCGTTCTTTCAAACTCCGAGCTGATTTTGAGGGCTTCACATCTACGGTAGGCTGCACAATGACCTCCTGCAGATACGTGGATGAGGATGGCAGCGTCACACTCGCGTGGTCCAGTATCGGGAACATTAAAGAGATCAACGGCATGCAATTCCACGGCCTCCAGCTCCACAAGAATGGCTGTATCAAGCTTCGGCGAGCCCCTAGAGAGGGGCCTGGACAGCAGTCGACTTCGACGGTTGTGGAGGTCTCGTGTGAGACGATCCCTGTGTTCCAGGAGAGTGTTGTCGACAAGGCCCAGCAGACTCAGGCCTTCCTTGACGAGATCGATAAGGGGTACACGAAACTCGACAAGTTCTTCTGCCAGCGGATGGGTACACTGCTAGTGGAGACCGACTGGAAGGCCACCTTCGGTTGCGAAGCCATGATTGAAGCGTAGTGGGATCGGAGCAGGGTAATCATGGTTGTATGGGGTTTGAGATGAAAAGTAGCTTCACTCGGCGAAGACAACGTCACTTGATGATACCGTCGCAGCCGAAAATCCGCTTGGCTTAACGCAACAGGTTCGCTTTGTTTGGTCGGAATCACTTCAACCGCTTGCGCTGATTCACATCCATTGGATACCTATGGGGTCAAACGCGAAAATGCCTTGCTCAACCCAGGCGTCATTGGTACCCCCGAGAGCGCTGCTCAGTGCGAACAACAGCTCACTCCTAAATTTACCAACTACTTTCCAACACCTCCAAGAACCTCAAAAGATGTTGAGCTCCAAGACCCTCGCTGTCTGCGCGTTCGCGGCTCTGACAGTCGGAGCCCAAGCCGACGACTACACCTCCGACACTTACGCGGAGGGCAGCAGCTACTCCGACGGTGACAACACTGCGCTGCCAGCTTTCGCCTACACGTTCGACCCCGAGTACTCGGCTGGCGTGAGCGGGACCATCAAGGTGCAGTACGCCGGCCCTTTCTCCAGCTTCGCGGCGATCAGTGCCGACCTCGACTTCAGCGACGTGGACCAGAGCGATATCCAGGCCTTCAACGGCAACTGCACGGAGGAAGTGACTCAGTACAAGTGGCACATCCACGTCAAGTGGCCGAACGACTACGACTCCGAGTCCTTCGAGCAGTGCGCGCTCCCGATTACCGGCAACCACTACGACCCGCTGAAGGCGTGCAGTCCCGACTCCGAGTTCGCTGAGACGTCCGAGTGCCAGCTCAAGTCGCCCCAGTACAACTGCAACCCGGACGACTACGCCAAGAACCCTCTCGTCTGCGAGAAGGGCGATCTGGCTGGCAAGCTCGGGCTCTTCGAGCTGGACGGCAACAAGCAGGTGAGCGGCACGTGGTTCGACCCCAACTACCCCCAGCCGGAGGAGAACACGCCCGAGTGGAACATCATCCTCCACGCCGTGTGCGGCAAGGTCGCTCCCCGTATCGCCTGCGCTGTTGGCAAAGCGGTGGACTCGGACTGGAGCTGGGGCCCCCCCTCGGGCTCGTACTACCGGCACTGAGCTGTACCAGTTGCAGCCACGGGGTATCACTCGGTGCATTTGAATCGGCAAGCTGTGCTGCCATGAAGTTCTCTCTATATACATTTACACGAACCGTTAGTTAATTGAATGTTTCCTGCTTGGTGATTCACTGTTTGCTTGAGTACACACTTTTGGAGGACGCTAGGTGTGTCTTCAACAGTGACAATGTGGACATTAGCAACTTCAAGGTGCGAGCGATGAAATTTGGTTTTAGGTCGAACTCTTTTCCTGCTGACAGGCATCCGATCTCAGCATCGTCGACATGTAGCTGAGGGCAGTGATCTTCTCCAACCCAATCACCTCATGTGGAAGTTCGCAAGGATGGAAGCTCGCAACGCCTTCTAGCGACAGCGCTCTCCTGGATTTTGTCCTTCTCCTGACGCTGTCAGTGAAGTAGGCAAGGCTCGCAAGCGAAGCCATGATTGAAGCGAAGTGTAATCACGGTTGTTTGGGTTCGCTAGCCTCTTGACTGCTGAGCTTGACGAAGACAGGGTGAGCCCGTCACAGCCGAGAATCCACGCCATTTGACTCACTCAGGTTCGCTTTGTGTGGGTCTCGAAGTCACTTCAACTGGTTGCACCTGATTCACATCCATGGGATAACCCAGACGAACGGCGAAAATGACGAAGTCAACTGTCTTACCCCGATCCGACCCTTGAGCGTCCACGCTCACAGCCATCAGCCCACTCACTCGCTCACTCACTCACTCCGCAACTCGCCAAGTCCCGCCGACACCTCTTCCAAGCGACCCCTTAATCCAAAACATGCTGAGCTCCAAGATCCTCGCCCTCTGCGCGCTCGCGACCCTTGCGGTCTCCGCCCAAGCCGACGACGACTACTCCGACAGCTACGACAGCTACGAGGACGACGAGGGCAGCAGCTACTATGACGACGACGAATACGCCGACGGCGACTTCAGCGCGCTGCCGGCCTACACGTACACGTTCGACCCCGAGACGGCGGCGGGCGTGAGCGGCTCCATCAACGTGCAGTACGCCGGCCCCTTCTCCACGTTCGTGTGGATCTCGGCCGACCTGGACTTCAGCGGCGTGGACCAGAGCGAGATCCAGGCGGCCGACGGCAACTGCACCGAGGACGTGAGCGCGTACAAGTGGCACATCCACGTCAAGTGGCCCCACGAGGGCGACTCCGAGTCCTTCAAGCAGTGCGGGCTGGCGCTCACGGGCAACCACTACGACCCGCTCAAGGCGTGCGGCCCCAACTCGGAGTTCGTGGGCACGGACGACTGCCTGCTCAAGACCCCAGAGTACAACTGCAACCCGGACGACTACGCCAAGGACCCGCTGGTCTGCGAGAAGGGCGACCTGGCCGGCAAGGTCGGCGACTTCACGCTGGACGGCGACAGCAAGGTCACGGGCGAGTGGTACGACCTCAACTACCCGCTGCCGGAGGAGAACACGCCCGAGTGGAACATCATCCTCCACGCCGTCTGCGGCAAGGCCACCCCTCGCATCGCGTGCGCCGTCGGCAAGCAGACCAGCGGCGACTGGAGCTCCTCGGACTGGAGCTCCACCGACGACTCGTACTACCGGCACTGAGCAGGACGGGGCCAGCATCAGCATCCGTTGAGCTGCCGTTCCATCCATATCCACACATCCACACAAGCGGCGCAGCCTAAGTCAGTGCTAGCGCTCCATATTTGATGTGCATCAGGGTCTTCTGCCCTCATTGAAGCAGTCGTCAGACAACTATTCAATTCGTTTTGCCACATTTTACCTTTGCTGGCACTTTTCACACCGTCTATCGTACTCGCGCTCGCTTCTTCATCGTCTTACTGCTTCACTTCCCAGTTGTACTCGTCCACGTGTTCACTCGCTTGCTCGCTCCGATGCCGACTCGCAGAATCTGCAAGCCAACAACGAACACACAGACACCAATGTGAGCCCAGTGTTCGACTACAAGACGCGCACGAACGCCAAACGCAATGCAAAAACAAGGGGCGAGGTCGCCTCCCTCTTATCAAAGCAATCCATGCAAAATGTATCGCCCACTCTGCCTACCAGCTGCAATCAGGAGCTCTCGTTGTTACTGTCGTTGTGCTTGTGCTGTTTACAGGTTTCGCAGCAGCAGGAAGGCGAGCTTGGACGTCCATAGGCTCAGCTATCAGCTCCTCTCTTGAAAACACGCGCCTTGGCTGCGTGCTTTCGACGCATGAGCCAGCGAGTCTGCAGTCCACACATCACATGACATGGATAGTTTAGATATACGAGTCAGTACGGAAGGTTTTACTCAACGAAGCTACGCCACCTAGCAGTATCAGCTCACCCACCACAAATGCCACAGAGCGCACTAGGCCGCGCTGCGTTCTTGCTTGACGCGCGGGCGCTCTGCATCCCTCCGGCCAGAGCGACCCGAGTCGTACTTGCTTCCTTTGCTCGTCCGCGCGCTTCTTGACGACGTCGACGGGGAGGGGTCTTCGCTTCGGTAGTAGTGCTGGCTGCGATCTCGGCTATGACTTCGGCTAGAGCTGCGGCTGCGGCTGTCCGAGCGGCCTCGGCTGCTGTAGTTTCGTTTGCGCTTTCTGCTGCTCCTTGAGGACGGCCGTGAGCTGCGAGACCGGCTCCTGCTGCGGCTATTGCTGCGGCTGTCTCGATCACGATGACCATTTCCACCAGATTTGCGCTCACGACGGTCGAAATACGAGGGATCGCGCCTGTAGTCCAGGTCTCGGCTGTCGCGTCGGTCGTAGCCCCGGTCGTCCTTGTCGTAGCCGCGGTCATCTCTGTCGTAGCTCGAGTATTTGTCGCGAGAACTGTACCTGACATCCCGCCTGCTTTCACGGTACCGGTCATCGTAGTCGTCGTCATCGTAATCGTATCTGTCTCGATCGCGACGATCTCCACGCGTCCGACTGTCGTCTCGTTCGCGGCTTCGGCTACGGCTCCGACTTTTTTCCCGGTATCGATCACGGCCCCGACCCCGGTCCTCAGAGTAGCGATAGTCGTTGTCTTGGTCACTGCCTTGATACCGGATCTCCTGCTTAATCCGCGGTTCGTCATCTCGGAACCTTCGTGACGAAGTAGAAGCAGAGCTTCGGTCGTCGCGCCGAGAGGATTTTTGTCCATTTGATCGATAGCCACCACCGCTGGTTTTAGCAGTTTTAGCCCACTCCTTGGAGTCCTCTTCCGTCTTCTTCGTGAATTCAGCTTCGTTCCGAATACCCGACGGATCCAGACGGAGACCGCCAACCTGCGGCTTGAAAGCCTCCTTTAGCTTAGCCGCCTCATCACCTTCAAATGAGCTTGATGGCTTAGCCAAGGCGTCAAATTCCGCTTGTTGGCTTTTTTTCCAGCGCTGTAGCGATCTGTAACTTCGGAGCGCGTCCTCTGCAAAATCACACGGAAGCACGTGTTAGCAAGGGCTTGACTTGGTGTGTACCTATATGGATCCGTACTCGCTGTTCGCTCGTTGAAGACTTTGCCCTCAGGACTGGGGCTGCACCACTTAAACTTGAAATCTTTGCCCTTATTCCAAGTTGCAATGTAGGCAGCTGCTTCTCCGAGTAGCTGCGGAGAGATATCCACGCACACTGGCAGAAAGAACCTGCATATCATGCATAGCATGTTAAATACCACTGCAAGCTGCAAGAATGCTTCAGCGACGTACAATTCTTCGAGGACAGTCTGCGCGTCGTCGTTGATGGCGTCACGAACTGGAGACACAGACAACACGAACATCTCGTCAGTATACCTTCACCTACCGTGCAGTATTTGCAAGTACGCACACTTTTCCGGCATCTTTTCCAGCACGCGACGCAAGTAATAGAAAGGCATCTCCGTGGTGAGCTCGAAGTTAATGCCTTGCAAGACCTCCATCTCGTAATACAGCAGTTGCAGGCGCTCGATCTCGAGCAACTCCTCGTCACCAGCAAACAGTGGTGCCTCCAAGATGTCGTACATAACGCGCACCATGCGCAAGAGTTTCATGCGCTTGCTGGACGCCTTCGCCGACAGAAAGAGGCAGGCTGCTGCGAACTTGTACCGCTCCCGCGCGTAAATACCGCGGTCAAACACGCGATGGAAGAAGATGCACGCCGTGAGCGCGATATCGCTGCTCAAACCGAGACACCGCGACAAGATGTCGATGAAGGCGATCGCCGTGTAGCGCCAGTGCTGCTTTTCCTCTGGTTTGCTGTCAAAGTTCCGGCGTTCGAAAACCAGTGGGCAGTTGGATCGGTCCAGCTGCAGCTGAGGCGTGCTAGGCGGCGGTAACTGGAACTGTTGAAGCTGGTCAGGAGCTTCAGCTTGTCGTTCCGTCTCGCCGCGTGGCAACGGTACCGGGGCTCTACGAGGTTTGCACTCTCCCATGACGAGGCCCTTCCAGGCCTTGATCTTCCTCGGATATAGCTTCAGTTCTTCCCAACGAGCAAGGGTCTACATTGAGCAAAGGTATCCAATGAGTAATAGTCAGGGTCAAGACCGTCATCTTCACAAGTCAAGCAAATATCCATCACAGCACCTTGAACACGCGCTTCCGGTTCTCCTCGGAGTTGCGCTTGTCGCCGTAGCGAATCTCCCGCGCGCAGGCATTGAGCACTTCGTCCACGGTCTGGAACCACTCGCGCTGCACCTGCTGAAGTCGCTCCCCCTCGAAGGACTTGAGGAACTCGTGCAGCACGTAGAACAGCATCAACTTGGCCTGGAACCCGCGCGCTCCCTCCGCGTACGCTCGCTGCAGGCAGGACAACAGACAGACAATTGACGTTAGTAAGTTTTGTTCAATACGCTCAGGCAACACAAGGGAACGCAGGCAGGACTCGACTACTGAGGTCTTTCTATTAGGCGCGCCGCCACCACTGCACAGTCAGCCAGCCAGCCTCAGCAAGTAATGAATGAATAAATAAAATAAATAATATACACTCCACTTTACGTGGTGATAGTGGTGGGTCTTGGAGTAGCGGCTTTTTAGCGTAGTGGCGGCGGCGTTTTAACGGAAAGCGGCGTGGTTTTAGTCTGATATTGGTTGGTACCTGCTTCATCTTGATCTGGAAGCGCAGCGCGTGCTGCGGGAACGTGGCCATGTACTCGGCCGTCTTGGTCACGAGGTCGCGGTTGGTCACGCAGTGCAGCACGTCGTTGAGCACCGTGCCGAAGCCCGCGATCTCCCGCTCCCACTGCGACTCGGACAGCAGCGGCCGCTCGGGCTCCGGCGCAGGCACCTCGGGCGGCGTCTGCAGCGGCGTGTTGCCGCCGTTCTTGCGCCGCTTGGCCGCGCTGCTAGTGGGCGGAGTGGCCGACGGCTTGCGCGCCTTGTCAGGCCGCGGTGGTCGCTGCAGCGCCGCGGAGTCGGACGCGTCGGCGGTCGCGGCCTCTTCTGACGCTTGTAGAGACTCGTTGAAGTCGGTGCGCGCCTCCGTCGACGCGCAAGACGCAGGCGCATCTACCGGTGTGCGCTGGTCGGCGGGCGGGGCGGCCGCGGCCTGCGCCTTGCCGCCCGAAGACGACGCTCGAGCGCGCGCATTGTCCCCCATCGAGCTTCCCCTTCTTTCGCCTCTGGAGGTCCAAGCGCTGAAGTCTAAAGTCGGACTTAGTCGAGAGCATATGGATTTCCGTTTCGAAAAAAAAAAGTTTGTTAGAACTGCGATGGCTACACTTTTTATTGCTATTGCATCATGGCCAGCTCCATCTCCGTGGCGATCGAGATGTTGTGGGTGGGGCGGTTCCAGTCCGACTCGACTGTCTCCGTGTTGTATTGACCAGGACCCTGTGAGTGCAAGTGCAGTGGTTAGTCGTTACTATGATACTGAAATAATCGATTGTCGAGCCAGCCAGACCTACCAGCACTGGCGCCTTCGGTCGCTCGTCCTTGAAGCGAGGTTCCTGGAAGCCCCAAACAGAGAAGAAGACTACCGTATGAGTCCAAGACGAGCATGGATGGGGAAGCGTACAATCGTGGCGTTACGCACCGCAGCGTAGAACACATTTGGTCGCGCCTTGTGCAGCGGCTTCTGCTCCAACCGCTGCGTCGAATACGACCCCGGCCCCTGATTAGCAGCAGTGAATACAATGGAATGAACAAAGTTATATCTGTGATGCCACTCAGTGTAAATTTGACGTACCGGAACGAACACGGTTGGACTCGGTTTGTCCTTCATTCGGTCGATGCCGGACTTGAACGCGCCTTGTGCTCCCGACGCATTCCACGAGCGTTGGATCTGAAAACATACAAGCCGACATCAGATACAATAGCTCAAAGTGAAAATGTATCGTCACCAACCTCATAGTCGCCTGGTGACGGCCCCGTAGCCTTTTGAATCTGGTGCGGACGACTTGTTGACGACGCGAACATCGACGAAGCCTTGGGCTGTTGCCGTTTCTTGGAAGTTTGGCCTTGTTGCCGTCGCTCGGGTTCTTGGACTTTCATATCACGCTCTAGCTGAGACTCAAGACTTTCACGACCGTATTGACCGCCCGATGAAATAGTGTCGAAGCGTCTTGTAGTGCTGCCAAAGTTGGTTACTCGACTTGTCTGCGTGACGACACAAACAGATGCGCGTCGTTAAAGTGAGCGTGACGACACCGTCGTTGGATAACCAGTGCTTACCACTTTGTTCAGTACTTCTGATACTGCTGATGGGACTTCATAAGAACCTGGGGCCGCGAGGCACTGATCTCGGTCTTTAGGCTCTTCGAAACGCTCCTTCTTGGAGCTGAACGGCGCCTTTTTCCTGGTAGGAACTGAGCGTGGCTGCTGGGTGTTGCCTGATGGCGGGTAATAGTACGCGCCGGGGCCAGGAACGAATGTATCACTAGACAAGAGTTTATCCACGACAGGTTAGTAGACAACGACAATCTAGTTTTGAACGAGGCAAACATGCTTACCGTTGGGAGCCCTCGAATCGATTGGACGTGCTACCGAAAAATTGGAGATGCTCAGGTTTCGTCTCGGTCGGAAACCCGTGCGTTTGGTTTGGGTGGTAGGCCCCTGGCCCTGGAACATTTTTGGTCACTGCGATCGGGGCAGCCTGCTCCCGCGTCAAAGCGGACTTGAACACCGCATTCACCCGCGCAGGATCTTTCGGTACGGTGGTATCTCCGGTGTTTTTGTATTCGCCTGGGCCAGGGACCTCTGCTTTGGATCGCACTTCATTTTCGATGAATCGTGTCACTTTTCCCTTCGAGAAGTCGGTCGTGCGGGTCTTGTTCATGTTCTTTATGCCCCTCATCGGCTCGTACTCGCCTGGCCCCAGTGTATCGTTCCCACAACCAGTGTGGCCGACTTTTGCGGGCTCGTGGCGAACTAATTTGCCGTAAGCCCCCTGCTCGTAGCCGAAACTTTGTGATACAGTTGGGATCGACGGAGCGGTGGGGAGTCGTGTCCACCTGATCTTGTTGTTGGATGGAGGAGTCCTCACGAGCGGGTTGCCGAGGCTCGTGTGTCTGTCAATCGATAATAATGTCAGCAGCTCATACAACGCAATGGCAACGAAGCCACGACTTACCCCTTTGACTTCTGCGCGAACGGGTCTTCCTTAGAGTACGCTCCCGGCCCCGGGGTGCTGAAGCCGCGACGTAGTTTGACCTCACCGAGTCGCTGAGACTTGGACTGGAAGATCGACGTGGCGGGCGCCTTGCTGTTCGTGGGGGAATCCCAGCTCGTTTGGTTGTTCGTAGCGTACGACCCAGGGCCCGGTGTGATCATCGTCAGACCTTTGGTGGAGCCAGCATTGGCGCCGCGCACGAGCTTCTCCCCGGAGCCGAAGCCCGTGGCATTCGGCCGCAGCTTGCGAGTCGGGGACGTTTCGTAGCATCCGGGCCCGAGGCTCGCAGACGTGCTCGCTTTCACTTGCAGGCCGCCGGGACAATTGTCTCGCGTCGTGCGGTTCACCCACGCCATGTCTTCTTCGACGAGTGATGCGCGCGTATCAACGCGGGGCTCTTGGGCCGAGGCAAGCCACCAAGTATAAATAGTAGGGCACTACAGGCCGCCATCAAGCTTGGAATTAGCCTTCTTCGGTCTGTGATTCAGTAGTGGGTCAATGGATGTCTTCACCACTCTGACCAACAACCCGCACATGATGGATTGTGACTCCCGCAAAAAGTTGCAGTCGTTGAAGTCGCGGCATACAAACCGCGAGTGATTTCGGTCACTTTGAAGAGTGATGGTCCCTCGGTATCGAACTTTCCTTGCGCCATTCTTCAATCCGCACTGGTGCCGCCATGGCGTCAACTACCACGATCGTCGACCCGCAGAGCCACTGCAGCGGCAACGCCGAGCTCTACCGCGTACGTCTCAGTGCTAGCATAGCAGGCAGAGGTGTGTGTACTGACGTCTCTTGACCTGGCAGGACGCGGACGGCGTGCGTTGGAGCTTCATGCTCAATCTGACGGACATATCCTACGGCACCTACGGGTAAGAGACGACGGCCTTGTAGTGCGCTATACAGTGTGGAGACTCACGTGTGTGTGTGTGTGCCCATCGACAGCAACAACAAGTTCTACATGGGGCAGCTCATCGTGGATCGCGCGCGCTTCGTGGTCTTCCGCAAGTGGGGCCGCGTGGGCGCCAAGACCCCGCAGTCCAAGACGGAGTACTACAGCTCCGTGGAGGCGGCCGAGAAGGCCTTCCAGAAGGTCTTCCGGGCTAAGAGCGGCAACAAGTGGCCGCTCGCGGAGCCCTTTGTGCGCAAGAAAGGCAAATACTTCCTCGTCGGTGAGCTTCTAGGCGTCTCAAAATGGCGGGCTAGCTACCGACGGTTGACCGACGTGATGTGATGTGACAATGCTACATTGTAGAGCTGGATGACGGCGAGCCAGAAGCAGCTAGTGCCGATGCTGCGCAGAAGGTGGGAGATAAAGAGGAGGAAGTGGTCTCCAAGCTCCCGGAGGAGGTGCAGTACATCATCCAGGTGAGAATGCTTTTCAGTTCTTAGCCGCCGCCTTTAACTCTAATGGCAATTATCCTTTTGTGGCAGCTTATCTGCGACCCAGAGGTGGTGATGCGAGAGATGGTCAGCTTGAATGTAGACTTGAATCGCTTTCCACTTGGTAAGTGGTAGCCAAAGGTCCATGAACCCGTGTTTGGGTCTCTGCTGAGGACTGATGAAGTATTTTGCAGGCAAGCTGTCGAAGGCGCAGATTTCGCAGGGATACGATATTCTACAGCGCATCTCGACCACCCTGGAGGAATTGGAAGAGCTCACGAAGACACCTGCTCCACCGCCAAAGACGACGAAAGCCGGCGCGAAAAGCAGACGAAAGGCAAAGGCGAAGGCAAAGGGCCCAGCTGCAGCGGCAACTAAAAGCGCAGCAAGCTGTCGTGACGATCTCAAGTCGCTATCGAGTGAATTCTACTCGCTAATTCCGCACGACTTTGGTCGTTCCCTGCCGCCAGTCATCGCCAATATGACGGACCTCAAGGTAAAACTTGAGCTGCTGGAGGTGCTGTCGAACCTGGAAATCTCGCAGATGCTGCAGAAGCAGGAAGCTGAGAAGCCAAAAGGTCCAGCTATTCACCCGCTCGATCTTCACTATGACATGCTGACCACGAACATGGAACCTCTGGACAAGAGCGGCAAGGAGTACAAGATCATTGAAAAGTATGCTGTAAATCTGTCACGGTTGGTGGTGTGCATTTGTTGACTAACAACTTTTTCGGTTTGCTGACTTAGGTTTATCACGAAGACGAACGGTGGAAGCAAACTCAATATAAACACGGTTCTCAAGATCGCCCGTCCCGACGAAGAGAGCCACAAGGGCGTCCTGGGATCGCTGGACAACCACAAGGTGCGTATCTCTTGGGATCTTCCGGGAATGATGTATGAAGTTCTGACTTAGACGTGGCTTCATGTCCTAGTTGCTATGGCACGGCTCCCGGCTATCGAACTTTGTTGGCATTCTGTCTCAAGGACTGCGAATCGCGCCGCCCGAGGCCCCCAAGAACGGATACCAGTTCGGCAAAGGGGTAATATGCATGCAAACATGTACATTGAAACAGTTTATGGTGGTGACGTTTCGCATTCACACGCTATTAGCTTTACTTCGCAGATGCTCTAGCGAAGTCGGCGAACTATTGCTGCGCGTCAACTCGAAACCCAACCGTATGTGTGCCTTGCTGAGGGCTAACAAGAAGTGATGCCGGCAGTTCTGAACAATATTGCTTATGTTTGCGGTTGTGCCGTAGGCGGTGCTTCTGCTTGCTGATGTCGCTCTGGGCAAGCCGTACAAAACGCCGAATGGTGAGTTCCTGGATTACAGCATGGTGAAGGACCAGCGCGGGTGCGACAGCACGCACGGCCTAGGCCGAATGGCGCCTTCGGAGGACGAGTACGAGACTCTACCGGATGGTATCGTGGTTCCGGCGGGTACGCTGAAGCCCGTGGCTGGTGACCAGTACTTGCTGTACAACGAGTTCATCGTGTACCGTCGCGAACAAGTCCAGCTACGCTATCTCGTGGCTCTGGACTTCCAAAACGTGGCTTGTGCCTGGTGAGTTGAAGCGCACCTCCATGCAAGAGGCCTGTCACCACGCAGCGGGTCAAGGTCGCGCAGCTATTACTTTATGAGGTCAACTTCAAGTAGGAGAACATGTAGCTATGTCTTTGATATGGCTACAGTCATCCTCACGATTAATTGGTCAATATCTATTTCAACCAACCAGCGTTGCATCAGTTGACATGCAAATTGGCGGGAGCTCAGTTGCGATGCCGCCAACAACGCCGGCGAAGCGCGTGGACCCGCTCAGCGGCTGTGCCAGCTCTGCTGTGGTTTACCAGGTACATAGCGCTACTGATCCACTATAACTGATACGGAGGGTCTAACTACTCTTGCTTTTTTTCTGCTCGAGCAGGACGCCAATGGAGTCGCCTGGAGCTTCATGCTCAACTACACCAACATCTCGTTCGGGACATACGGGTGCGTGCTCGCAGCGATCGGTTGGTGATGGTGCAATAGCTCTGCAGTCATCACTAAGTGGAGGCTGACGATGCAGGAACAACAAGTTCTACATGGTGCAGCTGATCCAGGACGGATACCGATATATGGTCTTCCGCAAGTGGGGACGCGTCGGCGCCAAGAACCCGCAGGTGTGTAAAGTTGCAATGGGAACGATGCAGCATTGGTATTGACACTTTAAGGTTTGGTGATTGGGCAGCGAGCTTTGGAGCGCTACAACTCGTCGCTGGAGAAAGCGCAGGCCTCGTTCACCAAGAAGTTCCTGGACAAGAGCGGCAACGAGTGGCCGCTGACTGGGCCTTTCGAGAGAGTGGAAGGCAAATACGTGCTCGTTGGTGCGTGGCAGAACTGGTTTACCCGTGTCAAAATGTGGACTTATTGCTGGTCATCGTGTGTGCATGAATTTGATGAACCGTAGAGCTTGACGATGAAGTGCCTGAAGAAGAGGCGGACGAGAGCGAAGTCGAGCAGGAAGAGGAGGTGCTGTCGGCTTTGCACGAGACTGTTCAAGATGTCTTGAAGGTACGTCACCTGTATGTCGATGACACATAATACTGAATTCGGTAAGCGCCCTGACCTGTTGCGTCTTCAGCTTATCTGTGATGCCGACCTGATTGCACGAGAAGTAGCAGACATGAACCTTGACTTGAAGCGGCTACCTCTAGGTTCGTGACGGCTTCATGGGGCCCTGTGAAAGCTATTTGTTCTCACTACATGTACTCATGTTTTTCAACCAGGCAAACTATCGAAAGCCCAAATTTCCCAGGGATACACTTTGCTACAGCAGCTTTCTGAGGCCCTCAAGGAGATTGAAGAGCTGAATAAGGCTGTCGAGGACAAGAAGGACGCGCCTGCGCAGAAACGAGCTGGGACTCGTCGCTCCACTCGCGTGAAGCGAACGGCAAACCCGAATGCCGCCCAAATTCGTCGCTTAAAGAACAGCTTGAAGACCCTCACGAGCGATTTCTACACGCTGATCCCGCATGACTTCGGAAGAAACTTGCCGCCCCCGATTGATTCCATGGACGAGGTGAAACTCAAGATCGACTTGCTAGAAGTACTGGCGAATATCGAGATCTCGCAAAAGTTGCAGGCGGAGAAGAAGAAGAACGCAAAGAAGAAATCTGGCACGGACGAGTCGAAGTTGAACTCCCTTGATGTGCAGTACAATCTGCTCAATGTCAAAATGGAGCCTCTGCCTGAATCGACCGAAGAGTACAAGATCATTGAAAGGTACGGCGTTATGAGAAAAAGTTGCGGCGTTTTTGTGTTATACTAACACCGAATGGTACAGATACGTGGAAACTACGCACGCCCCAACTCACGTGCAGTATAAGCTGCGCATCAAGTCAATTCTCAAGATTTCTCGGCCGGATGAAGAGAAAATCAAAGACGTTTTCCAGTCTGTGGACAACCACAAGGTTCGTTTGATATTGCTTAGTTGCAAGCAACTTTATGCGGGTGATCTCACGACTGCCGTTTCGCACAGCTGCTGTGGCACGGGTCCCGACTGTCGAACGTTGTCGGTATTCTGTCCAAGGGACTTCGTGTGGCTCCACCCGAGGCGCCTAACAACGGATACATGTTCGGCAAAGGCGTACGTGTTTCTTTCGTGGGAAGTCATGGATGGATTCATGAGGCTTACTGTCGATGACTTGTTGCTTGCCTCACGTAGATCTACTTTGCTGACTCGGTGTCCAAGTCAGCCAACTACTGCTGGACAACACCCCAGAACCCGAAGGTGTGTGCCATCATTTACTCCAGTGAGATGACTTCGTATCGTACAAAGAGGCTAATAGACGCCATCATAGGGCGTTTTGATTCTTGCTGAAGTGGCTCTGGGAACTCCCTACAAGGCCGAGGAAGCGGAAGACCTGACGTACACCAGTCTGAAGAAGACCAAGGGATGCGACAGCACCCACGGCGTGGGGCGCATGGCTGCCCCCGAGGAGGACTACGAGACCATGTACGTTACTCTCCCTTGTACTCGGTTGTGGAACTCTTGTCCTGGTTGCTGACGTATTTTACCATGAGGGCTGCAGGGACGACGGCGTGGTGGTCCCCGTCGGTGAGTTCATGCCGTCGGATGGCAACGGATCGCTGCTCTACAACGAGTTCATCGTGTACCGCCAGGAGCAAGTCAAGCTGCGCTATCTGGTCAACCTCGACTTCCTCTACGAAGAGGAGGACGAGGCATAGAGGAACGTGAATCGCGACGTCGGCGCAAAGGTGCGAGGATAGAGGACAACGCACTAATACGTGACGATATGTGCACATTGAAGTTGCGATTAATCGCTGTGAATGATGATCACCGTCACACCATACAAAATCCAAGTGAAAAATGTCACTAAAGCGAAACTCCAGTTGAAGTTGATGAGTGTTGGTCCTTCACGCGTTGCCCTTCAGCTCACTCACTGTTCAATTCGCATCATCCATGACGTCCACTGCCTCCATCGTCGACCCGCAGAGCAACTGCACCCCCTACGCCGAACTCTATCGCGTAAGTACGCCACACCGCCCCTATGCAGGGGCTAAGGCTGCAAAACACTAACACTGCTTGCATGACGCAGGACGCGGATGGGGTGCGCTGGAGCTTTATGCTCAACCTGACGGACATCTCCTACGGCACCTACGGGTAAGAGACGGCCTTGCACTGCGCTGTATAATACAGTGTGGAGGCTTACGGGTGTCCCCATTGGCAGCAACAACAAGTTCTACATGGGACAGCTCATTGTCGACCGCGGGCGGTTCGTGGTCTACCGCAAGTGGGGCCGCGTGGGCGCCAAGACTCCGCAGTCCAAGACGGAGTACTACAGCTTCTTGGAGGTGGCGCAGGAGTCCTTCGCTAAGACCTTCCAGTCCAAGAGCGGGAACGCGTGGCCGCTCACGAAGCCGTTCACGCGCAAGAAAGGCAAATACTTCCTCGTCGGTAAGCCCCTATCTGATAGTTTCTTCGAGCAATGCTGGATGTATCTTCATCGTTTCTCTATCAATTCCACGCACTGCAGAGCTGGACGATGGCGAACCGGAACCAGCCGATGCTGTTGCTGGTGATGAGAAGGTGGAGATGAAGGAGGAAGTGGCCTCCAAGCTCCCACAAGAGGTGCAGAAGATCGTCCAGGTAAGCGAGTCTAGCAGTTTTCGGTCATAGTTGAAATCTAATTATGCTCATTATCCGCCATGACAGCTCATCTGCGACCCGGATGTGGTGAAGCGGGAAATGGCGAGCTTGAACGTCGACTTGAAGCGCTTCCCACTCGGTAAGTGGCCTACCTGAAACCCAGTGAAGCAGTGTTCTGGCTAATTAACGAGAGTATTGTCATTTCTTGCAGGAAAACTGTCGAAGGCGCAGATTTCGCAGGGCTACAACATCCTGCAGCGCATTTCAACAACTCTCGAAACACTCGAAGAGATGGCGAAAGCTCCAGCAACGACGACGAAAGCCGGTGCCAAGGGGAGGCGAAAGGCCAAAGCCAAGGCAAAGGGGCCAGCAGCAGCCACCATCAAAAGCGTGGCCAGCCACCGCAAGGACCTGCAGACGCTGTCAAGCGAGTTCTACTCGCTCATCCCTCACGACTTCGGTCGTTCGTTGCCGCCGGTGATCGGGACGAACGAAGATCTCAAGGTGAAGCTCGACCTGCTGGAAGTGCTGTCGAACCTGGAGATCTCGCAGGCGCTGCAGAAGAAGGAAGCTGAGAAGCCGAAGGGTCCGACCGTCCACCCGCTCGACCTTCAGTACGGCATGCTGAACACGAACATGGAGCCTATGGACAAGAGCAGCAACGAGTACAAGCTCATCGAGAAGTTCATCGAAAAGACGGGCAGCGGGTGGAAGCTCAACATCAACACGATTCTCAAGATTGGACGCCCCGATGAAGAAGCCCACAAGGACGTCCTCGGATCGCTCGACAACCACAAGGTAACGGACGATACGAAGACTTGGTTGTCTTGATCGGGACGCTCTAAATGCTGACTATTCTGTGGTTTTGTTGATTGCAGTTGCTGTGGCACGGCTCCCGACTGTCAAACTTTGTTGGCATTCTGTCACAAGGACTGCGTATTGCCCCGGCCGAAGCTCCGTGCAATGGTTACTACTTTGGCAAAGGGGTAAGCACTACACGTACGCATGCAGCATTGCTTGAAGGGAAGCTCTAACGTTGACATCGTGTAACGTTAGTTGTACTTTGCGGATGTCTTGGCGAAGTCGGCGGCCTACTGCTGCGCGTCAAGTCGAAACCCAATCGTGAGTCCACGTTTGCTGCAGTATCTTGGGAATAAGGACACAAGAGTCTGACTGCAGTTGTTTCTTGTTGTGCAGGCGGTGCTTCTGCTTGCCGATGTCGGATTGGGGACGCCGTACAAGATCGCGAACGGCGAGTTTCTAGACTACAAGAAGGTCAAGGACCAGTACGGATGTGACAGCACGCACGGCCTCGGTCGAATGGCGCCGGCAGAAGACGAGTTCGAGACATTGCCAGACGGTGTGGTGGTTCCGGCAGGTACGCCGAAGCCTGTGAACGGCGGCGACCCGCACTTGCTCTACAACGAGTTCATCGTGTACCGCCGCGAACAAGTCCAGTTGCGCTACCTCGTGGCTCTAGATCTGCATTACGTGGGCTTCGGCTGGTAGCTTCTCGAGGCAGCGCTGGGAAGTGTAGCCCGAAGTGCCGCAGGGAAGTGTAGATAGCTGTTGGCCACTAGACATAAGCGCATAAATGCATATCGCGAGCGAGACACAGTAGCATGGTGTCCTGTCTTCTAACTTTATCCCTAATGTGCATCGCCGACTGCTTCGATAGCTCCAGGACACTACTATCGCCTACGCTCGAGTCGAGTCGAGCCAGGGGAGTGAGCGAGCTCTTTACCGTAAGCCGCTGAACCAAAAAGAGTGAACCACGACTGCGCGCAACAAAATACAAAAGCATCGGGGGGAGTGCATTCATCACACACGCACACCCCACTAGCTCTCGCGGTACACCTGCGTCACTAAATAGGCGATCACGTCCTGCGCGTAGCGGTCGATGTCGCCGTCCCCGTCGAAGCTGCGCTGCAGCTCCTCGCGACACTCGGCCAGCGGCAGGCTGAAGAGCTGGATGACCTTGTCTGCTAGTTCCTGGAAGTACCTGCACACCTGCTTCTCGCCCCGGATGAAGAACAGCGCCTGGATGCGGTTCGAGAAGAGCGGGTACTGCTTTGAGGCCAGCAGCTCGTTGTCCTCCTCGATGGTCGTGTCGTAGAGACTCAGCTGGTGGGTCATGAGGTCGCGCAGGTACTGCAGCGCGCGGATCTCGTTGTCAAACGAGATGGGCGGCGACGAGTGCGCGGGGCTCTTCATCTTCATGCTCGAGAACTCGTCCTCGGTGGCCACGATGAGGCGCGCGAAGCTGAAGCCTTCGCGCGTGTTGGCGTCCGAGTGCGAGCAGCTGAGCCGCGCGTCCATGGTGTAGATGCCGCTCTCGTGCAGGTACGCGCGCTTGTCGTAGAAGAGCTGTCCGTCCGCCTGGGAGAGCTGGAAGTCGATGAGCACCTCGTTCGGGTTGCGGCCGTCCTCCTCCGTGTTGTCCTCGACCGCGAAGCCGTAGTTGAGCAGGAAGCGGTGATTGCACTTCTTGCCGTACGAGTCGTAGACCTGCGCGCCCGTGCCGATGGTGCCGAGCGACGTAATGGTGAAGGCGTCGATGCTCTGGTCGAACGTCCAGCTCGTCTCGCGCGGCCGGTAGTGGTTGAGCATGTCGGCGAAGGGCACGAGCGCCGCCGTCTTGACGCCGTCGATCGTGAGCCCGAAGTTGCGGCTGCACACGATCATGCGCGCCCAGCTGAAGCGGTCCAGTGAGAAGCGCGCGAAGGCCGGGTCCACCCTGCAGATGACGTCGTAGTCCTTGCGGATGGCGGCCTTGCGCTCCTGGATCTGCTGGATGATGTACGAGCCCTTGAGCCAGCCGAGCTCCTCGTCCGACCAGAAGATGGGCATGTTGCTCAGCGTCGAGGGCAGCGTGCTGTAGTAGTTGCGGAAGAAGGACGTCTCGGCGCGCTCCATGTCCGTGAGCAGGAACATCATGAGGAAGATGTGCTTGGGCGCCACGAAGTCCACGTTGCGCGCCAGCAGCTTGCGCCCGATGTCCGTCTGCTTGCCCATTTCCACCGTGATGAGGCACTTCTTGGGGATCACCAGGATGCGCTCGCCCGGCGCCAGCACCTTGCGGCTGTGCACGCCGCGCACCTCGGGCGCGTACTCCTGCAGCGCCAGCTTCTTCGTGTCGGCGCCGTTGCCCTCGAGCCACTGGATCAACTCCTGCCCCACCACGTCCACGCCCTGCTCGCGTGTCAAGCCGTTGTGCTGCTGCGCGGTCGACTCCTTGGCGGCGACGGGCGCGCTCGGAGGCGCCGCGCCGCCCGCGGACGGCGGCGGAGGAGCGCTCATGACCAAGCGTATATATTACCTACGGCTGGGTCTGAGTGGCGGCTCCGCTTGGGTCTGGTAAGGATTCATTCACGCCACGTGATTGGCCGAAAAGACGCGAAATTAGACGGTCGCAAATGATTGCAGCCTCTTACTTTACCGTGAAAAATATATTTCAGGTAATACATTCCGGGCCTATCGTACCGCATATCGACATTGGGATCCTCGGCATCGACCTGAAGTGAGCTCCCCCGCTGCCTGCTCCGCCCTCTTCCTCCTGACGCCATGAGCGCGCAGTCCACGTTCACCCAAACGCCCGCGTACACGGCGCGCGTGTCCAGCCCGAAGGAGGTGGCGGCCGAGGAAGCGCTCGTCTACGAAGGTAAACAACTCTCGAGGCCGCGATCTTTGCTCCCCTCAGACACACAGAAGCGATTATACTCATTGAACGGCCAAGCTGACTGACTGACTGACTCGCTCGCTGTCTGTTTATCGGTCTGTCTGTACGGACATGGGCAGAGCTGAAGCGCACCGTGGCCCTGCTCGAGACGGCCGTGAAGACCAACGCCAAGGAGAAGCTCCCGCGCGTGCTGCGCGCCACCAGCAAGCTGCGCAAGACGCTGTCGGTGGCGCAGCTGCAGCAGGCCGTGGAGCAGCTGCTGCCCTCGCAGAACGCGTCCAAGCCCGCGCTGCTGGCGCTGCTGGCCAAGATCGACGCCAAGGCGCAGGCGGCCGCCGCTGACGCCCGTGCGGCTGCCGCGAAGGACCAGGATGTGGAGATGACGGACGCCTCGCCCGAGGCGGAGACGGCGGCGTCCCCCGCGACGGTGGTGCTGCCCGTCGTGGACCTCATTGAGGTGGAGATCTACCTGTTCCTGTACGTGCTGGCGGCGCTGGTCAAGTACAAGCTGGCGCAGGAGGCTCTGGACACGGTGGACAAGGCGGTGGCGCGCTGCCAGCAGTTCAACCGCCGCACGCTCGACCTGCTGCAGGCCAAGGTGTTCACGTACTACTCCAACATCCACGAGCAGTTCGGCCACGACCTCCCGGCCATCCGCGCCACGTTGCTGGGCGCGCACCGCACGTCGTGTCTGCGGTACGACGAGGCGGGCCAGGCCACGCTGATCAACCTGCTGCTGCGCAACTACCTCAAGGACAACCTGTACGAGCAGGCGTACAAGTTCGTGAGCAAGACGACGTTCCCCGAGACGGTGTCGAACAACCAGTTCGTGCGCTACCTGTACTACGTGGGCAAGATCCAGGCGGTGCAGCTCGAGTACACCGAGTCGTACACGAAGCTCATGCAGTCGATCCGCAAGGCCCCAGCCAACACGGCGTTCGGCTTCCGGCGCACAGTGTACAAGCTCGCGATTATCGTGCAGCTGCTCATGGGCGAGGTGCCCGAGCGCAACGTCTTCAACCAGGACGAGCTCCGCAAGGCGCTCGCGCCGTACCTGCAGCTCACCAACGTACGTGGTCGATGATGAGGTTTTCGACGGTAGTAGGTTGTGATCTGCCGGTGGTTAGTTGCTGACTCGCATTGTTGTGAATCTGTTGAACGTGTTCAGGCTGTTCGCGTGGGTAACCTGGAGGACTTCAACGTGGTTTTGGCGCAGCACGGACCAGTCTTCAAGGCGGACAACACGTACACGCTGATCCTTCGGTAAGCATGACGGGATCTGAGCTGTTTCACCATATTTCTTTTGTCTGATCGACCATTCTGTTGCTGTGTAGCCTGCGTCACAACGTCATCAAGACGGGTCTGCGCAAGATCAGCACCTCGTACTCGCGCATCCTGTTCACGGACATTTGCGAGAAGCTGGCGCTGGAGAACGCCCAGAACGCCGAGTTCGTGTGCGCCAAGGCGATCCGCGACGGTGTGATCGACGCAGTGATCGACCACGAGAACGGCTGGCTGCAGCTCAAGGAGACGGTGAACGTGTACACGACGAACGACCCGCAGACCGCCTTCCAGAGGCGCATTACCTTTTGCCTGGACGTGCACAACGAAGCTGTCAAGGCCATGCGCTACCCGCCGGATGCATACAAGAAGGACCTGGAGAGCGCGGAGGAGCGTCTCGAGCGCGAGAAGCAGGAGGAGGAGCTCGCCAAGGAAATCGAAGACGAGATGGACGAGGAGGGTCTGTAACCAGACGGCATCCTGGCTAGCATCTAGGTACCGCTCGCAAATGTGGCCGCAGGCTAAGTATTTTCAGTAATATGAGATAGAATCATAATGGTACCGATGCTTTTGTACGCGGAAGTTCTCGTCGTAGTGCGCGCGCTCTCGTGTCGACTGCACTGATGTTGAAGTGGATGGGTACAGTATGCATCCACTTCAACATGTACCATGTTGATGGTACAGTCATTTAGTGAAAGTTGAAGCTCGTCGGCAGGTCGGCGAGCATGGCGTCCAGGAACTCGGACAGCGTCAATTTGCGCAAGAACTGCTGCTCCTCGCTCTCTCCGTCGAGCACGGACCACAGCTTGGCCGTGAGGTGCTCGGTGTCCCCGATGCGCTGCAGCTCGGCCGTGATCTCGTCCGCTTCAGGGGGACACACGAGTCAACGGACGGATTCAGTTGACGAGGAGAGGGAGGTGTCCGCAGAAAGGAGCCGCAGGGTCCTCTCACCTGAGACGGTCTGACTGCCGTCGGTGTCACACAGGAGGAACTGGATGAGGTAGTAGAGCTGGTTGAGCTCGAGCCCGTGCGAGTCCAGCAGCGTGCGGACGTAGCAGCCCTTGAACTCCTCCCAGCTCACGCAGCCGTCCAAGTCGTTGTCGACCTCCCAGATCATCCACTGGACCTCGCTCTGCAGCAGTACCAGCGCGCGCGGCAGGCTCAGACCACCACCAAAAGACAGCAGTAACGCCACTTAGAGGACGCGCTCACGCACCTTGGACGACACGCGGTTGAGGCTCTTCATGCACGAGGCCAAGTCCGCGGCCGTAATGACGCCGGACGTGTCGCTGTTGCTCGTGACGACCCCCTTCTGCAGCTCCTTGATCTCGCGTCGCAGCTCCTCGATCGTCGAGGCGCTCGCCGCATTGCGGCCCCGTTCGCCCCCGCTCTTGCCCCTGCCTGCGACGGCCGCCGCACCGTCTGGTTCTTCGCTGGCGGCGAGCAGGTTCAGCTCGGCCACGAGCTGCTTCTTGTCCAGCGCCTCGGTCGGCGAAGGTTGCTGCAGCTCGTCCTCGGCCGGGCACGCGTCGGTCGTCGTCCCAGTCTTCGGCGTCGTAGTTGGTGGAGGCGATGCCGTCAGCGCGGTCAGCTCGGCCGTCTTCCTGGCAAGGCGCGCCTTGCGCTCGTGCTGCCGCAGGAAGCTGAACACGCGCAGCAGCTTGGCCGCGCTGTCCGCCGGCAGCACTTGGGCCGCGTGCGCCGCCGCCGGCTCGAGGCTCTGCTTGTCCATTCTCGCGTCGTTTGGCCGCGACGGCCCCAAAGAAACCGATCTTAGTCGATACGGATCGAGCGACCTGATTTGAAGGTATCCCCGCAACGGCGAGGCAAGTGAGGGCTCTTTCGGCGGCGGGGTGTCTGCGCGGTGCCGTGCCGTCGGCGCCAGCACTACTCGCGGCCTGCGGCACGCCACCGTCTGTCTAGCTGCTGGCGTACCTTGGGCTGCGGTCGGTCGGCGATGGTGTCGCAGGCATTAGTCCGCCGCGATTCCCCTTGGTCGGCATTGAATTCATGATTCGAGCTCCAGAGGAATGAGGCTCCGCCTGTCGGGGAGGCCAGCGGAGACTTGCCCCGCTGCTACAGTGGCATGAGTGAATTTGCATTAGCACTGCTCATTTAGCAGTAGCTGCAGCCATCGGCCAAAGTCGCCTTAGCAACGGCAGCGACGGGTAACTTGCCTGAGGCCAGGCACCACTTCAACTCGCGTGTAATTTTGTCTGCTTTTTTGTATGAGTCCGAAAAGTGCCCCTTGAAAAATGACCCCCGTGCGCGATTCTGCGCCGCTTGTTCCTCGAAGTTGCACCAGATGGACCGAGCTTCTCGCCATAAACTTGCAAAATATACAAACAATTTGTTAACTTACAACTCTGGTTGTAAACTTGCAGCAAAGAGCTCTCGGATCGACCCAGGCGACTGGCAAAACTTCCGTTGCCCTCTCGCTACTGTACAATACTAAGTACTGAATACTTCTATCAGGATTTTCAGGAAGTTACCAATCACTTCCCAGCTCAAGGCAAGCGATGCCGCTCGTTGGAATTAAGTCAGTTGTGCTTGCAAAACTACCCAAGAACTACTGGGAGATCGCTCGAAATTGCGCCGCTAGAAAAACGTCCCTAGCTAGCGAAAGTGCTGAAAAGTGGCCCAAAGGTGCTGAGATTCTCAACTCCGGGAGCATTTCTTACCGCGCTGATACCCACGTGCGAGCAAAACTTATGCATTTCGGTGTCGGTTACAGTGTATTTATCAGCTTTGTTTGTGTTTTATACTGTAAAAAACGCCGTCATTTGAGTTTACGCCGGTTCTCAGGAACGAGCCCGCAACGTTGCTGGTCTTTCGCCCATCCTCGCTGGGCTAAAGGGCACTTTTGGAAATGGAACAACAGGTGAGTCGCAGAGATGTGCGCTATGCAAATGAGCACCCGGCAGATTCGCTCGAGTCCGTGGCGAGCTTCCAGCGGCGGCGCGAGTCGCGCTGGCAAGCTGCTGCTGCTCGCGCTGTACGCGTCTCGCCTCGCGCGCCGGCCTTCCACATGGCTAACAGATCCCTGGCGGCGGGGGCGTGCGCTCGTTGGAGCCATGTGGCACATGTCTCCTGCAATGGGTTCGCTCCCATACAAAGCGCGAGTCTTTCGACCCGTGCCACTGTGGACTTCAAAAAAAAGAGCCGCGCTCGAGCCAAGGCCGGGAAGATGATCCAGGCTCTCGAGGGAACCGCATCAAGGCCCGCGCCACTGCGGCATTTGCCAGGAAACTGCAGCGTCGAGCGCGAACTCTCAGCCCTGCAGGGCCCCCGAGCAACAGAGCGAAACCTGGCTGGGACTAAGAAGTAGAGAGAGAGAGGCTCCCCTCGCTGTAACGGAACTTCCCACCCTGCCATTGCCGCCGCGGGCCGATCGACCGATCCATTTTCCGATTCGGCCGCCATGGTGTTCACCGAGATCTCGGCGCTGGTCCAGTCGCAGTGGCACGCGCTGCGCGGCGTGTTCGACGCCGAGGGCCACGAGCGCCGCGTGCAGCTCCGCCAGGAGAAGAAGCAGGCCAAGCAGCAGCGCAAGGCGGCCCGCCGAGCCGCGCGCGAGGCCCGCCGGGCGCAGCGCAAGCAGCGCCGCTCGCTGCTGTCCCCCACGGCCGTGGGCGAGCCGACGGACGACGAGGAGCGGCCAGAAACTAGCAGCAGCAACACTTCCAGCGACAGCAACAGTGCCAGTGCTGAGCAGCCCGAGGCCGGCAGCGGCCTGGCCTGGGCGCGCACGGCCGAAGCCCTGACGGGCGCAAATGATAGCGCGGGTTTTTTCAAATGTGAGCGACAGGCCACAAGGCCAGAACCTGTCGCGGCCGTGGCAGACGTGGCCACGTCGGCCGTGGCCAAGGCCGTCGGCGCCGACACCGACGCCGTGGCGCAGATTCCCGTGGAGCTGGCACTCGAGATCGAGGCGCAGCTCGAGCAGAAGCAGCGCGAGTTCTACGACTCGCTGGGCGGCTACAGCACCGTGGACGAGGAGGAGGACGAGCTGCACGAGCTGGTGCGGCGAGCCAGCGACGCCAAACTGCCCGCCAAGTGGACGGTCGTGGGCATCAAGAAGGCCGCGCAGACGGCCGAGAAGAAGACCTTCTTCAACGTGCCCGAGGCTCCAGAGCAGGAGGAGGAGGAGGCCGCTGATGCGTCCCCTGCTGCCTCCACTGGATCCGCCAAGAAGCCTCGGCCAAAGTCGCTCTCACGCTCCTCCGAGTTCGTCGAGACGGAGCCTGAAGACGACGGAGTGGATCTGAGGGACAGCGAGGCCTTCGACGGCTACAGCACCTTCGACGAGGCGGACGCGCAGGACCAGGACCTGTTCATCGCCGAGCACGAGTTCGACGGGGTCTGCGCGCCGCCGAGCTCGCCTCCTGCCCCTGAGACCGCTGTAGTTGAAGTTACAGAGACCAAGGTTGAGGCGGAGCAGGACGCGGGGATTGAGAGCGAGGAGAAGGCCGCTATCCGTACGACGGACAACAACGCGGAGTCCGGTGACTCGGAAGAACTTAAGCTTGAGACAAAGCAGCCACCAATGGACCACATGGAGGTGCTGGAGGCTGCCGAGCCACTTGATATCGAGAGTGAGCTGTCCGAAGAGGAACCGTCCGAGTCCGAGTCTGAAGAAGAGATGGAGGCTATCGAGGTCGTGGAGGAGGTGACGGAAGTTGAAGTGGATATGAACGAGGAGATCGCGGAGGTGGTGGAAGTCGTGGAGGAGGTGATCATTCATGAGGTCGAGGAGCCAGAGGAGGATATGTTTGGGCAGCAGACAAGTCTCCTGCCTGTGGCTTCGCAGTCGTCGGAGCCTGGCGTTTACTCGCCAGGATCGGTGGACGAGTACGCGTGCTCCATCTACGAGAGCCTCCGCGCACGAGAGCACCGGTATCACGTCACTGAGGACATTTTTGCCAAGCAGCAGAGCGTGCGGCCCAAGATGCGCGCTGTCCTGGTGGATTGGCTCGTGGAAGTGCACCAGCGCTTCGAGCTCGAGTCGCAGACGCTGTTCCTGACCGTCAACTACATCGACCGGTACCTTGCGCAAGTGCCTGTGAAGTCCCAGCGGTTCCAGCTCGTGGGCGTGGCGGCGTTGCTGATCGCGTCCAAGTTTGAGGAGATCTACCCGTGCGATATGGACGATCTGCTCTACATTTGCGAGCGGTCGTACTCCAAGGCTGACCTGGTCGACTGCGAGAGAGACCTGCTCAACGTCTACAAGTTCAACTTAGCGGTGCCGAGTGTAAGCAGCTTCCTGGGCTACTACTTGGAGTACTCTGAAGAAGAGGACGAGGTGATCGGCCAGCTGACCAGCTACTTCGCAGAGTGCTCGTTGCTGGACTTCGCCTTCGGCGCCAAGTACGAGCCTTCAGTCATTGCCTGCGCGTGCTTGCTCGCCGCATACTGCTACATCGAGAACCAAACGCCGGCCCTCGTGTGGAACTACCGCCTCGAAGAGCTCACGGGTTACGCAGTGGAGGCGATTGTTCCCTGTGCACAAGACCTGTGGTCAATTTTGATTGAGCCGAGCGATCTCGCCGCGATCGCGACGAAGTACAGCGCCAAGGAGTTCGGTGAGGTCGCACACTTGCCGCTCGAAGACCTCGAGGCGCTGCTGTACTGACTCCCGACTGCACCGAGTTTTGGTTGAGCGCTGCTGATGTCGTTATTGTACATATGTGCTTCGGCACCCCCTCCCTTTCAAGGGCTAGAACTAAGTATTTTTTCAAGTAATAAACCCCATCATGACAAACGTACAGAATGGAGAGTAATGAGCGGGGAATTGTTCTGCATTTACTGGTTCGGGCCGCTTGGTATCATCTTCATATTCGGTCAGTTCCCACGACGCGAAGAACTCCACGTGAATGGTTCTTCACAAGTCAGCGAGAGAGAAGCCGCAACTGACGGGCGAGATTCAAGGACACACAGCCTCCTCTCAGCGGATCATCGCCTGCCTAGAAACCGTTGCTTGCGGCTTCGCCAAAGAGTTCGTCGATAACTTCGTAGTTGATTCTTCGGCTCTTTAATTTCTGCTCAGCGTCACAAAGTGAAGTGGTGGATCAGACATTGGAATCGGAGATTTGGGAGTGTTGGACGAGAAGGTCCCTTACATAGATTGCGTGCTGGGCCGTATCCGGAGGTGGCGCGTTCACGTCGGGGGTTTTCTTTCTTCTCTTCTTCTTCGGGGCGTCGGGCGCTGACAAGCCAAGTAGCCGCTTTTGCTCCTGAAATACCAAACAAAATAAAAAAATCTCACGTTAGTGCATGCCAACAGGAATGCCAGTTTACAGATTGGGCGCACCTGCTCCTGGATAAAGTCCTTGTTCATCTTCTCCCACAGTAGCTTTTTCTTCTCCGCCTCCTCTCTTGTCAACAGTAATGAGTTGATTTCATCGTCATCCAAGTCCGAGAACGTATCCACAGCTTCCTCTGCGTCTCCTTTCTCGTCGTCACCCTCATTCTCCGCCACTTTGTCCTCGTCTTCTGGGTCCTCCGCATCCTCTTCTTCCTCTTCCTGTACCTCGTCACTTGACCTTGTTCTCCTCCTCTTCTCATGTCCATTACTGCTATCCGCGAAGTCACGTGACCTTCGTCTTCTTGTCAGGGGGGAGCCTTCCTCATCGTCTGCTGATGTTGTAGGACTCGTGCTGTGCTCTGTTTCACCGTTAACATCCTCCTCCTGCTCTTTCGCCGCGGCGCGACTAGGCTTCGCTGCCGAACTATCCTCCTCGAGGGCCATGGTAAGGTCCCGCTCGATCGTTTTGTAGAAATTCGCCTCCTCACGCTTGCGCATAATGTAGCGCGCCGATTTCTTCCGCACGCGAAGCAGAACCTCCTGCGCCGCCAGGCGACTCGCGCGGTTAACAATCTGGTCGTTGGCGTTGTCAAACCCGTAGTCAATCTCTTCGTCGTCGTCCTCGCCGTCGTCGCCTTTGTCAGCGACGGCGCCTTTCGTTCCTACAATCGCTCCATCGCTCCCAAGAAGCGCCTCGGACTGTTTCTTCTTGTAGTAGGCGTCGCCGCTCAGGAAGCGGGACATCTCCTCGTCCTTCATGCGCTGCGCCTTCTTGTTGAGCATGCCCTTGGCCAAGGCGCCGCCTCCGTCTTCGTCATCGTCGTCTTCGTCGCTCTCGTCCTCTGACTCGTCTCGCCGTCCTCTGGTCAACCGCTTGCGCGCCTTCTGTTCCAGCGGCAGCTTCTCCGACTCGATGAGCAGCATCTCCATGACCTCCTTCTCGCGGTGGCGCTGGAAACTGGGCGGGTCGCACTCCACGCGCGACATCTCGAGCTTGCCGACCTGGTCGTACGTGAGCTGCGCCGTCGGGGTGAGCGAGAACTCGTACAGGCGCTGCTTGAGCGTGCGCTCGCCGATGTTGACGACGTCCATGACGTCGTGCAGGCTGCACATGACCGACTGCGAGCGCGCGGCGATGAGCAGCGCGGCGCCGCAGATGCCCGAGGGGCGGCGGCCCGTCTCGATCCAGTCGCGCTTCATGGTGGCCACGAGCCGCAGCGCCGTGGTGGCGATGCTGTGCGTCTTGCCGGCGAAGTTGAGCTGCGAGGCGAAGCGGTGGATGTAGAGCGACGGGTCGATGAGCGGCAGGTGGATCTGCAGCAGCTTGCAGAACTTGAGAAACACGCCGCCCAGCACGTAGACGTTGATCTGCAGCTTGTCCGAGAAGTCGATGAGCAGGTGCGGCGAGCGCTCGCGGCGGCACACGATGTAGAGGCAGGCGGCGATGACCGTCTGCGTCTTGCGGCCGTGCGTGAAGTTGCGCTGCAGCGCCAGCGCGAAGAGGCGGAAGGCCGAGTCCACGTAGTGGTCGCCCAGGCGCAGCATGCCCGCGATCTGGCGGATCTTCTTCTTGCCGTTGGCCAGCGTGTTGGCGCGCGACTCGAGCCCGTAGTTGCGCCCGGAGGTGCCGATGTTGCCGTACGACTTGGAGGCCGTGGCCGATACGAACTGCCCCACGACCGAGTGCGCGCCGCCGCCCGACTCCTGGAACTCGATGGACGACACGATGTTGTTCTCCTCGAGGATGGTGCCGCAGCTCACGCACACGGCCTCGCCGCTCACGTCCACCACGTCGATCTCCGTGCACGAGCACGTGGGGCAGATGCCGCTGGCCATGGCTGCGCGCGCGCGAGGAGAGAGGAGAGGAGTGAGGTCTGCTGCTGCCTGCTGGTGGTGAACAATTTATTCCGCCAGACCACACCAATCAAATCGCGCGGCGGCGGTCGGTGCCGCTCTGTGTACGTCTCGCGACGTCGTGGCTGCTGTCACACCCTCTACTGGGTCGGGCCGTACTGTGTAAAAGATGTGACAAGTAGCTGCTGGCTGCTGCCACACTGCGTGGTGTCTGCCACACCGGCCAGTCGCTCGTGCTCCTGCGCCGCACATCTTGAGGCCGAGAAGCGAAGCTGCCAGCCCCGCCACTGCCCGCGCCCCGCCGCGCCCCGCCCGCCTGAACGACCGACCGCAGCCATGGCCACGCCCAACTTCCACGCGCCCAACCAGGAGATGCCGCCGCCAGGCGGCTTCAAGCCCGTCAAGTTCGTCAAGAACGGCCCGGCCACGCGCGGACCACCGGGATGGTCGCTCTTCCTCGGCACGTTCCTCGTCACGTCCTTCGGCTACTACCTCGTGGGCCAGCACAACAAGCACCACCGCGAGGTGGCGCGCGAGGAGCGCGAGAACCGCATCGCGCTGCTGCCGTTCCTGCAGGCGGAGGCCGACGTCGAGTACCTCGAGCAGGAGAAGCACATCTTGGAGAAGGAGCGCCAGGTCATGAAGAACGTGCCTGGCTGGGTGGCCGGCCAGTCGCCCTTCCACTCGGACCGCTACCAGGCGCCGCTCTGGGCCCAGAAGAAGTAAGCACAGCAGCAGCCGCCCACGAGCCGAGAGGAGACAGAAACTGTAACAAGACCATGTCAAGGAAATACACTCGTGCACTCGCTCGCTCGAGGCCAAATTGTCACCTTGTGTGTGTGGCCATGAAATATCTATCTGCGAGCTGCACAGTCAGGTGTCTCTGTGTGTGTGTTTTGATAAGACGTTTCTTGCTTTCGACCGCTTATCGTCTTACATTCACGCAAGACTGCAGCAACAAGAAGCTGGGCTCACAGACCCTCGTCCATCTCGTCTTCGATTTCCTTGGCGAGCTCCTCCTCCTGCTTCTCGCGCTCGAGACGCTCCTCCGCGCTCTCCAGGTCCTTCTTGTATGCATCCGGCGGGTAGCGCATGGCCTTGACAGCTTCGTTGTGCACGTCCAGGCAAAAGGTAATGCGCCTCTGGAAGGCGGTCTGCGGGTCGTTCGTCGTGTACACGTTCACCGTCTCCTTGAGCTGCAGCCAGCCGTTCTCGTGGTCGATCACTGCGTCGATCACACCGTCGCGGATCGCCTTGGCGCACACGAACTCGGCGTTCTGGGCGTTCTCCAGCGCCAGCTTCTCGCAAATGTCCGTGAACAGGATGCGCGAGTACGAGGTGCTGATCTTGCGCAGACCCGTCTTGATGACGTTGTGACGCAGGCTACACAGCAACAGAATGGTCGATCAGACAAAAGAAATATGGTGAAACAGCTCAGATCCCGTCATGCTTACCGAAGGATCAGCGTGTACGTGTTGTCCGCCTTGAAGACTGGTCCGTGCTGCGCCAAAACCACGTTGAAGTCCTCCAGGTTACCCACGCGAACAGCCTGAACACGTTCAACAGATTCACAACAATGCGAGTCAGCAACTAACCACCGGCAGATCACAACCTACTACCGTCGAAAACCTCATCATCGACCACGTACGTTGGTGAGCTGCAGGTACGGCGCGAGCGCCTTGCGGAGCTCGTCCTGGTTGAAGACGTTGCGCTCGGGCACCTCGCCCATGAGCAGCTGCACGATAATCGCGAGCTTGTACACTGTGCGCCGGAAGCCGAACGCCGTGTTGGCTGGGGCCTTGCGGATCGACTGCATGAGCTTCGTGTACGACTCGGTGTACTCGAGCTGCACCGCCTGGATCTTGCCCACGTAGTACAGGTAGCGCACGAACTGGTTGTTCGACACCGTCTCGGGGAACGTCGTCTTGCTCACGAACTTGTACGCCTGCTCGTACAGGTTGTCCTTGAGGTAGTTGCGCAGCAGCAGGTTGATCAGCGTGGCCTGGCCCGCCTCGTCGTACCGCAGACACGACGTGCGGTGCGCGCCCAGCAACGTGGCGCGGATGGCCGGGAGGTCGTGGCCGAACTGCTCGTGGATGTTGGAGTAGTACGTGAACACCTTGGCCTGCAGCAGGTCGAGCGTGCGGCGGTTGAACTGCTGGCAGCGCGCCACCGCCTTGTCCACCGTGTCCAGAGCCTCCTGCGCCAGCTTGTACTTGACCAGCGCCGCCAGCACGTACAGGAACAGGTAGATCTCCACCTCAATGAGGTCCACGACGGGCAGCACCACCGTCGCGGGGGACGCCGCCGTCTCCGCCTCGGGCGAGGCGTCCGTCATCTCCACATCCTGGTCCTTCGCGGCAGCCGCACGGGCGTCAGCGGCGGCCGCCTGCGCCTTGGCGTCGATCTTGGCCAGCAGCGCCAGCAGCGCGGGCTTGGACGCGTTCTGCGAGGGCAGCAGCTGCTCCACGGCCTGCTGCAGCTGCGCCACCGACAGCGTCTTGCGCAGCTTGCTGGTGGCGCGCAGCACGCGCGGGAGCTTCTCCTTGGCGTTGGTCTTCACGGCCGTCTCGAGCAGGGCCACGGTGCGCTTCAGCTCTGCCCATGTCCGTACAGACAGACCGATAAACAGACAGCGAGCGAGTCAGTCAGTCAGTCAGCTTGGCCGTTCAATGAGTATAATCGCTTCTGTGTGTCTGAGGGGAGCAAAGATCGCGGCCTCGAGAGTTGTTTACCTTCGTAGACGAGCGCTTCCTCGGCCGCCACCTCCTTCGGGCTGGACACGCGCGCCGTGTACGCGGGCGTTTGGGTGAACGTGGACTGCGCGCTCATGGCGTCAGGAGGAAGAGGGCGGAGCAGGCAGCGGGGGAGCTCACTTCAGGTCGATGCCGAGGATCCCAATGTCGATATGCGGTACGATAGGCCCGGAATGTATTACCTGAAATATATTTTTCACGGTAAAGTAAGAGGCTGCAATCATTTGCGACCGTCTAATTTCGCGTCTTTTCGGCCAATCATGTGCCGCGCGGAGTCTTAATGCAGAACTGTTGACCAACTTCCTGCTTTGTTTGAGCATCTCCACCGCTGGGAGTAAAATTGGAGGTCTCAAGAGAGCGATATTAATAGTTCGTGCTTTTCGAGATTATACTTTCCAAAGCACCAATTCGTTTCCGTACTGTACCGTCACCCTGGGGACATCAACTCCTTCCCACGGCCATTTCAGACACCTCGACCTACAGCCCGTGGTGCAAATACGACGAGGACGACTTGCGCGATGCAAGATGGACGCAACGTCCAAGTTGATCTGGTAATATTGACCAGCTGACGGCGATGATACTTCGAGCAAAAGCCTTGACTTGTGCTGCAGCTGCGTGTGATGGATCGCCTGAACTGTCAAATTCCGTCTGCATCAGGATATTTCAGCCCGCTTCAGGTTGCTGTGAGGACGGTCATCGTGGCCAGGTGGTGTGTCATGCCGTCGACAGCCTGCTGACGCCATGTGTGTGTGTCTGAATTGAGAGATAAAGGACGAGAAGAAACCTCACAACGGTGTCCTGAGTTGCGGCATGCGTAGTTTCCTCGCCACCCCCGACAGAAGCTTGCAGTGCTGTCGTCGCCGCCACTACGTTGGCAGCACAACGTCTCCGCCGCTGTCAACTCACACCACGCACTCGACGCGATTGCGGAGCGGAAGCTGGTGGCTCGCCTCATAACACGCCCACGGCGAAGCCTTTCCCGATCTCTGTCGATGAACGGACCGAATGTCGGCCTTTACCGGATCCACCTCGGGAGCGTGGAGTGAAGGGAGGCACCGTGCAACGCAGCACTCGACTGCGATTAATGTGCAGTAGAGCTCCGACAACTTGAGCTCGTTGAAGTGGGCGCATGTACAGTAGCGGTCTACTAAACGTCGAGCAGGTCGACCAGGGCGCCTCGGTGAGTGGATAACCCCTGGTTGAGGTTGGCCTGCCCGTACGATGATACAATACGGTACGGCGCCGCGGCTTTGATCTCGCTCCCCTTTTCTTCAAGGGAGCGGGTCCTCGCGGAGCGAAGCGCTGCACTGCAGCGGCACCTCGGCCGACAGCCAGCGGAGAGTCATCGTCAGCAGCGAGCCCAGCCCCGAGCTGGCAAGCCGCGTTACTGCGACGACTTCTCCCGACGTCCCTCTTTCGTGCAGAGACGGGCCTCCCGAACCCTCAATTAGAGCGACGAATTAGCAAGCCCTCTCGTGCCCGTCTGCCAACAATCCACCTTTGACCACACAGTCGGTCGCGTTAGCCGCGCGTTCGTCCTCAAATCCCGCCACACCGCAAAAGCCAAACAGCAAACAGTCAGGCCGCCGCCATCGCCATGCGAATGCTGGCGATGATGCACGACGCCGAGCGCCGGCGGGAGGAGCACGAGCACGGGCGCGCGGGCCTGCGCAGTCCGCTGGCCAGCGGCGCGCCGGACAAGGCGGGCGCGGAGGGCGTCCTGGACGACGAGCTGGACGACGACGAGCTGGACGAGGACGACGAGGACGACGCGGACGTGCGCGAGCTGGACCCCGTGGACGGCTTCCCGAGCCCGCCCACGCGCGCGCGCTCGCGCCGGCGCTTTGTCAAGCCCGCGCAGACCACGTACGCGCTGTCCTTCTCGCGGCGTCACGCGCTGGCGCGCCGCGGCCGCGCCAAGGCCCAGAGCGACGACGCGCACGACCGCGGCGGCCGCAACGAGTGCCGGCCGGCGCTGCCCGGTGGCGCCGCGTCCGTGTCGTCGCTCTCGAGCGTGCTGACCGAGGTCATGACCGGCAAGACCACGGCGCTCAACAACATCGTGGACACGACGCCGCCGCAGCCCGACGTGTCGTACGTGGTGCGCACGGCGGCGGACGGCACGCCGTACGTGGCCGCGTCCGACGGCTCCAAGTACTTCGAGAACTCGACCATCGGCCAGATCTTCCTCAAGCCGGCGCCCAACCAGGCGGGCGCGAGCTCGCGCGGCCGGCGCTCGGACCTCGACTTCCTGCAGTCCGGCGGCTGGCGTCATCAACAACAGCAGCAACTGCAGCAGCAGCAGCCGACGCGGCGCTCAGACTTTGTGGGCGCTGAAGTCGCTAGCTCTACGTCAGCACAGGGCGTGGACGTGGACGCCAAGAAGGGCTCCAAGCCGCTGCTCGGGTTCAAGGGCTTCCACATCGGCAAGAAGAAGGAGAAAAAGAACTCGGCCAGTGACTTGAACGCCGTGCGCGAACAGGAGCAGGAGCAGATGCAGGAACAGGAACAGCGTGTTGACAACGAGTTCCCGATGCTGGACCCGGACCAGGTGGACCGAAGCCGCGGGGACTCGAGCTGGGAGGCGCCCGCGGTGAAGATCAATGTGCGACAGGAGACGCAAGCGCAGGAGGCGTCGGCAATGAAGCTGCTGGACTCGACCGGCATGCAGGCTGCCCATCAAGCGAACGCAGGCATGCACGCCGGCTCGGCTTCCAGCAGCGACAGCGGCAGTAACTCGCTCAGCTCGTCTAGCTCAACAAATTCCGGTGCTGCAGCGACCACGACGTCGAAGCTGCCTCGACTGCAGCCGAAGAAGGACCTGCCGGCGCCACCGCTGGCGTTTGATGCGTACGATGAAGAGGACAACCCGCTGTGTCGGTCGTTCCAGAACGTGCGTGACGTGGATTTGATCAGGTCAAAGTCGGATGAATTCGAAGACGATGAAGATCACGAGCAGGCTCACGACGAAGAGCACGGAGAAGCAGCAGCAGCAGCGGCGGCTGCTGGTGTGGATGAAGACTTCCCTGATGTAGATTCGCCTGACTTCGCCGGCCGTGTACGTGTGTCATCGGGCGCAACCAGCGTGGCGGAGTTTGTGGGTGGATTCAAGGGACAGCTCTCCCGGCGGTCTGGTAGCAGTGGCCTGGTGAATCGCAAGCGCGCCGTGCGGCATGCACGCTTGACGGCGGAGGAGCAGAAGGCGGCGGATCTTGCGCGGAAAATCCGCGACGCTCGGAACAGAATCCCGCTCGAGTTCAGGGATGAGTACATGTCCCTCGCAGCGCTACACGAGCTTCAGAAGAAGAAGAAGAAGCGAGCTCTCGGTCGGCACGTCCGCTTTAACCCGGAAGTGCAGTGCCGAGAGTTTGAGGTCGAGTCGGAGGATGAGGACGACGGCTACGATAGTCCGGATGAGATTGTGGACGCTGTGCAACTGGTGAGCAAGCGCGATGTGGTTCACGCGGAGGACGTCGTTGCAGACAGCGTGGAGGCCATGGCCTACGGCTTCGACGCTCCACGTCTGTCAAGTCTCGACTCAGATGACGATGGGAACGGAAGTTTTTCTAGCAGCCCCATGACGTTCTCACAGCCTAGCAAGGACTCGAGGATGTCGTTCTCCGATCTGTGATAGAGTTGGAGTCGAGATGAGGTGGCACCCGCCTGTGAGCGGGTAGTAAGTAGCGTATCTATTTGGAGGAGAGCAAGGCGGACGATCGACAGTCCCAGTTCCGCTCGCTTCGCCGCACGTTAATTGAATCATTGGCTTTTTGTATTCCTCTCGATCTCGTGGAGCTAGCTACAATCGGACAGATACGTACGAGTTTGTACAAGCAAAGCGCTGTCAAAGTGCAGCGGGATTACTCGTTGACGTTGTGGTGAATCTGGTTCACGTCCTCGTCCTCGTTGAGGGCGTCGATGAGCTTGTCAAAGGTCTCACGCTGCTCGCCCTCCAGGTCAAGGAACTCCTTGGGGTTGTAGATGAGCTCGGAGATGGCCGGCTCCAGCCCGGCCTCCGTGAAGCCCTTGCGCACAGCAGCCAGCTCACTGGGGTCGCACGTGACTTGTGCCAAGCCCTCACGCATCTCCACATCATCCGCCCCGGCCTCCAGCTAGACGTAGTTGACAACGACAGCACAGCAGGAACATTCAGAGCCGAGATAACAACGCAACAGCCAGCAGGACAAAGAAGTTCCGGCACCGTACCGCAATCTCCATGAGCGAGTCCTCGTCGACCTTGTCCTCGCCATCAGTGGGCAATTCAATCTGCAGACCAATACACAAAGTGTTAGACCCACGCAAGCACTCCACAGCCGTGTGAAATCCTGAAGTCCGCACCTCGAGGTAGCCCTTGCGCTCGAACATCCAGGCCACCGAGCCGTTAGTGCCGAGAGCGCCGCTGTACTTGCCCAGGATGTGACGCAGAGCGGGAGCCGTTCGGCGCTTGTTGTCCGTCAGCGTCTCAATCTACAGTAGCCCCCACACCACCAGAGTCAGCAACAGTGCCCACAACCGTAAGAACTCAATCCACACCTCGACTCACCATCAGCGCGCTGCCGGCAGGACCCGAGGCCTCGTACAGCACCGCCTCCGCGTTGCTGCCTGTATCCACCCTTCCATAAGTAAGAAAAGCGTTCCAGCTCGCCATTGACAACATCAGCACTAACCGTCCTTGCCCTCCACTCCGCGCTTGATGGCCGCCTCGATCTTGTCCTTGGGCATGTTGGCGGCCTTGGCCTTGTTCACAGCCGCCACAAGTCGCTGCCAAACCCACCAAACAATTAACACCAGCAGTACCATACACAACCATCCAACCAACTAGCACGCACCACATTGTTCACGTCTCCTCCCACCGCTGCTCAAGAGGCACAAAAAGGCAACAATAATTAAAGTTTAGGGACTGCAATGAGTTCCCACCCACAGACTGATGCCATAGCTTCCTCACACTTGGAGATGACCATAATCTCCCGCGCCAACTTGGCATTGGTCGCCGTGCGTTTCTACAGCAATTGCATCCGTAATAAATAAATAAATAATAAAATAATAAGGAGAGGACCATTATTGCTAGCATCAGTCGTCGGAGGTGACGCACCGCGTCCGTGGCGTTTTTCTTGCCCTGGATGGTGGGACCGCGGCCCATCCAGCGCACGCTCTGGCTGCCGACGACTGCGGGCAGAGGCGCGTGCAGCGAGGGGCCCTGGAGGGCGGCGGCGCAGCGGCGAGCGAGCATCATGGCGGTCACGTGTGGCTCAGATGGGGCAGTGCAGTTAGCGAGCAATTTCACACGGTTCAAGAGCGGCTTGCACGCAAGAGCGGCGTCGTGATTGGCTGACTGGGCCTCACTTCAACTTGCCTTTTGGAGGTCACTTACTTGCAGGCCTTCAAGTCCATGCGGCAACATAGTTCGTGCTGGAACGAGCGCGTCCACTTGTGGCTGTTGCCGCGCGACTTGACAAAGTTGCTCAACGTCGCCTCTCGGCGGACTAAAGGGCCAAGTAGCTCACGAAACACGGGCTCAGCTGCTTCCTGCGCCTCCATCGTCTCGCCATTAAGGACGAGACTCCCAATCGTCGACACCAACGGTACAGCACCGCTGAGGCTCGATCCGAGCGCCAGAAAACGTCACGAAGCTTCGCTCGAGCTCCAACGCGTCTGATGCTTTCGCGAGCAAAAGGCGAGATTCACGAACCGAAAGCTGAAGGGGGTGGTGCGGGGCCACACAAGCCCCAGAGTATGGTCGGCCTCGCACTCGGACACTAGCAGAACTTGACGGTTGTTGAACGCGAGCAACGCGTCGACCACTCGCATAAACTCAGCCACACTCGTTGTCCTGGTCCTCGACAGAATCGTCGACGCGAAGTTCTCCGTCATGAAGATCTGAGCTGCTGGCCAGTTCAGCGTCGCTAGCTCCTTTGAGGACGCCAGTGAGAGAAGGTAGTTCTTCATGTCGAGCACATGCACAGCAGCTTGAACGTCCTGCACCGAGTGGGCTTTGAGCACCGCCACTCGGGCGGGCAGATACTGCGCGATCTCCAGCTCTCGCTCCTGCTCCACTTCCTCTTCGACCTGCAGCTCGCGCTCGCACTCGTCAGTGTGCGACACCTCGTCACTGAGTCCGAACGCACAGCCTCTGCTGCAGATTTGGGCGACAAGGCGATTGTCCATGGATGATCCGAGCGATCGTGTCGACGTTGAGCTTGTCTTGGTACAAAGTCTCCAGGGACCAATCTTCGTCCACCAGCTCCGCACCTCGGTGCATCTGCGTCTTGCGGTAGTGAATACCGTTGCTAGCCCACTCCAGCAACCCACGTACTTAAGTAGGGAAAGTCCGCCGACTTCCATCTGCGCACGTTAATCAACTCTCTCATAAGGTGGGAGCCAGAGAGCCCAGCGCTGTGCTTTGTTATCTGAACGATTCTTGTCTTCCAGCACGCAAAGCTCCATGAACCGAAGGATATATCCCTTAAACTCTTCCCTGGATCTCGCACTCAGCGTTGGTACCAGAGCATGCAGCGTCTCATCGTCGAACGCACACCGCACAAGGTCGCTCATTGTTAGTGCAGGGACGAAGTTGACAATCGCTAAAGCCTGTCACGCTTGCTGCTGGTGGCGGTAGTGAAGAAATTCCACAAAAATCGCTCCATCTCGTGTCTCTTAAATGAAACTTCAGCCAGCAGAGCTGTAAACGACATGACCAGTTCATCTAACGTACCCATTTCCAACAGGAGGAGGATCTAAGGACACCACATTTTGTGCCAAGACGCAGTGAGGAGAGTGCGTCATTAGCCCGAAGATGAGTCTCTCCTCGTCACTTCGGAAGCGACAGCGCAGAGGATTCCGTTAAGTCACTGTCGTGCACATATCTGTGTATTCCGTCTTCTCGTCGGCGCATTCCATCTCAGAGCCCATCGCCTGGGTCTGTCCGAATAGGAACGCAAGTCGATCAGCATCTTCCAGCAATGCAGTAGCTAAGATCTTCACTGCTGGTTCACGGTAGCCAAGTGTGCATATCGAAAGCAAGGTATCCCTCTCAAGCGCAGAGTACGGTCTACTTGACCGACAAGTTCGAAGCATCTGCAACGCCATCTCTGCTCCCGTCATTTGCAGGCGCTTGCACGGTACATTCGTCCCTCCACACGCACAAATTGCTGCCAGTTGCAGCCTCGCACTGATGGTCTCCGTCTCAAACTCTTTTAAGCGCCGGTGCTCGTCAAAACACGCTATGTCGATCTTACTGTCATGGTGAGTGGGGACTTCGACGTCAATCATCCCATCAGATGACTCCACCACACTTCCAACAGGGAGAACGAGACGCAGTTCTGGCCCCGAAGTGTCCGATTTATCGTGCAGCTTAAGCACCAAATACCGATTGAACCGAGGCAAGAAGTCGTCGAATTGCTGCTTCTTCGACAAGACGTACCCCTTGTGCTCCACAGACTCGAACTCCAAATTATCGTTCAGCAGAAACATCAACTGATACCGAGGCCGATCTTCCCAACACCCTCGGGAGTTTAAAGAGGGTGCAGGAACTGCTCATACTCGAACTTCTTGAGCACGTACAAGACCGATAAGAGCGGTTCATCTCTCTGGATGAAGCAGTCGTAGGCTGAAAGATTGTTTACAATCTCTTGGTATGGAGACTTCCTCTCACTGAACGGCACCTTGTAGCAGTTTAACCGACCACCAGCATCGCCATATTTCGCCACGAAGAAGACGCCCCTGTCCTTCGCAGCCTTCGGCCGAAGAAGGACGCACTTCTGCTCCGCCCAGTGCCAGTGCGAATACAACTCACGCAGTCGTGACGGGAAGCTCCTGCCAAACTTCTCTATCCAACGTTCAGAACACAATTGGAGTGAGCTGGTGATTGCCCCTGACGCGTTCGTGGTGAGCTCCTGGACGAACAAATCTCCGTCTTCGTGTAGCGCGAAGTCGTACAAGCGGTCGTAGCATTTGCGCTCCGTTCGCATCACGCCGTTCCAGTAGAAAACATCAAAATTGCAGCAGTTGAACAGGGTTTGGAACCTCTCGTGATCTCGGATAGCTGTAGGAAGCCCTCCCGGGGTGTAGCCATCCGTGAGGACACTTCCTGTGGACAAGTTGATGGCGTAGTGTGTGTTCGTCTCTGGATCCACAGCTTCGTAGCAGCTTCCAAACAGCGCACTGTCCCCAGATACATAGCCAAACTCGCTCCACCTCAAGTGTGAAGGAGACGTCTCGCTGACCAAGCGCGCCAGACCCGTAAGGACCTTGTCAACACCACGCTGCCTCACGTACGCGACCACGTCCGTTATTCGACGAGCCATCATCTCCTCAATGCTGCTCTCCACCAGACGCATCTTCTCAGTCGACGGCAAGTTCACGCCGGCGCAACACAACGAATTGCGGAACAAGACGATCAACTCGCGTCGTCCGTGAACTGGTGCACGTACCCCGCCAACTCACTCAGAAGCGGGACGCACTCAAAACTGCGCGGCGTCTGCTCCAGTTTGTCCGCGATGCCTTGGAGTGTCATGCAGAAAGTCTCCAGTCCATTCTTGGTCTTGGTCTGGAGCATGTCCGTCTTCCACGGTAATTGAGGCTCAAGCTCGTCCGTAAGATCCTCGACCTGGTAAAGGGACTGTCGCACGATGGTCTCCACTAAGGGATTCGACCACGAGAGAGTGTCGTCAAGTAGCGCGCATTGCAGCTTACGGAACTGCTGGTTCGGGGACGCGCGCAGAGATCCGAGGGCGATGAATGAGGTCTTCTCCAACTCTTCGGGCTTCTGGTACAAATTGGAGTACATCAGGTTCCCCAGGCCAAGCGTTCATCCACTGGAAATGCCGAAAGTTCTCCGGTAATTTTTCAACGAAACTATCGACGATACTTTCACGTGAAGCCTCAAAAGGGTTCACCGACACCCCCGTCGAGTCCTTCCATGCCATAGTGGTGCCGGTCACGGTTGGGTCCCAGATACACTGCTCCGCGTACTGCGACAAGCTTTCGAGTTGATCCACGCTTCTTGGTCCGTGCGCTCTCGGCAGGCTGAAAGAACTGGGGCTCACCGTGAATACCGCCGCTGATGCAGCAAATGCCTTGGACGGCGCGCGTTCGGAGTAGAACGCCGCCCATGTTGAAGAGCTCTCTCGAGACCGAGCCGACATTTGAGCTGGAGCAAGGGCTCGCTGCGCTGTCAGACACAAATTGCCGAGAATCTTGAGAGTTCGCGGCATGTTCAGCATAAAATTACCTGAAGAGCGTCGGCCTTTGACGGAGGGAGGGGTCTGACCGGGTACGACAGAACAACCAGCGTCGAGCTCAGCGCTGCCTTCGTCCGCTCAATTTCGGCCGAAATCTGACGGATCTGTTTCTTCAACTGCCTTCGAAGACGGGTCCCGTAGTTGTAAGCGTTCGGGTGTTGTATGCGCAAGCGCTCTTCTTCGTCTTCCAGCTCGCTCTGCTTTGAGCGCAAATTTTGCTGTTCACCGCGAATTTCGGCCCGAAGACGAACTGCTCCTTGCTTCTTGTGCTCGATTTTGCGCCACTTGCTCTGCATGTGGCTTTCCCAGCACTCAACGTCGCGGTCGTACAAAGCGTTCATACTAGCGCTGTTTAATCCGTACTCTCGAGCGAACTCGAACGTCGCAGCTTGATCAGTCAAATGGAACAGTGGAGGTCCAGGAGTCTTACGATTCCACTCGCGGATGTACTGGGCAACATTTTGAAGAGCAGAAATGGCAGCTCGCTCGCTGAGAACCGCCACCTTCAGGTCCTTCCAGCTGAGCGCGATGTTGTACTCTCGACACAGAGGCTCTCCAGCCTCGCACATTCGGTGAACGAGGCAAAATGCAATCCAAACCACCAGCATCTCGCGACTGCGCTGCTCCACAGTCAAAATGGGCGACTTTCGGGGGATTTTGTGCCATATCCTAGCAGCTTTTTGATATTCCGTGACTAGCAAATCTTGTTCACCACCGCCACCCCCGGTGAATCGGATCAATGGAAAGTTCAGCCGACAAGAAGTTGAGAACATAAAGGCTTCGACAGTCCGCAAGATGAGGTTGAGCTTCTGTGAAGTGTTTGCAGCAGCTTCGATAGCTTTTACCCATTGAAGCAGCTCCGCCACGGAGCATTTGCCGACATCGATATACTGACATCCCGCCAGGTTTTCCAATGCCCGAAGACGACGACGGCTCCCACAACTTTCGTCTCCTTTTGAGTCCTCGTAGATCTGCGGTGAAGCAATCTCCGCATCGCATTTCAGTTGATTTAGCTGCTGTAAAGTGTCAGAGTCCGGCAGGCGGTAGCGTATCGCCGTTTGATGGTTCAATTTGTCCACCACACGTCCCCCCTCTGCCTGTGAAGAAAAAAGTCTCGAGTAGTTTCATTAGCACTTTCGTGTTTGGACCTGACGAAGCGGCCATTTCCAAGACCACTTTGAAGCAAGATTGCAGCGACGAATTCACGCGTTATTTGGCAGATATAACTGCGCCAAAAGCCGTTCAAAAAGCTACGAATCCTAGTAAATGGTGGGGTTTTCACAAGAAAAAATATCCCAACCTCAGCAAGCTGGCCAGGAAGTGGCTTGGAATTGTTGCGACAAGTGCGCCGTCGGAGAGGGCGTTTTCGACTAGTGGTAGTATTCTTACCGTCAAGAGAGGCTCACTGGCACCAGACTTTGTGCGGGACATCGTTTTTATTGCGGAGAATACTCGCCGAAACGAAGAACGTGGGGTCACCGCAGTATCGCTTCAGTAAAAACGCACTCCACGTAATGTTTTTCCTTTCGATATTAAATGTCTCGAAGTACACCGCTTTCATAGGTCTTTGTCGCAAACCCGCTGCAAGATTTGAACTTCATGAGTTGCAAAGGTGTCAACTGGAACAACTCGGTCGTACGCCAGAGGATCCTTACGCCCACACAGGTATCCCTCTACATCAACCCCTCCAGAGTCGCCACGAACGCGGCGAACAGTTTGGCCAAAGCTCTCGACACGTTCCCTCGTCCAGAGAGACATCGGGCGTCCTGTGCTTGACTCGAAACACCGCGTTGAGCAACTTCTCGTCCGCCATTTCGTTCTTTCCCAAGCCGAAGCAGACCGAAAACTGCCCCCTCGGTCGAAACCTGTCATCCTGGTCTACTTGCTTCAAGACCCAGCTGGATCATCAGATAATGAAGCGCCCGGCGCAAGACACGGATGCACCGATACGCCGAGCTGGTGGGCGAGGGTTGGACTTTGTACCAAGATAAGCTCCGCGTCGACGCGGTCGCTCGGATCATCCAGAGTTGATGTTTGAAGGGGGCCTGGACGATCGACTTGTCGCCCAAATCTGCAGCAGAAGCTGGGGTGGGCGCCAACTTATAAGGAAATGCGTCTGGAGGTCGCCGCTTAGCTAGATCGTGCCTTCCCGCTGCTATCAAGGATGCGCTGCCACCATTTCAACGGGGTGATTTGGAGGTAATTCCAGAACGAGAAGATCGACTTAGACTACTGGATCAGACGTCTTCCTCGCCGAGTACATGTAGCTACATCAATGCTTGTATATTTCACGTGCACTCAGTGCACACTGTCACAATCGAGAAATCTTCGATGGGGTCAAAGTTATTGTTCAAGAAGCCAAACGTAGCGTATGGAACTCTGTCGACTCATTAAAAAAAACACAGCCATCCGAGGAATGACCTTTTCGTATGCAAATGCGGAAGCGGGAGGATTTCGTGTGGCCCAATGCTATGCTGTCAATCATTCGGATCGAACGGAAGACTGGTTTCTCCTCCTAAACGACGGAGGATGGCAAGAGTAGGAGAGGAGGGTGGGACACTATAGTTTCTTTATAAACGTAAATGGAGGACCTCTTGCCCCCCCGTTTGAGATGCCTTGATTTCTTATTCAACACGACGGACGGGTAAGTTTTCCCAACGCTAGGCAGGATGGGGTCACTTGCTCTCCGCCGCGGCCACGCTCGCAAACCCGCCACAGCAGGTCTCTACTGTTAATCTCTCGGGCCGACGCCCCTCGAACTGACTCTGCTAACATCACTTCCTAAAATGCAAACACCATCATCCGCGGCCGAAGTAGCACCGCGGCGTCTAAACTGTGGTGAACTGATCAAGGCGAAGGTGTTTCTGCTGCCGCATGGCAAGTACGTCGTCCGCGATTGCTACCCGGTCTACTACGAGTCGATGATGGACAGACTCAACGGCGACGGGCGTGTCATTACCATCACCGGATCGCGAGGTGAGCGACCTTAATTTTGAGCTTCGTTATGTGTGGCTGGATGATAGTAATGTGTGATATGATCCGGTTTGTCATGTGCAGGAACCGGCAAGACGATGTTTTACGGCACAGCGGTGTTCACTGATGATTCCGAGCTGGTACGGGTCGCTGTCTTTGAAGGAGGGCGATTAATTGACAGCACCGGAGAAGGCGGAAAACGACTGATGAAGAAAGCTCGAGAGCGTGCCATCGCGCGCAAGAGGGAGTGCCTGTATATAGTCGACGGGCTGCCCAAGTCCCATCCACCGTCCCCATGCTTCACGCGCATGAACGAGAAGTGGATGGGCAATCTCGTGGGCACAGACCTAACGCCCGTGTACTGCATGCCATTGTGGAGCTTGAACGAGTTGAAAGCGACGGCCGCTCGAATTTCTCCGACCTTGAAGGTCAAATCGGGCGCTGCTCTAGTGGACGACGTCATCGAAGATCGATTCGCCACTTTCGGTGGCGTGGCGCGTGAGTGCCTTGCGGCGAGCGAAGAGTTTGTGGAGTCAAGAAAGAAGCGGCTTGAACGTGCCGTGGGGAAACTGAATTGTGAGGAACTACTTCAAGTGGTTGTTGGGGGCGAGTTAGATGGTCCTGTTGATGATCAAATCGGCCATTTCGTACCTGATGCAAGCGATCCGTCGACTATGAAAGTTGTTGTTGCGTCAGCCCACGTTTGTTCGTTGGCGTTGAAGAGGTCACTGGTGATCAAAATGCTCGAGCGAGAGCGAGTTTTGGGCATTCTGCGTGGTATCCCTGAAGCAGGAACACGCCCAGGTCGTGCATTAGAACTGCGCTTAGCTGGGGGGTTACTGCAAGCACAGAAGCTGGGAAATGAATGATCAACGAGAAGGATAGAGTCGTGGGAGGAGCTCAATGGATTAAAAAAATGGATTATTATTTGTATATCAAGCATGGATGTGCTTTCGTTGCCGGACTTGGAGGTGTACGGCGACGTCTGGGTAGGCAGCTCGGGCGGGAGGGAACACTTGCATCCGCATTGGTGCGCCCTCACTTCGGCTTTGCTCTTCCGAACGTCGGTTTTCTGTGGCTGGTGGGCTTGGTCCGTTGGCTTAGAAGCTGCCGGTGACACGGGTCACCTTGCTTGGCGGTGCGTGGATGCCGCCGGATTGTGTAGGCTTTCGTTTCCGCGACGGTCTTGACATCGTTGCACATCAAGCAAGTATCCATCAACGAATCCTATACATAAACTCCAGGGGTACAAACCCATTACGAACGATTTTTCCTTAAAAATGAAAGAAAAATACAAAGTAAAACTACCTGTTAGGCTGACCGTACCAAATATTCCCCCCCCCCCACTCACTCACTTGCACTCGTCCAGGTCCATGCGGCAGCACAACTCGTGCAGGAACGAGCGCGTCCACTTGTGGCTGTTGCCACGCGACTTGACAAAGTTGCTCAGAGCTGCCTCTCGCTGCGCCAAAGGCCGGAGAAACTCTCGGAACGCGGGCTCCACAACATCTTGCTGATGCTTCGCCAGCGACGTCTCACCATTGTAGACCTGGCACGCAATGATCGGCAGCAGCGGTAGCTCTAGACCCAAACAGGAGCCAAGAGCCAGGTGAGCAGCTCGAATCTTGGTGTGCTCCCCAACACGATCGACACGAATGGGAGATTCACGAAGCTGAAGCTGCAGGCCCTCGAGTCGCCACGTTTCGCCCACAGCAGCTCCAAGATGTGGTCTGCCTCGCACTCGGACACCAGGAGGGCCTGTCCATTCTTGAAGATCAATACGACATCAATCACACGTAGAAATTCGTTCATCCGATCCAGCCCCTTCCTCGCCGTGACAGTCGCGAAGAAGTTCTCGGTTCCGAAGACCTGCGCGTTGGTCCAGGCTAGGTTAGACAGCTCTGGGGTAAATCCATTGACGAATGTAACTCGTCATGCTCTGTACTTGCACGACGCCGTTGAGGTCTTCGACTGATTGGGCGCGCAGAATCTTCCGGTACGGCCACGCCTTCTCCCTCGCTGCAGTGCATATCATCACTTGGACTTCTCGCTCCTGTTGCACTTCCTCCTCCACTTGGAGCTCTCGCTCACACTCGTCCGTGTGTGAAGTGACGCAAACTTCGTCGTCCAGACCGTACACAATACCCTCTGCGGCAGATTTTAGCCACCAATTCATCGATCGAGTCTTTAAAGTCAGAGTGAGCCTTGAGCTTGATCACTTGAGCAATCTTGTCAGCATGCAGATCCCCTTGGTACAGCTCTTCTAGCGACCAGTTTTCGTCGACCAGTTCCTTGCCTGCGTCTAACTGCGTCTTCCGGAAGTGAATCCCATTACCAGCCCACTCGAGCAGGCCGCGAATGGCCTCTGTTTTGGTGTTGTCCATAATCCAATTGAGCACGTCAACGGCAGATACACGCGAGAGCGCACGCTGACCGCAGGTCTGCAGAATACTCTGCGCCACTTCGTCAAAGCTCACGACCCAGAGGGTTTGGTTGCAGCCGAGCTGCCGCATCCGACCGGCTCCTTGCATGAACTTGTCCTTGGTGAGCTTTGGTCCAAGCGTCAGCACTGCGGCGGCATCAGGTAGCAGCTTCATGTCCGATCCGCGCGAGCGCGCTTCGTCAAAGATCACAAATGTTTCCCTCTCGAGCATGGACGCTTTCTTCAAGGGGACTTGAATTTGGCGGGCCTTGTATGCAATCATCCAGCAGTTGTGCTCTTCACGACTGTCATAGTACGTCACGCCTGCGAAACGGAAGTCAGCTAGGCGGAGGAGAAACTCGGCCGCGTCATTGTTCATCACTCCAGCAAGCAGTGCCCCCGTATCAATGAGAGCCTGCGCGCCCTTGTCTGTTGCGAATCGGAGAACACTCTGCCATGGGAGGGTTGCGCGCTGAGGACTGGGGCGCACCTCGTAACTGTGTGTCACCTGCAGAATCTTGTCAATCATCTTACCATTCGTCCCTAGTAGAGACGTCTCATTCGGCTCTCGCTGTGCCACTGATAGTGGAAGCAGGCGATGGTTATCGTTCGTCCCTGAAAATCCAATGTTGTTGTCTCCTGCCGCGAGGTTCCAGGCCGTTCGTGAGAGTCGTTGGGGATACTGCTGGGTGTCTTTGGGAACACGCACGTATTCAGGTAGAAGTTGATGGCCCCCATGCAGAACTTGTAAACTCTGCACAATGTCTCGAATTGTCGAGCATCGGCAAGACTGACATGGTGCACATCACACAGAGCCTTTTGCTCCTCGACGTTCAATCTGGACTTGACGCTGCAGTACCAACGGCCATACTGTTATTCCTGCTCAGAGATGTCCAAGCGAAGCAGCATCCGGAAGGCGTTTCGAACCTCGTACCCCCGTGGTAATATCCTAGCAAAGTGAGTACGATGCAGACGTCAGGATGGCTGAATTCCGATCTCTCGGATGGGACATCTGCCGCACGAAACGGAATTGCAATCTTCTTTGGTCGAGTGCCTGGACTTGGCAGCCCGAAGTTGGCCCGATAGCGCTTCTCCAAACAATGCTCAAACACCCCGAACGCTACCAGGCCCCGCAATGCTAGTAGCTGAGTTGTATAGGGCGAGAGCTTCCCCATGGAATCGCCGAGTGCGTCCTCCAGGCTTGACGTCGAATCCGTGATGGCCAGAACTAGCGAGTCACGGGCACCAGCACTGCCAAACGTCTTAAGCCACATCAACTCGAACGGTGCGTTGTCAATCAGGTCCAGCACCAACGCCTTCTTCAACTCGTCTCGCAGTGGCTCGGTGCTTTCGACGACGGTGTTGAGCCGAGTACCCTCGAAGGCACCGAAGCGCGACATATAGTCGGGTGACGAGCACGAAACATGGGGCGCTTGCAGTACTTTATTGACGCGGGAACTCGGAGACTTGTCGACCAGGACTCGCAGTAAAGCTTCTGCTCCCATCCAGCGCTCGACGCCACTACAGAGCGGGATTGGCGTGCCCACCGCATACACCAAGTGATACTTGTGATGGAGTAGTGCGTCGCATTCGTCCAATACGTCGACAAATTGGTCGCTTTCGAGAATTGCGTCCAGCGTCTTCACTATGGGATTCGTGGTGCCTATCTCTAGACGCTTCAGCTCTAGTGACATCCGATGCTCAGGAGCAACAATCTGGATGCCACCAGAGAGTTTCAGCTCGTCCAAAACATCACGGATAAATTCCAGTCTGCGCGCATTGAGATCAATCTGCCTATGAAAAGGCTGTTCAAAGACACTCAAGTGAGCGCTTGATGCGGCCAAGTAGCGGTGCATGAACTGCCGTGCTTCGCTAAGTAACGGGCTCAGGAAATGCGCGCGGATGACTCGAGGACAGCGGCTTCGAGTGAAGTACAGGAACAGCATTGGCAGAATCACTCTAGTCTTTCCTCGACCCATATTCAGCTGGCATACTGTTCCGGGGTGATCAATGAGGTGGCGGGCGATTACAAACTGCTCGTGTCGAATCTGAAGTCGCCCTTCTACCTCAAACACCAATCAGTACGGGAACTCACTCGATTCCCACTGACGAACGTTCACGAGTTCTTCAATCAACTGAGCATCCGACAACTCGCCACCACGTTTCGCTTTCCAGATGACCCTCTCCACTTTGTCTTCCAGAACGCAAATCTCCATATATCGCAGCACCCTTTCTTGAACTGCTGTCTTGCCTCCTCGCTTAACTTCGGCGCCATTGTGTGCAGGGTTTCGTCGTCGAAAGCGCACCGCACAATATCACTCACAGTCAGCACCGGCACGAAGTTGGCGAGGGCAAGAAGTTGCTCGCGCATACTGCTTGTTGCTGTTGCAAACACATGCCACAAGTGTGCTTCCACTTCAGTTCGACGAGACGACACGTCTCTCAGCAGCGTCGTGAAGGAGTCAAGTAGCATTGCTGGTGAAGTCTTCAGCTCGACCTGGGGCTGCGAGTGGTAACTTTTCCAGCTTACTTGTAGTTCGTCCAGCATAGCTCTTTAGCGGTACTGCTGTCCAGAGGGAGCCGCGGGATCTCCTTTGCCGTGGTAGCCTCAATCTGAAGGCAAAGCTGAAGTTCAGTCTCGATAGCCTTCACATAGTCGTCAGCAATTGGAACTGGGCCGCACGTTACAACATCCTTGGCTGACAGAGATACTGAGGCGTGGTTCACGTGCCCAAGATGGAGTTTTCTTCGGCACTTCGGAATTGTGACCGCAAGGGGTTCCGCTGCGCTCGCTTAGCACACATGTCCCGATACTCTGTCTGTTCATCCGTGCCTCCCATTGCTGTGTCGAGCACCTCCGTCTGCCCAAAAACAAAGTCTAGTCGGTCAGCCTCTCGCAACAGCGTCACTGCTAATATCCTGACGGCCGGCTCGCGGTAACTTAACTTGTATATCGTCAGCAAAGTTTCTCGCTCAAATCTAGAAAATGGTCGACTTGATCGGCATGCTCGCAGTAATTCCACTGCTGCTTCGGCGCCGGTCATTTGCAAACGCTTACTCGGCACATTTGTTCCAGCACGTGTGCAAACAGCAGCCAGCTGCAGTCTTGCGCTGATCGTCTCAGTCTCGAACGTTTTCAGTCGGCGGTGAATATCGTAGCACGCAACATCCACATGGGTATCCGCTTGAGTAGAAGTACTGATAACCACCATACCTTTTTCTTCAACGGGACCAACCGGAAGAAGTATGCGGTATACCGCCCTCGACGTGTCGGATATGTCTTTCAGCTCCAGTACCAAGTACTGACTAAAGCGGGGCAAGAAATCATCGAGCTGCTGGCGCGTTGACAAAACGTATCCTTTGTGCTCCTCCGACTCGAACTGTGCGTTATCGTTGGCGCTGAATGTCAACTTGAAACGCGGTAGCTCAATCTTCATAACCCCTTGAGAAGACTTGAGCGGGTGAAGAAATGCTTCACTCTCGAAAGTAGTGGGTCATGGAACATTACGCCGGCAGTTTTTTTCCTTACCGTAATTTACCACCGAGAACATTCCTGAAACCTTCTTTCGGGACAGCAGCGATTTCAACGACGACCCCTCTCGACCACTTGAGAGCGAGAGCCACGTCTTTTCGATATGAGGGTAGTTTTAGAACCTCTAAACCGGTCAGATCTAATAGACGTTGATTTGACGACGCCCACTTTATAGCGAGAGCCACGTCTTTTGGACCTTAGGGCGTTTCGGGACCGCTCGTTCAAACCACATTGATAAACCAATAGAACATTACGCCGGCAGATTTTACTAGTAGTTCGGACCAGCGCGACGTGGCGTCTCATCATTGGTTGAAAATCTATGTCACACACCTTCATGTTCGCTTAAGTACGCCAGAAATTCTACATCCTTCTTCCTCATTCCAGAATCTGCCGGCTCGAGGAAAGATGGTGAAGCTCTTCTGTGCGATCGTTGGTGCGGCGGGCAGTGCGTTTCCTGTGGACATTGACGCGGATCAGTCGGTGGGAGACCTAAAGAAGGCGATCAAGGCGGAGAAGACGAACAAGTTGAAGGACATCGATGCAGGTGACCTGCAGCTCTTCCTGGCGAAGACGGCGGACGGCGCGTGGCTCTCATCGAAGGACCCTGATGTGATTTCTATGCGAAGTGGAGGCATTCCTGAACAAGTGAAGACACTGCTGAACGTGGAAATGGACCCAGCAGATGAGATTGGCGACGTGTTTGAAGGTGCTCCAACGAAGAAGACGATTCACGTGCTGGTGGTGGTTCCGGAGCAAGAACACGCACAAACTGGATTGTGGCTTGTCACTGGATCCGTTGACAACGCGCTGAACACGAAAGGGATTCGCTGCAAACTGTACTGGATGGCGACGTTACGCATTGGATACTACGATCCTACGCGCTGCATCGGCAACAAGAATGTCGCGTTTTGGTATGAAGACAAGAAATTGTGTTTTCATGTTTTATTCGAGACAAGTACGTGCTTCTATATGCTGTCGCTGCATCGTAATACTGCTTCATTGAGGGCTAACTCTGTTTCTTTTATAGAAAATGCTGCTTTGCTGTTCGAAACTGACTTAAGGACTGGGCCACAAACGCTGGGCTCTCCGTTAACTAACCAGGTTGTTGAGACGCGTGTTGCACCAGCTAACGCTGTGTCTACTGATCTCCAGCGCGTCTTCTACTGCGACTATGTTCCAGACGATTCGGAATCTCCTCAAAACACAGTTTCATCGATATCGTTGACTACAAGCGTTTCGAATCTGGACCCATCGACTGACGAGTTTCGTTTTCAGCGGATTGAGGACGCGAAGTTCTTCCTACCGTACGGCAAGGCAGAAAGCTGCCGTTTGGTGTCGAGAAAGCAAAGCAGAGACCACAAACGGGAATTCGCCAAGTACGATCGCGACTCAAACAACAGGCTTGCGCTTTCTCGCGAAATGCATGGTTGGTTCGACGGTATGAGCATTGAGGTTCCCATCGTCAACATGCTACCCGGATCTGTTGAAGAGAATCAATCCATTGGCAACAGACGCAAGGTACTGTGTGAGCGCGTAGTTCTGGTGTGTGTAAGTTTACTGACATTTGCGTGTAGGTCGAGGTCTTCGTGAAGGTTCTGGATGCTCAGTGCACAGATCGCGTTTTCAGTCGTTTGAAAGGAGGATCAACCAGGACGGACGATCCGCTCATGATGAAGACGTTTGTTCACGTGGAGGATCCAGAAACATTTTGTTTGTGCATGAGGTGGAAGCACGACGATAATGCGGAGCGTTGGAGAAGCTTTTGGGATATGACTCCTGCGGTCGATTGAATGGAATAATGTGGCTCCCGAGTTAAATACTTCGAAGTAGTATTTGATTTCTTGACATACTTTGATCCTGATAAATATAAAGTTAGTAATATACAAAGATGGCGTACTCTCCTGAGCAATACCAAGCTAGCAAGGAACGAATCAAAGCAGCGCAGAAGCGCTACTACCAGCGCACACGCGAAGCCCGTTTATCTTATCAAAAAGACAACGATGACAAGAATAGAGACCAGATTCGAGCTCGCACGTCTTTTCGATATGAGGGTAGTTTTAGAACCTCTAAACCGGTCAGATCTAATAGACGTTGATTTGACGACGCCCACTTTATAGCGAGAGCCACGTCTTTTGGACCTTAGGGCGTTTCGGGACCGCTCGTTCAAACCACATTGATAAACCAATAGAACATTACGCCGGCAGATTTTACTAGTAGTTCGGACCAGCGCGACGTGGCGTCTCATCATTGGTTGAAAATCTATGTCACACACCTTCATGTTCGCTTAAGTACGCCAGAAATTCTACATCCTTCTTCCTCATTCCAGAATCTGCCGGCTCGAGGAAAGATGGTGAAGCTCTTCTGTGCGATCGTTGGTGCGGCGGGCAGTGCGTTCGAGGTGGATATCGACGCGGGTGCATCGGTTTCCGCGTTGAAGAAGGCGATCAAGGCGGAGAAGACGAACGACTTCAAGGACATCGACGCAGACAAGCTGCAGCTCTTCCTGGCGAAGACGGAGGGCGGCGCGTGGCTCTCATCGAAGGACCCTGATGTGATTTCTATGCGAAGTGGAGGCATTCCTGAACAAGTGAAGACACTGCTGAACATGGAAATGGACCCAGCAGATGAGATTGGCGACGTGTTTGAAGGTGCTCCAACGAAGAAGACGATTCACGTGCTGGTGGTGGTTCCGGAGCAAGAACACGCACAAACTGGATTGTGGCTTGTCACTGGATCCGTTGACAACGCGCTGAACACGAAAGGGATTCGCTGCAAACTGTACTGGATGGCGACGTTACGCATTGGATACTACGATCCTACGCGCTGCATCGGCAACAAGAATGTCGCGTTCTGGTATGAAGACAAGAAATTGTGTTTTCATGTTTTATTCGAGACAAGTACGTGCTTCTATATGCTGTCGCTGCATCGTAATACTGCTTCATTGAGGGCTAACTCTGTTTCTTTTATAGAAGATGCTGCTTTGCTGTTCGAAACTGACTTAAGGACTGGGCCACAAACGCTGGGCTCTCCGTTAACTAACCAGGTTGTTGAGACGCGTGTTGCACCAGCTAACGCTGTGTCTACTGATCTCCAGCGCGTCTTCTACTGCGACTACGTTCCAGACGATTCGGAATCTCCTCAAAACACAGTTTCATCGATATCGTTGACTACAAGCGTTTCGAATCTGGACCCATCGACTGACGAGTTTCGTTTTCAGCGGATTGAGGACGCGAAGTTCTTCCTACCGTACGGCAAGGCAGAAAGCTGCCATTTGGTGTCGAGAAAGCAAAGCAGAGACCACAAACGGGAATTCGCCAAGTACGATCGCGACTCAAACAACAGGCTTGCGCTTTCTCGCGAAATGCATGGTTGGTTCGACGGTATGAGCATTGAGGTTCCCATCGTCAACATGCTACCCGGATCTGTTGAAGAGAATCAATCCATTGGCAACAGACGCAAGGTACTGTGTGAGCGCGTAGTTCTGGTGTGTGTAAGTTTACTGACATTTGCGTGTAGGTCGAGGTCTTCGTGAAGGTTCTGGATGCTCAGTGCACAGATCGCGTTTTCAGTCGTTTGAAAGGAGGATCAACCACGACGGACGATCCGCTCATGATGAAGACGTTTGTTCACGTGGAGGATCCAGAAACATTTTGTTTGTGCATGAGGTGGAAGCACGACGATAATGCGGAGCGTTGGAGAAGCTTTTGGGATATGACTCCTGCGGTCGATTGAATGGAATAATGTGGCTCCCGAGTTAAATACTTCGAAGTAGTATTTGATTTCTTGACATACTTTGATCCTGATAAATATAAAGTTAGTAATATACAAAGATGGCGTACTCTCCTGAGCAATACCAAGCTAGCAAGGAACGAATCAAAGCAGCGCAGAAGCGCTACTACCAGCGCACACGCGAAGCCCGTTTATCTTATCAAAAAGACAACGATGACAAGAATAGAGACCAGATTCGAGCTCGCACGTCTTTTCGATATGAGGGTAGTTTTAGAACCTCTAAACCGGTCAGATCTAATAGACGTTGATTTGACGACGCCCACTTTATAGCGAGAGCCACGTCTTTTGGACCTTCGCTCGTTCAAACTATATTGATAAAACCAATAGAACATTACGCCGGCAGATTTTACTAGTAGTTCGGACCAGCGCGACGTGGCGTCTCATCATTGGTTGAAAATCTATGTCACACACCTTCATGTTCGCTTAAGTACGCCAGAAATTCTACATCCTTCTTCCTCATTCCAGAATCTGCCGGCTCGAGGAAAGATGGTGAAGCTCTTCTGTGCGATCGTTGGTGCGGCGGGCAGTGCGTTTCCTGTGGACATTGACGCGGGTCAGTCGGTGGGAGACTTGAAGGACGCGACCAAGGCGAAGAACCCGGCGACTATCACGTGCGACGCCAAGGACCTGCAGCTCTTCCTGGCGAAGACGGAGGGCGGCGCGTGGCTGCCAGACGACGACCAAGCTGCGCTGGATCTGGAGGACGGAAAGGTTCATGAGGACATTCAAGCGTTGATCGATGGCGAGAAGATGAAGGCTACGTGGACAATTGAGGACGTGTTGACAGCTAACAATATGACCAAACGGAAAGGGCGCGCTCCAAAGTCGAGACAAATCCACGTGCTGGTGGTGGTTCCGGAGCAAGAACACGCACAAACTGGATTGTGGCTTGTCACTGGATCCGTTGAAAACGCGTTGATCACGAAAGGAATTCGCTGCAAACTGTACTGGATGGCGACGTTACGCATTGGATACTACGATCCTACGCGCTGCATCGGCAACAAGAATGTCGCGTTTTGGTATGAAGACAAGAAATTGTGTTTTCATGTTTTATTCGAGACAAGTACGTGCTTCTATATGCTGTCGCTGCATCGTAATACTGCTTCATTGAGGGCT